GGCACCGGGGCCAGCACTGGTACAGTACGAATGTGTCAGCCGCCGGGTTCAAGTAGCCAGAATATCGCTTGACCATTGCAAATGTAGGGGGGCAGAGATTTAGTAATACAGGGGTAGCCAACAGAGATTACTAGTAAACCAAAACCGGGGTGGGGTGTGAGTGGTGGGGCAATGGTTGGCACACCGCATTTAAACTGAACCCGGCTTTCTGAGTTCCAAGCCCTAATGCATCGCGAAACATATTTTAATCCTTTATATTAAGTTCACTTGCTTACGACCGTGCAAATCTTTCGGTCGTTTTTTAACCCACTTCCCGTGATCCAATAGAGCTGACATTTTGCACACAGACTCGTTGTGCGTGACAATGCATTTTCGTGAAAAATTTTTTTTCCAAATTTTTACACTTTTTACGATTTTTTAAAATATTTAATTACCAATTGCTTAATGGTGGCAGGCAATCATCTGACCCATAGGTGGCAGCCATCTCAAGCCAGAGGACGAGAGGACTCTAGCCGCCACGCATATAAAGGATTTATAGTGAAAAACTTTGTTTTTACGGGTTAATTTTTTAGAAAGTGCCCCCCGACCCCCCCACGGTCCAACAAAGGCCCCCCCCCCCACGTCACCGACTCGACACGCGGCTGGAGAGATCGTGACCCCCCCCCACCCACACCCCCAATCGAAGATAGGAGCTCTTCGGTTTTCTTTGAGCTGTGCTCTCGAGAGCTTGACTCTGCTCGAGTCGGCAATTCACGTGGGGTGCCCAGTGGCGTTGGAGAGGCGATGTCACTCGACGCCTTACCAGAATTGTGTTAAGACGAAGAATTAATAATGTAAACAAGTAAACCCGTAAAAACAAAGTTTTTCACTATAAATCCTTTATATGCGTGGCATCGGGGCGGCTAGAGTCCTCTCGTCCTCTGGCTTGAGATGGCTGCCACCTATGGGTCAGATGATTGTCTGGCAGCATTATACAATTGGTAATTAAATATTTTAAAAAAATTCCCTAAACAGTGTAAAATTTTGGAAAAAATTTTTTTCACGAAAATGCATTGTCACGCACAACGAGTCTGTGTGCAAAATGTCAGCTCGATTGGATCACGGGAAGTGGGTTAAAAAACGACCGAAAGAATTGCACGGTCCTAAGCAAGCAAGCAAACTTAATATAAAGAATTTAATAAGTATAACCCGTAAAAACAAAGTTTTTCACTATAAATCCTTTATATGCGTGGCAGCGAACTTAATATAAAGGATTAAAAAATATATTTGCCTGTGGAGGACGCGGGGATCGATCCCGCGACCTTTGGCATGGGAAGCAAGGGCGCTACCAACTGCGCTACTCCGCCACGGCCTGTGGAGGGGTTACGCTCTGGGCTCTTACACTCTGACGTTCAGCCAAAGCCATGAATGCGTTCTATTTGAATATATGTAAAACATTTTTTTTTTGCCTAAAAAGTGTAAAATTTTGGGAATTTTTTTTCACGAACAATAATTGTCTGGCACAACGAGTCTGTGTGGAAAATGTCAGCTCGATTGGATCACGGGAAGTGGGTTAAAAACGACCGAAAGATTTGCACGGTCCTAAGCAAGCAAGCGAACTTAATATAAAGGATTTAAAAAACCCGCACAAAGATGACGACGCGTATTTAACAAAACGAAAATTCCTGACTTCCGTGTTTATTCTACTATTCAACATCACTTTCAGGGTGTGGCAAGTGTGTGTTTGTGTATATATATCAATATTATTACTGTAAATATGTACGTAAGGTTTCTTATTTTATACAGGACCGTATTTACAAGCAAAGCCGAGCTCACTCGAACTCGGTCACGTGCGCGATGGTTTGAAATTTTAATGAAATGAAATAAAACCGTTAAAACATTTTAAAACTAAAATAAATACATTTATACGGTGACATCAGAGGGAATTCAGAACCACCCCAATTTGAATGATCGGCACCACTGATCTTCCAAATGTAACGCGTATCATCCGCTCTTTCGTTTCACACGCCTTCACGTGTCCACAGTTAGATTTAAACAACAGATATCCAGTTTAAAACGTAGTCTGTCGCAATTTGATTCCTTGCAAAAAGTACTCTTAGGTTTTTTCGGTAAAGTCACGTAGGTAAAATAATAATAATAAAAATAAAAAAGTAATAGAAAAAAAAATAGAAATAAAATAATAAGTCACGACGTTTCGGAGGCAACACAAGCTTCCGTCTTCAGGTGGACCTGTCACAGCACGATAGCTGTATCAAGTAAAAAATGAACCCGTAAAAACAAAGTTTTTCACTATAAATCCTTTATATGCGTGGCGGCTAGAGTCCTCTCGTCCTCTGGCTTGAGATGGCTGCCACCTATGGGTCAGATGATTGCCTGCCACCATTAAGCAATTGGTAATTAAATATAAAAAAAAATTCCTAAAAAGTGTAAAAATTTGGAGAAAAAAATTTCACGAAAATAAATTGTCACGCACAACGAGTCTGTGTGCAAAATGTCAGCTCGATTGGATAACGGGAAGTGTGTTAAAAAACGACCGAAAGATTTGCACGGTCGTAAGCACGCAAGCAAGTGAACTTAATAAAAAGGATTTAAAAATAAGTCCCAAGAGACCGACCTTATATACTGGTTAAGGGGGGGGGGGGGAGCCAGGATGGGCTGCGTGAGAGGAGTTGTTGTGAGATGGTTACACGACTGCTCCTGGGACTGAGCCTTTGTTATGTAGATGGCAAAATGTTTCTTTTTGATTGTTTGAACACCTGCTGTTTTATAGCCAGAAAAGGGTAAAACACCTACTCGTATTTCCCACACTAGAGGGGTTGTAATGCTTTGTACGCTTTGGGCAGCGTGGGGTGCCAGGAGATGACACTACAACAATGGATCATTGTGCCCGTGTGAAGGCTTAAGCGTTGCGCCGTTATGATCAATATGCATCGGGGTTTTTTTTTCTCTCTCTCAAGTACCGTGATCTCTTCTCGGAGTGAAGCCAAACACTCACGAATGGAATTGGCCAAATAATCCAAATGCGTGAACCCTCCTGCAAACAAGCGAGGCAATTCCTGGGTAAACACAGACACCATTATGATGATTGTTACGATCTTAACACAGTTTGTGTTGAAATGGTTAAGATGAGATCTTTTGTTGGTGTAAGTTGACCGTATAACAAGTATAACCCGTAAAAACAAAGTTTTTCACTATAAATCCTTTATATGCGTGGCGGCTAGAGTCCTCTCGTCCTCTGGCTTGAGATGGCTGCCACCTATGGGTCAGATGATTGCATGGCAGCATTAAGCAATTGGTAATTAAATATAATATTTTTGTCCTAAAAAGTGTAAAATTTTGGAAAAAATTGTTCACGAACATTAATTGTCACGCACAACGAGTCTGTGTGGAAAATGTCAGCTCGATTGGATCACGGGAAGTGGGTTAAAAAACGACCGAAAGAATTGCACGGTCCTAAGCAAGCAAGCAAGCGAACTTAATATAAAGGATTTAAAAATGACAATGATGGCACGTTGAGGCCTAGAGATGAACGCGACAACACCACGTGCCCTTAACCCTTTCATTACCACCCTCCCGTTTTTGTTGACATCGGCTCATACGGAGAAAAAAAAGGTACGAAAAAAAACTTCCAACGTAAACGTTGGGTAGGGGGGGGGGGGTGCCACCTGTCCCGATTTTCCCCTGGATCTTCCTACTCCTCTTCGTTGTTTTGAGGTCACTGTCCTGAGAAATCCGTCGGCCTTCCCGGGGTGCATTTAAAGGTCGAGATTTTCTGCCCACAGCGTCGTGATAACGTCGCTCAGTACGATGCATGTACAACGTCGTTATCGCCTCTTCGCTTTGACGGATATATTCTTTGTTTAACACGTAGCAGGCTTTCGCGACCAATATCATCCATAGTAGAGGTCTTTTTGGGTTAGATCGCGTAAATATATAAATGTGTCGTGAAAACCCGCCACCACCCGACACAGCCAACTAGTAAGGGTTGTCACGTAAACAGAACGTGGCCAATTCGTCACTAGTACAGCACTAGTGTATAGTGTAGTGTATAGTGTATCGTAGTTTAGTGTATATAGTAGTGTATAGTGTAGTGTATAGTGTATCGTAGTGTAGTGTGTGTAGTGTATATTCTAGTGTATATTCTAGTGTATAGTAGTGTAGTGTATAGTATAGTGTATAGTAGTGTATAGTAGTGTATTGTGTAGTGTATAGTGTAATATACTAGTACAGCACTAGTGTATAGTGTAGTGTATAGTAGTGTAGTGTATAGTATAGTAGTGTATAGTGTAGTGTATAGTGTAGTGTATAGTATAGTAGTGTATAGTATAGTAGTGTATAGTGTAGTGTATAGTGTAATATACTAGTACAGCACACCGGTATGATGGAGAGCCAAGCCCCACAACATTTACAATCTGAGTACGACGTTTCGCCAGTAATTACAACCAGCTTTAGGCGACAGCCACAAATCTAGCTCTCCAACACACCGGCGCGCTGTACCAGTGACGAATTGGCACGTTCTGTTTACATGACAACCCTTTCGACTTAAAGCTTTCGTGACTGCAGGGATTCATCTTCTTGGTTCTTTCGGTAAAGTCACGTAGAAGGGAAGAAATAAAATAATAAAAATAAAACATAATAAAATAATTCTCACGACGTTTCGACGCTGTCTTTGCGACAGCCCTCTTCTTCACCTGAGGACGGCTGCTTGCGTTGTGGCCGAAACGTCGTGAGAATTATTAAATGTTTTATTTTTATTATTTTATTATTTCCATTCTACGTGACTTTACCGAAAGAACCAATAAGATGGAACAGAGGAAGTTGAAGAAATGGGGGGACACGCCAGACGATGTTTTAAAGGTCATTGCAACAACACGCGATGACGCCGCTCAGCTGGCCAACGATCGGAGGTTCGATGTGCCGTACAGCGCGCCAAGTGCTCGGGCCTAGGTCACTAGGTCAGGGGTTTCCAACCGGAGGTCTGCAGAGGCCACGGGGGGGGGGGGGGGGGGGAGCAATGGTTCACGGAATTGTTTCAGACACTACGATTTGCGTCAAGAATCGCGGCGCTTTTTTTTTACTTCCCCATCTCACGAGTGCGTGTCAATAAATAAATAAAAAGCAAGCCACGTGGCCTTTCCACGATATTGGTTTACGGTGGCCCGCGCATTTCTTTTTTTTTAGGGCGGATAGAAGCCCGTGGATCCCAGAAAGGTCAAGGGTCACTCGCATAAGGTAAGGTCAATAACGAGTTACGGACAACAACAAAAAAGCAGGCCGTTGTTACCTTTTGGGGAGCGGGTGGGGTGAGAAATCTCTGAAATCTCAAGGATGATTTCTCTCCCTCGGTGATAACCGCTCCGTACATGCGCGCACGTGTGAGCGAGGCATGGTGCTCTACTACAGGGGTTTAAATGCCCGACGGGGAATACGCAAACACCTGCTATCGTCCTCTCGACGAAGCAGACAGATCATCATAAACAGTGTCTGGGGGGCTGTGTGGCAGCCGTGTGCAATCGGCAATGACAAATGCAGGAATAAGCTTTCCCAACGCTTCATATGGGATGCTCGTAAAGAATTATCCGCGAGGAAAGAATTATAACGACGGCCGTTTGGGCTGCACGGTTTAAACGATGGCAACATATTTTCCTGTGTACGTAAGTGTTTTAGTGCCACGCGCCAGACGAGTATCCTCCAAACGGCACCCTGAACAAATCAAAATGCGCAAGTGTGTAACATAAATATGTAATTTTGATGCCTATGACCATGTAATTATATGTATATTATTTTATTATTTCCCTTCTACGTAACTTTACCGAAAAAAACAAGAATATGAATCCCTGCAGTCACGAAAGCTTTAAATAAAAAAATATTACCATGTCCTTTTCAAAGATTAGCTCTGTCCATGATAATGCTCAAGAACTTTGAATACTCCAAATTGCATGAAATTGTTAAAATTGCTTATGTAAAACTAAACCATTTTGTATTTTACCAGGTAAGGCCCACTGAGCCGTATAACTCTTTTTCAGAAGCGACCTGGCCACACACGATGGCTCACCCAAGTGGCTTATCACGCGGAGATGTACAGCAGCCAAATACTCTTTAAACACACGTTCATTGTAAATGTGGTGGGATTAAAACCGGAGGACCTGGAGAAAAATCCACGTGACCACGGGGAGAGAGAGAGACACGCAAACTCCAAATATACAGCAGCAGGCATCAGGGTCAGGATGAAACCCACAACCTCCTGCATACCAGGCGAGGGCGTTAACATCTCCTAGCCACCGTGATGATAATGAAAGAGACACGCAAACTCCAAATATACAGCAGGCGTCAGGGTCAGTATGTAACCCACGACCTCCTGCATACCAGGCGAGGGAGTTAACATCTCCTAGCCACCGTGATGATAATGAAAGAGAGAGACACGCAAACTCCAAATATACAGCAGGTGTCAGGGTCGGGATGGAACCCACGACCTCCTGCATACCAGGCGAGGGAGTCAACATCTCCTAGCCACCGTGATGATAATGAAAGAGAGAGACATGCAAACTCCAAATATACAGTAGGCGTCAGGGTCGGGATGGAACCCACGACCTCCTGCATACCAGGCGAGGGAGTTAACATCTCCTAGCCACCGTGCTTAATTTGTTATCTTCCCCGGCTTCTTGTATCCCTAATTGTCCCAGTCAACTCATTGATATTCAGTCTCGTTCAAGATATCTAACTTGTCTTTCTCTCATTAATCTCATACATTGTATATTTGTACCTGCTATCCATAATACAGTCGATATTACCCATCTTATGAGAATAGGTTTTCCCCTTTTTTCTGGCAACAAAACAGGGGTTGAGATGTTAAAACACCAAACTGAAACCTTTTTACAAGGAATCATGTCTGCATTAACCACAAGACTTGTCGTCAGTATGCAAACAAAAACACACTGATAATAAATGCATTGTCTTTGAAACTGATTGGTCCACACCTGAGACAACTTTCTTTTGAGCCTAGTCTCAAAACGGCGTTAGACCAGAGGGCGCCAAAAGGCATACTCATCTTCTGTCCATAAAAAATATATTAAACATCCTTCTCGTAAAAAAAAACAGATTTACGTTGCTTCCAGTTTGCTTCGTACGGTCGTCGTGACAAGAATAGATAGTGCATTGGAAGTGTGGGGCGGGGGGGGAGGAAAGGGTTTGTACACAAATACCACGACGTTTTGCAATGACAGGTGCAGGCCAGGTGGCTAGGTGACAAAGAATTCAAATAATTTACCCGCAAGGCAAACGTACAATTGTGACGATATCTCTTGTGTAACACATAACGTACTGTGTATGTGCACGAGTACGGTAAACAGGTGGACCGAGTGGATGATCAAACATAATCGTAATCATACCGGGTGGATAATAACAGAGCCGTGGCCATTTGTCAGCGTTTCGGTCACAACACCCGACTTGCATTTCAGTGGCCGAGGATACAGTCGGTAGTGGACGTGTCATCGACAATACGCCGCCCACGTGACAACAAGTGTTTTGCGGCGTTCCATCCGATGCCGAGAGGCTCCCCACGACAGAGGCCCTCTCAGTCTGACTCGTGGAGTGTCGGCCCATTCCGACAGATCGTATAGAAAAACAACGATTAATGCTACAGACGCCAAGTAAACAACACTTTTTGGTAAGTACGTACCGCACGATGAAAGATACAAACGTATAAACCAGAGCCGGCAGCTGAGGAGTGAAATCACTATCGTTCACGACCAAGCTTCAGTCGATTGCACAATTAGTCTTTAGTTAAATACTGCTTAACGCCGAATTGCAGACGCATGTGTGTCCTGCACGCGCGCTCACGGCCCCTTTCGTGTGCAGCACGAGCGCAGGTGGACACTGCCCCGCGCAGTTGAGATTCAAAACTACACGGGGCAGCGTTTGAGTGTGTGTGCAGGGCAGCTGCGTTGGCAGCTGCGTGAATGCGTGTGTGCGTGCGTGTTGGTGCATCTCGGGGAGCGGTGGTGCAGAGGTTAGCGCGCTGCTGCGCTACGAATCCGGCGAACCAAAGTTCGATTTCCGCTCACGGCCAACACCGGTGACGATTATCTGAACCAGTCCTGGGCTTCCTCTAGGTCGACTCAGCTTCAAATGAGTACCTGTGTAAACATCGTCACCAGGGAGACAAAGGCGGTCGGGCGTGGTGTTGGCCACCCTCTCTCTCGTGTGCTGTGCCGGTCTTCATAGGTGCTCGCTAACAGCACTTGCCCCAACAGTCTGTTCAGGCTATACGGGGGATCTTTGTCTTCGTTGGTGCATCTCAGTCACCCCGTGGCACCTGAGGTATGTTCCGTGACCTGCCAGCGGGCCTTCGAGATTTCCCGTCGCCTAAAAGTGCACCTATCGTGACACAATTGCCGTGGTGACATCACCGCCACTTAGTGGTGAACGACAGTTCTTGTTGTTATGTGTGGATGCGTGATCATGTCTGCAAGTGGGTAGGAGGCGATTATACGGGGTGTGCGAGCGAGCGGGCGGGCGGGTATGTGGATGTGCAAATGAGTATGTGGGTGGGTAGATTGGTTGGTGAGCAGGCGGATGAGAGGGCGAGCGAGTAGGTTAGCAAGTGGCGAGTGAGTATGCCGGTGAGTGGATTTGTGGGGCGAGGGGGCGAGCGAGTGGGTGGGTGGGTTTGAGGGTGGAAGGCAAAGTCGGGGGTTACAGGAAGGGATTGTTGGAGACACTGGTGCTTGGAAACGTCCCTGAGGTCGCTCCACTCTGCAAGAGAAAGACGGAAACGCCACTTCAATAGGTGCCCTTTGCGCTTTTCCTATCAACTCACTGCGCTCTTGAGAACCCGGTTCAATCGCTGGTGGCCGAAACCTGGATTCAAACCGAGGTTCTCAACGGTGCGGGCTGAGTGCCCGCTGTAGGAATGTGGGAATTGCCACCGCTGGTTCAAAGGACCAAACGAAAATGACCACTGCTGTTGCGAATTATAAAACTAATGATGATTCATCAATTATTTTTGTAAATCAAGTGGGACGCCATGGTGGCTAAGGGATGTTAACTACCTCGCCCGGTATACAGGAGGTCGTGGGTTCGATCCCGACCTTGACGCTTGTTGTACATTTCGGGTTTGCGCGTTCCCCCCGTGGTGGCGTGGATTTTTCTCCGGGTCCTCTGGTTTTTCCCTCCACGTTTACGAACACGCATGTCGAGTATTTGGCTGCGACACATTGCCACACTACAAGCCGCTTGGTTGAGCTATCGTTTGTGGCCAGGTCGCTTCTGAAAAAAAAGCGAATTAGCTCGGTGGGCCTTACCCGGTAAAATAAAAAAAAATAGACACTATGAGACCTCCTTTACCAGTGGCGAAATATAGTAATAGGTTTTAACCCTTTCAACTGGTACAAAAACTGACACCTTTATACAAGGCATCATGTTTGCAATAACCACAACACAAGCAGTCAAAATGCCAACAAAAAGAAACAACTCTGATGATGATAATGATATGCACTGTCCTTGAAGTTGATTGGTCCACGCCCGAGACAGCTTTTCTTAGAGCCTAGTCTCCATTGGTGTTGGACCAGATGACGCCAAAAGGCGTACAACTCAAAGCTGTCTCGGGTGTGGACCAATCAACTTCAAGGCCAGTGCATATCATTATCATCATCAGAGTTGTTTCTTTTTGTTTGCATTTTGACTGCTTGTGTTGTGGTTATTGCAAACATGACGCCTTGTATAAAGGTGTCAGTTTTTGTACCAGTTGAATGCGTAAAAACCTATTACTAAAAAAAATAGTTTAAATTTGTATTTGTTTGTAATCGTTCTTCTACTCATTTCAGTACGTGATCATTAACTCAGGTTTTTTTTTAACGTGACACCACTGCCATTGCTCTACCACTCCACAAACCGGCGTGGTCAGAGAATAATCTCATTCCCCCAAGTGGCCTTCCCAATCACGGCTCCGTCTCTGTATTTTTAGCGAACATAATCCCCTCTCTCTGAAGGTGACTCCCACCGCAAGGCAGACGTCGCAATCGGGTACCCGATACCCGTACCCTACCCAATACCCGGCTACCCGTACCCAGCCGGGTACGAGTGTACGGGCACCTGAAGACGGAAGCTTGTGTTGCCTCCGAAACGTCGTGATTTTTTTTTTTTTTTTTTATTAATTTTAATGTTTTACCTACGTGACTTTACCGAAAAAAACCTAAGAATAGTACGGGTACCCATTTGCGACCCTGGTGCGGCCGGGTATGGGTGATAAACCGTTTGTCACTCATTTCCCAACGTCTTGTCTCTTCTCACAATTCAAGTTCCTAGAATCAACCCACCCGCGCCTGCAACATGGCTTCATCCCAGAGGTCGCAATCGGGTACCCGTACCCTACCCGATACCCGGCCGGGTACGGGTAGCCGGGTATCGGGTAGGGTACGGGTACCCGTTTGCGACCCTGGTGCGGCCGGGTACGGGTACGGGTAAGGAATGAAAACCCGTTTGCGACCTCTGCTGCAAGGTAGCCACCACGTTCCGGCACCGTAACGAGAAGAAGTCCTCGCGTGTACATACGTTGAACTTTTTTCGCACCCTACGTATCCAACCGTGCTAATCGGAGGTGCGGGGGAAGGACAAGAGAAACTCAACACAAAAAGCAGTTCTAATGAAATGAGTTTACAACCTACCAACGTCTTCTTGGTTCTTTTGGTAAAGTCACGTAGAAGGTAAATAATAAAATAATAAAAATAAAACATAATAAAATAATTCTCACGACGTTTCGGCCACAACGCAAGCAGCCGTCCTCAGGTGAAATCGAAATTTAACTTACCAACGCTTTCAATCTCTTGCACACGATCTGCGTGCATTGCCTAACTCGGCTACACTGCCATCGCAGGTAAAGGTGCAGCTCTGCAATTGCTTCCTCAATGTCACTGACGGGGGATAGGGCTTCCAACCAAAGCGGTGTTCTGTCGTTGCAATGCAAGGCCCCGCAGGTCACTGGCGGCCCCCGGTGGCCTTTAGTGCGGCCACTGATGTGCGGCCTCCCCTCCCAACAATACATAAATGTGAAAACACCCCACATCATCATCATCATCGTGCTGCTGTCAAACAAACAACGGTTTCAAATGTGTGGCGGCCCTCACACTCACTGATGATGTTTTATCGGCGAAAGTGTCCCCCCCCCTCCACCCCACCCTCTGAAAAATTAGCGAAGATCACTGCACTAAAGGGAGCTCCGGAGGGCCTCTTCTAGGGGGGCTATTTGGCCTACTCTTCCACGGTGGCCAAACGTCTCGGAAGAGGCGGGGAGTACCCACGCTTTTCCCCGCTGCGTGTGACGTACCGATCGATTGAATGTGCTGAACCCGTTCATACGGGGGATTTAAAACCGACATGCACCGATGTTGCAACCGCATCGCCGGGAGATGGAGTAAGAACCTCTGGATCGCCAATGCAGAGCTCTATCCATGGCACCATTGTGGCAGCAGCATCCTTGATTTCTGACGTGCGACCTTAATCGGGTTGTCTGCAGCAACGTTTCTTTAAGTAAAAAAAAATAATGCATTTACGTTTAGACAAATTATGCTGTGCCTTGGAGCCAAAAGAGAATTAGCTACTAACTGGATCACAGAGCCCTCCCTTAAAGCAAACAGCTAAAAGCAAATTCGTGTAGCACATGAGTTTGCACAGAGGTTACCACGCATTTATTTTTTAAATTAACCACTCAACGTAAGCAATTTTTAGGTGGTATGTGTTAATTAAAAGCAAAAAGTGCCTACTCGTGACCCGGGAAATAAAGGTCGCAGCTGAGCTGAGCCGACTTGCGCTGCAGAATTTGAAAGCGAAATAAATTGCATTTTGCTCCGAGAAATTATGCCGGCAATTTAATAACGCCTAGAATAATGTGCCGTGGGCGAGAGGGCGGGAGGACGGGTGGGCAGGTGGGCGGATGGGTGGGTGGGCGGGTGGGCGGGAGGGTGGGCGGGTGGGCGGGTGGGCGGGTGGGTGGGTGGAGCGGTGGTGCAGTGGTCCGCGCACCGCGACACAAACCCAAGCCACCCGAGTTCCATTCCCGGCCACGGCTAACGTCAGTGACGATCGAAGTCTCAACCGACCCTGCGCCAGAGGTCGCAAACGGGTTTTGATTCCTTACCCGTACCCGTACCCGGCCGCACCAGGGTAGCAATCGGGTACCGTACCTGTACCCTACCCGATACCCGGCTACCCGTACCCGGCCGGGTATCGGGTACGGGTACCTGATTGCGACCTCTGGGATGAAGCCATGTTGCAGGCGCGGGTGGGTTGATTCTAGGAACTTGAATTGTGAGAAGAGACAAGACGTTGGGAAATGAGTGACAAACGGTGACTCACCAGTGACTCACGGCCTACCCGTACCCGTACCCGGTCGCACCAGGGTCGCAAACGGGTACCCGTACCCGGCCGGGTACGGGTAGCCGGGTATCGGGTAGAGTACGGGTATCGGGTACCCGATTGCGACCTCTGCCCTGGGCTCCTGCCCCCCCCCAACCCCCCTTCGTCACCAATCCACCTATACAGCGCTGGTGAAGGACGGCCATACAATCCCCACTACTGGACACAGTTGTGGGGATGCATTCATCCAGCAGCGGATTAACAAACAGATGTAAATGAGCATTTTTAGAAAATGCCAATGAAAATAATAATAATACGTTATGCAGATTAACTTGAGGGCATTACCAATTTGCGTGTGTGTTTATGTGCACCTGGCCTGGCACAAGCGCCGTGGTGAATGGCGGCTGTCGTTGTTGTTGTTGTTGTATTTGTGAATTGTGTATATCTTGGCCGCCCTGTCAAGGTCATGTCATTATGCGAAGAGACACGCTTCTGCACTTTTGAAGAGTCAGCGGAGCAGCGTGTAAATTAACACACAGGCCATCGCTACCACGGCGTTACGATTGACAATTTGTTTTCGTGTTTAGTTTGTTGTCCTTATCCGCACCTCCAATTAGCACGGTTGGCTACGTACGGTGCGAAAGAAGTTCAACATGCATACATTCAGACGCTGTCGCCTCGACAGACCTGGTTTTCACCTGAGGACGGCTACTTGCGTTGTGGCTGAAACGTCGTGAGAATAATTTTATTATGTTTTATTTTTATTATTTTATTACTTCCCTTCTACGTGACTTTACCGAAAGAACCAAAAAGATACATACACACATAATCCAAATTGGTGTCATATAGAATAACAATAACACCACAAATATAAGACCATAGTCTTAACAACATACTAGCAAATAATGATATGAATTCGGAATTTAATATTATCACATTAACTTCTGGCTCACGCGGTTTGGCCGATCCGATGACAACACCGCACCCTAATTAAGGGTTCGTGTCAGGCGACTCGCTGTCTGAGCACGTGACAACTCGACTTGTCAGCCTGTCACGTGCGTATGTACGTTGAACTTCTTTCGCACCGTACGTAGCCAGCCCATGCTAATCGGCGTGGGGGGGGGAGGGGCGCACTCGGCAGCCGCTAGCTAAGCCCAGATGATCTCGGTGGTAGCGGCGTCTCGCTGCTCGTTAAGACCTCTGAGGCACCCAGGGTTGCCCACCACGTGGTCCCCCCCTCCCCCCGTTGCAAAGAATGGCACCAGCGGCTGCTACGGAGCTCAGCTCTCTCTCATCGTCACAGAGAACCCCCCCCCCCCGTCCCCCCTCTGTGGTCAGAGGTCACTCACCAAGAAGGGGTTCGTCGGCAATATCCGAGTGCTTTGGCCAAACTGCGCGGCCATCACCTTGGGCTGCGCGTAAACAGCGGCGTACGCAGACTCTGTACGCACGGGAGGGAGGGGGGGAGGGGGGCGATAACAACAAGGGCAATGACAAAGATTTCCCACGCCACCTACAAACAGAAAAGTGCGAGGAAAACAACAACAACAACAACAACAAAGATCTCCCGTGTCACGTGACCACCGGATAAGGGATCTTGACGGGAGGGGAGGCCCCAGAGGTCGCAAACGGGTTTTGATTCCGTACCCCCCGTACCCGGCTGCACCAGGGTCGCAATCGGGTACCCGATACCCGTACCCTACCCGATACCCGGCTACCCGTACCCGGCCGGGTATAGGGTAGGGTACGGGTACGGGTACCCGATTGCGGCCTCTGGGATGAAGCCATGTTGCAGGCGCGGGTGGGTTGATTCTAGGAACTTGAATTGTGAGAAGAGACAAGACGTTGGGAAATGAGTGACAAACGGTTACTTATCAGTGACTCACGGCCTACCCGTACCCAGCCGGGTACGGGTAGCCGGGTATCGGGTAGGGTACGGGTATCGGGTACCCGGTTGCGACCTCTGGGTGGCCGCATTGAGGGCCAATCGCGACGCCAGCACGGTGATACTCGACGGGGTCCGTCGGCGTACCCATGTGCCGGGAGCCGTACAAATAAACCTCGTCACCGCCCACCCACCTCAGAAAGTCCTCGTATGTGTATGTGTGTGTACGTGTGTGTATGTTCGGCCGGATCGAGGGGGCTAAACGGGCGCGGCACGGGCTAGAGAAGAGATGTAGTGATGTGGTACAGGAGGACGTGGAGCTGAGTGGACTTGCCGATGACTGGTACCAGCGGTGTCAAGATCGGCCTCTGTGGAGGAGGCTGGTGAAGGACGCTACTGGGCAGTTGGAGGCAGTCGCCCTCCAACAACAACGGAGGGCGGAGGAGCGACGCTCACAACAACGAGCGGAGCGCCGGGTGACTAAAGCACAGCATGTTGGTACAGTAGGGGGCACAGGTGGTGTATCAGCCAGTCATCTCGGTCATCTCGGTCAGTCGACCCGTGGCACCTGGGTCTGCCCCGTGACCTCCTGCCAGCGGGCGTTCGACACTTCACGTGGCCTCAAGGTGCACTTGGCCTGGCACAAGCGTCGTGGTGACCTCACCGCCACTTAGTGGCGAATGGCGGTTGTTGTTGTTGTATGTGTGTGTGTACGTGCGTGCGTGCGCGTGTCGCCGGTGTTGTTCAGCGAGGGCCCGAGTCGCGTCGCAGTTGACGGAGGAGAGGATCGCGCAAGCGGACACACGGGGAAACCCAACGCAGGGTTTTGCCGCCACCGAAACTTTCACGTCATCATTTATTGACGACCGCAGCCCTGCGTCCTCGCTAACGGCGACGGCGAGGAAAGATCGAGGCTAGTCGAGCACGAGAGGGTGTGGGGGGGGGGGCCTGTGTGGCCAGCAGCAGAGCTGGCTTTGTCTCCGTCAGAGGTCGCAACCGGGTACCCGATACCCGGGAACGGGTACCCGTTTGCGACCCTGGTGCGGCCGGGTACGGATAGGCCGTGAGTCACTGGTGAGTCACCGTTTGTCACTCATTTCCCAACGTCTTGTGTCTCTTCTCACAATTCAAGTTCCTAGAATCAACCCACCCGCGCCTGCAACATGGCTTCATCCCAAAGGTCGCAATCGGGTAGCCGTACCCGTACCCTACCCGATACCCGGCCGGGTACGGGTAACCGGGTATCGGGTAGGGTACGGGTACCCGTTTGCGACCCTGGTGCGGCCGGATACGGGTACGGGTAAGGAATTAAAACCCGTTTGCGACCTCTGGTCTCCGTCTTCCCGGTGCAGGTGTTTAGGGGCCGTCCATAAATGACGTCACGCGATTTTGGACGATTTTGGAACCCCCCCCCCCTCGTCACACGGCGTCACAAAAAGTCAGACCCCCCCCTCAAATATGACCCCCCCCCAAAAAGCATATTTACATTTTGAAAATAATACATGCTTCAAATCGCTTTAAACTATTGTCATTGTTGTGCGTATTTAATGTGGCGCTGCACTCTGATGTTGTAGGAGAAAACATTTATTAAAAAGTCAATTTTATTAAGTAGAACGTGATGTCTATATTTAATTAAAGTTGCGCATTTTTACGTGACGTCACATTTCTCAAACCCCCCCCCCCTCGTCACACATCGTCACAAATGTCTGAACCCCCCCACCCTAGGAGCGTGACGTCATTTATGGACGGCCCCTTAGATCGCACTTGAGGTAGCCAGCGGAGGAAGGGGAGGAGGGCCCAGCACCGTGGCAGGTGATCGCTCGCTGCCGATGTTTAGCCGCGTCACCGGAGAAAGGGATCAACTTCGGGCGGCAGAGTTTGTAGTCCAGTGCGCTAACCGCTGCGCCACTGCTCCGCGCGGAATAGCGACGAAAGTGCGTAGACGCGTTGCCCGTAACAAGTAGGGGGGCGGTGGTGCGACGGTTAGAGCGCCGCGCTACGAACCCGGCGATCCCGAGTTCGATTCCCGCTCGCGGCCAAAGCCGGCGATGATTATCTGAACTCGGTCCTGGGCCTCCTCTAGGTCCACTCAAATGGGTACCTGGTGAGGCGTGTAAAAACATCGCCACTGGGGAGACAAAGGCGGCCGGGCGTGGTGCCGGCCACCCAGCCCCATCGCGTGTACGGTGCCATCCCCCCAAAGGCGCTTCTCATCAACAGCACTTGCACCGACAATCTGCTAAGGCTACTCGGGGGGGCAGGGGGGCTCTTTGTCTTTGTAACAAGTAGGAGCTGCAACATGGGCAGCCAAAGGGGTCAGATTTCCACGTGAATAATTGAGGGGTGTCCTGACCGAGGAATACGCCGAGAGAGAGAGAAAGAGAAGAAGTGCTGGCACACATTCACCATCGACCTCTGAACCCAGACGGAGGGACGTACGGCGTTCTGTGCGATGAGCAGAGATCGCAATCGGGTACCCGATACCCGTACCCTACCCGATACCCGGCTACCCGTACCCGGCCGGGTACGGGTAGCCGTTTGCAACCCTGGTGCGGCCGGGTACGGGTACGGGTAAGGAATCAAAACCCATTTGCGACCTCTGGCGTTGAGGAAACGAATACATTTCGGGTTTTCCTTGCGATCACGAGAGGGCCAAGCGGACGCAGAGTTCACCGCTCGTTGCACGGGGCTCCCGCTTCAAGCCCCACGGCCGCCCTGGTCAATACCGCGGGCGGGGGGGGGGGGGCGGGCGTTCACCGTAGAATCCCAGGACGCCGTCCTCTTTCACAGCGAGCGTTAAAATATTACGCCACCGTCGACGGGGAGGGGATCTCGCAAAGGCGGAGGGACTGTAATAAGCGGCCAAAATGCCGGACGTATGTTATCAGTATTCTTGGGCTTTTCGGTAAAGTCACGTAGGTAAAAAATTAAAAAAAATAAAATAAAATTTACCTACGTGACTTTACCGAAAAAACCCAAGAATATGAATCCTTGCAGTCACGAAAGCTTCAAATCTAGACGTATGTTATCAGTGTTTAGGGGTTGTTCTCTGTCCCCCCCCCGCCTCCCCCCTCCTCCCCTCCCCCTCATCTGCCCAGTCCCTTGATCCCTCCCCTGCTACCCCTTATTACCCTCATTAGGTTGGTGAAACTTCCCCCTCCCCTGTCATCCCCCCCCACCGCCCCCCCCCCCCTTTTTAAATCTTCATCATTCCCCCGTTGTCCTCACCTGATTGGGGCAGCAGGCCCCCACCCCCGCCCCTCCCCTTCTTTTTCCGCACCCCCTGACCTACAAACGGGCTCACGACCCTTGACCTCCCCCCGGGACGCATGGAATCGCGCCCGGGCGCTGTAACACGGCTCGCGTTTCGTTATATAAAGTGAAAATGTGTATCCGATTTAAAGCTTTCGTGACTGCAGGGATTCATCTTCTTGGTTCTTTCGGTAAAGTCACGTAAAAGGGAAATAATAAAAATAAAACATAATAAAATACAATTCTCACGACGTTTCGGCCACAACGCAAGCAGCCGTCCTCAGGTGAAGAACAGGTCTGTCAGAAAGACAGCGTCTCATTCAGACTTTACCGAAAGAACCAAGAAGATGAAAATGTGTATATATAACGATAAATATTTAATTAAGAAGTGGAGGCCGCATGTGCGCTGGTGTCACGGCCCCCCCCCCCCCCCATTTTTTTTTACTCTTTGTAAAAATTACCCACATATTGCTTAACTTAGAAACACATAGCAGTCAACGCCCCCCCCCCCTCCGTCATACTTAGCAAGGAGCCTGCTGACCAAAGTCTTGGCCCCTAAGTGGGACTTTCCTAGGACAAAAAAAATACGCAAATAAACGCGCGAGTTAAAAAGTGTCCAAAGCAACGGACGTTAAACACAACCGAACGGATTTGCCGTAAAAAAAAAAGAACCGCCTAAAAAATCAACAAGGGGTTGTGGTTTTTTTTATTTACTTATAAATGTACTCAGCCTGCGGCCCTGTTAAAAGCTACGCACGCGTTCATTACAGCCGTCAGAGTAAAATTTTTTATTTCAAATGTATATTTTTTTTACTTTAGGAAAGAAATAACGAGGTTCAAATGCAACAATTCGCCCTCGTTGGAAAAACACATCGGGCGGGTGTTTACCTTTATTGCTAACGGCATCACTATAATAATAATACAAGCATCTTTTAATGGCCTGCAGCCTGTTAGGTGTGCAGTGATAAAAAGAGCACTGCCTAAGAAGCATGAACTTTAATTAAAAAATTTACTAAATTAATGCAGTGCCTGGTATACCATTAAAATTAAAGGCAAATGTCCCCCGTGTAGCCTTAACAGACAGACTGTTGGGGCAAGTGCTGTTAGCGAGCACCTATGAAGGCCGGCACGGCACAGGAGTCGTATGGGTGGCCAGCACCACGCCCGGCCGCCTTTGTCTCCCTAGTGGCGATGTTTACACACCGCACCAGGTAACCATTTGAGGCTGAGGGGAGGCTCAGGTCCGGTTCAGATAATCGTCACTGGTGGCGGACATGAGCGGGAATCGAACTCGGATCACCGGGTTAGTCGTGTGCAGAGGTCGCAAACGGGTTTTGATTCCTTACCTGTACCCGTACCCGGCCGCACCAGGGTCGCAAACGGGTACCCGTACCCGTATCCGGCCGGGTACGGGTAGGGTACGGGTACCTGATTGCGACCTCTGGGATGAAGCCATGTTGCAGGCGTGGGTGGGTTGATTCTAGGAACTTGAATTGTGAGAAGAGACAAGACGTTGGGAAATGAGTGACAAAGAGTTACTCACCAGTGACTCACGGTCTACCCGTACCCGTACCCGGCCGCACCAGGGTCGCAAACCTCTACCCGTACCCATACCCGGCCGGGTAGCCGGGTATCGGGTAGGGTACGGGTATCGGGTACCAGGTTGCGACCTCTGGTCATGTGGTGCGCTAACCGCTACATCACCGCTCCCCAGTACAAAGACACACGCACATTACAGCCTTAGGGCTAACCCTAATAATGTAAGGCACCCGTTATGAATAAAGATACCAAACATGCTGGAAAATTGGGTTCAAACCCTGACCATGCACACGCAGGACAAGTCGAATCTGACACTGGCCTCGTATCTCCACTTAGGCGGTAGGTATCTGCATCTGCAAATCATCTCAGTCAGACAAACCATAACACCGGGGTCTGTCCCTCCTGTAAAGCGAGCCTTCGACACTTCACGTGGCCTCAACGTGCACCAAGCCTGTCACGGCCACCTGGTGGAAAACGGTGGCTGTTGTCATTGTATGAATCCAAGTGCCGCGCTACGAGCCCGCTGACCCGAGTTCGACTCCTGCTCCCAGGCGACACCAGTGACGATTATTTGAACCGGACCTGGGCCTCCCCTAGGTCGACTCAACCTCAAATGAGTACCTGGTGCGATGTATAAAAACATCGCCACTCGGGAAACAAAGGTCAGCCGGGCGTGGTGCTGGCCACCCACCCCATCGTGTGCCGTATCGGCCTTCATAGGTGCTCGCTAACACCACTTGCCCCAAAAGTCTGTTAAGGCTATACGGAGGACAGAGGATCTTTGTCTTTGTTCACGTATGTACGTACGCTTCCCTCGCACCGTACGTAGCCAACCGCGCCAATGGCAGGCTCTGCGCGTGCATATCAGTGCGTGCGGCAGCGGATCTGTCCGTGTCTCTGCGAGTTGCTGTACCACCGTGCTGTCCCCCGTAGGCCGCCGGCTGCACGTACAGCGCTGCATGCTGGGAGTACTGCACGCCGCCGTGGGCAGCCTGCCCGCCGCTTCCCGCGCCGCCGTAGCCGACGGGAACGCCGAATCCGGCCGGCACCACAGCTGGTGTGGCGGCGGCGGCGGTCGGCGCGGCAGCCGGCACTCCGCCGTACGCAAAGCCTGCACACGAACGAACGAGCGAGCGAGCAAGCACACATTACATGAGCGCACGCAAACGTACAAAAATGCCCCCGCCTACGTAGGACGTGGTGCTGTTAGGAAGCGCCAACGTGGGTCAGCTGCGGCGTGTGACAGGTTGGAGTGGGTAGCACCGTGCCCGGCCCGTCTTTGTCTCTCCCCAGAGCTGATGTGTACACACTGCACTAGGTGCTCATTTGAGTCCGATTTGACTTGACCGAGGGGAAGCCCGGGACTAGTGCTGCATCACACTCGCCAGTGATGTTGGCCACGGTCGGGCGGCCGGGTTCGCAGCATAGCTTGTTCACCGCTAAACTACCAATCCACCCGCCGTTACCACGAGCAAATGTGAAAATTCACACACGCGCGTGTGCAGACACGCACACACAAACGACACGGGAAAACACAATCGCACGCAGAAACACAAACACACAGACGCATTGCAAAGACACGCGCGTGCCAAACACGCGTCCACGCACAATCCAAACATTGCGAGAGCAAACACAAACACGCAAGCAAATGGAAACGCACACACGCAGGCACACCATCTAAATCGTTACTTTGTTTGTACTGGTTTTTTTTTAAGTTATGTTAAGCGTCTCTCGATTAAACTGTCAACTCCTATTTCAACTATAAACTATGTTTATCTTAGCAGGTAAGGCCCACCGAGCTACGTAGCTCTTTTTTAGAAGCAACCTGGCTCTCACAAATTATAGCTCAATGAAGCGGTGAATCGTGTCAAAGTTTATAGCAGCAGCCAGCCAAACACTCTAAACACGTGACGTTGATTCTAAACGTGGTGGGAAAAACCGGAGGACCCGGAGAAAAATCCACACGACCACGGGGAGAGAGAGAGAGACCCGGCCGGGTACGGGTAGGGTACGGGTACGGCCGGGTACGGGTATGGGTACCCGTTTGCGACCCTGGTGCGGCCGGGTACGGGTACGGGTAAGGAATCAAAACCCGTTTGCGACCTCTGCGGTGAAGGGTTCTCGAGGAGGTGCTAACTCTTCGCTATATCCGCTCCCACGGAGGGCGACGCTGCTCTCCGAGGAATCCGAGTGGACGCTTCGTCTAACGACACGACCGCGACGGCACAGGTCAGGATGAACTCGGGGAAACGGAAATACGAAACAACGGCACCGAAAGTTCTGCCCTTTCTCCCCGCTGGCGTTTCAACGTTCCAATTGCCAATCTAGATTTGAAGTTTTCGTGACTGCGGGGATCCATACTCTTTGGTTCTTTCGGTAAAGTCATTAAATTAAATCACGACGTTTCGGGTGCAATACAAGCGTCCGTCATCAGGTGGGACAACCACAGCAAGAACCAATTGCTGAAGCGGGCAAAAGGGGCTGCTGCAACAAGAGGCCATACGGGTAAGATAAGGGGGGGAGGGGAGCCAGGGAGGAAAGACAGGGAAGGTGGGGGTGTGGGGTCGTGCGTAAGGGCCGTGCGTGCGTGCGCGCGCGTTCGTACCGTTGGCCTGCGTTTGAAACGGGTTGCTGCTGCCCACTATCGCTGCCGCCGGTGCCGCCGGAAGGAACGGGTTGCTGCTGCCGGCTGTGGGAGTGGAACAAACGGGGGCAATGTGAACCCTTTCCCACCGCGGCGACGCGCGCGTACGTCATCGGTACGGCTTCAGGTCGGAAGACGTGCCCGAGGCTCCCACAAGGCCGTGCGGGAGGGAGTGTGGCACAGTTTAGCGCCGGCTATCGTAGAGTGCGGACGTGCCGCTCCGGTTCTCTGCGGCGAGGACGATGCCTTTAGAAACAACGGCACTGCTATTACGCCTCTCTAAATAAAATAAACGCTGAGCCGTTCGCACGTTTCTGAGATTCGGCGGTGAACGGGACACCACTCGCACCTTGCAACAAGCAGACGTCTCGGAACGGGAAAGGTGTTAATACAACTCACCCATCCCAGTGAACATTCTATGGGGGGGGGCACCTGGGAGTAAACGGAGCTTCTCAAAAGATCAGTAGTGCCCCTTCCAACCCGACCCCCCCTCCCACCCGCCCCCCCCTCCCACCCACCACCCGCCCCCCTCCCCCCCCCTCCCGCCCCCCCTCCCACACGCCCCCCTTCCCACCCGCCCCACCCTCCCTCCCACCCCCCCTCCCACCCGCCCCAACCCTCACACCCGAAACCCCCCCTCCCTCCCGCGCCACCCCATAAAACTCGCACCACCCCTTCCACCCGCCCCCCCTCCCACTAGGCTAGGGAGGGAGGAAGAGAGAGAGGAAGAACTGCCCCAGTCCAGCGGCTTCTACAGTGCCACCGCTCCCCGTACTACTTTTCAGCGTACAGCTAGGCGGGGGGGGGAGGAGACCTCACCTGCGAATCCGGCGACCCCTTGCGCTGGCACGGGCCCCAGCGCTGCGACTCCCGCGCCGTACGCGCTGCGGCGCCGAGCAGGAGGAAACACGGACGCGGTCAGGAAGATGCGGAAACCGCGTTCGCGTGAAGGTGTTCTTGGAAATCTCTCGAAATTCTCGACCCGCACAGAAACTTAGCGCGCACGTCCCGACTGCTCTTGCGACGTCGTCTCCTCCACGGCCAGACCGCTCGCGAGCAGTTTAACACGGAGTAGTAGTAGTAGTAGGCTTTCGCGACCAATATTATCCACCGTAAAGGCTTCTTGGGGTTAGATCGCGTAAATATAAACGCGCCACTACGAGACCTCTTTAACAGTGGCAAAATATAGTAATAGGTTTTTAACCTTTCCACTGGTACAAAAACTGACACCTTTATACAAGGTATCATGTTTGCAATAACCACAACACAAGCAGTTAAAATGCAAACAAAAAGAAACAACTCTGATGATGATAATGTATGCACTGGCCTTGAAGTTGATTGGTCCACACCCGAGACAGCTTTTCTTAGAGCCTAGTCTCACATGGTGTTGGACCAGATGATGCCAAAAGACGTACAACTCAAAGACAACGCACCATCAGAGTATTGTGTTGTGGTTATTGCAAACATGATGCCTTGTATAAAGGTGTCAGTTTTTGTACCAGTTGAAAGGGTAAAAACCTATTACTATAAACGTGCCGTTAAACCCCGCCACCATCAGACACAGGCAACTGGTAAGGTTTGTCACGTAAGCAAAACCTAACCAATTAGTTACGACTTCAGCACACCGGTCGTGTGCTGGAGAGTAAATCCACAACATTTACAACGTGAGTACTAATCTTGATGTGAAGCTTTCGTGACTGCAGGAACCCATACTCTTTGTTTCATTCGGTAAAGTCACGCGGGTAGACAAAATAACAGATCGTGACGTTTAGATCGAAACACAAGAGACCGCCATCAGGTGGGACAACCACAGCAAGAAAAAACTGCTGAAATAGGCGAGAGATCTGCCGTGGCACGAGGTTGTATAGGCCTCGGCAGTAGGGGGGGTAGAGAAAGAAGGGGTGGGGAACAGTTTTTCTCACTGTGGTTGTCCCACCTGATGACGATTGCTTGCGTTGCGATGGAAACGTCGAGATCTGTTATTTTTTCTACCTACGTGACTTTACCGAAAGAACCAAAGAGAATGTGAGTACTGCGACGTTTTTCTGGTGAATACAACCAGCATCAGGCGATTTGCCAGAATTGCCAGCACCAGTGAGCGAGGCCAAGCTCGATGACGATTCTCAGAACCCTCCAACGGCTTCCAGACGATGATGACGATGACAACAATAATGACGATGACGACGATGATGATGATGATGACAACGATGATGATGACGATGACGACGATGATGACGATGACGACAATAATGACGATGACGACGATGATGATGATGACGACGATGACGACGATGATGACGATGATGACGACGACAACGATGACGACGACGACGACGATGACGACGATAATAACAACGACGACGATGACGACGATGACGACGATGACGACGATGACGACGATAATAACAACGACGACGACGATGACGACGACGATGACGACGATGATGACGACAAGTGACGCTTGGCTGTACGGCTCTCACCAGCCCGGAGGAGCGGAGGAGGCGGTGGCGTTCGCGGTGACGGGGCTGCCGTGAGGCGCGTACGCCCCGCGCTGATCCACGAACCGCTGGTCCGCCGGCCCCGACAGGACGTACGTGGTCACGTGACCGCCCACTTTGGGGCGACAGATGGGAAAGCGGCGCTGTTTAAGCGACGGACACGCGAAACATCAGTAACACGTACACTTCATCATCATTATTATTTCATTAGACCTCCTTTGCCAGTACCAAAATATAATAATAGGGTTTTTACCCTTTTTTCTGGCAACAAAACTGACACCTTTTTACAAGGATTCATGTCTGCATTAACCACAATACTTGCGGTCAAAATGCAAATAAAAAACACACTATGATAATATATAATGCATTGTCCTTGAAACTGATTGGTCCACACCAAGGGACGGCTTTCTTTTGAGCCTCGACCCAATTGGTGCTCGACCAGAGGACGCCAAAAGGCGTACAGCTCAAAGACAATGCACTATAAAAGTAATGAGGGCTCGGGGTGAGCATCAACATCATTAGACCTCCTTTGCCAGTTCCAAAATATAATAATAGGGGTTTTCCCCTTTTTTATGGCAACAAAATAAGGGTTTGGTTTTTACAAGGGTTTCAGTTTTGTTGCCAGAAAAAAGGGGAAAACCCCTATTATCATTATAATTATACGCAACAGTGCAATCACTCCGGTTATCATTCGTATTTTTGAATCACTGGGGGCGCTAAGGTCTGTGAAACCGGCGAGGAAAAACAATAACTATTTGCGAACGTGCAAATATCTTTGACCTAACTGCCCGTTGGCGAATGCAAATGCGTGCTCAAAAGCGTGACATAATCCACGCGGACGCATTATTTTTCTGACTTTCAAACCGCGTTGCATTTAAACGCTATTAAAAACCGAGAAACTCGAACTTTTTTGGGTGAAGGGTTTTCTTAACATTCTCTTCTGTGAATGCTTCGATTGGACACAGTGCAGAGGAACGCCCAAGCAGAACGTGTCTCTCTCAGCAGCATCATACGAACTTTCAGAGATACGAACAAACCTGTCCGTATGTCCAGTTGCCCGTTCGGACCGAGCGTCCTAAGTTCAACCGCTGCGCAATAGATAGCGGTGGTGGCATCTATATCTGTAGAACATGAAGAACCAGTGGCATCTACATCTGCAGAACACAAAGAACCAGTGGCATCTACATCTGCAGAACGTGAAGAACCAGTGGCATCTACATCTGTTTAGTGTACATGCCGTACAACGTGTTTGGAATCGATGGGAGTAAAGTTGGACAAATCGACTTACGAACAAGACCTCTGGAACCTAACTTGTTCGTAAGTAGAGAAATCTCTGTAATATGTAATTGAGGGACTGTGTGTTGTCTTGGTGTGGTCTGGCACTGTTGTTGTTTTTGTTGTGTTGCTGCCTTGCCCAAGCATGCATTTGGTGTTAACACATCGGCAGGAATTTATGTACTCATGCAATTTGCGCCTCTATACTTTAATCATATTTATTTATTCATCGCGACTTGCCTAACCGTTTCTCTATCTTGCTTCTTATATCGTTTTTAAAAAAAAATTGTTTATTGACGTAACTCACTGATCCTGAGCTCCGACTGGACATCTGTGGAAAAGAGCTTCATGGCTCATCGGATTCCACCTCCGGCACTAAATAAAGATTCTGATTCTGGACGGACACTAGCGGAGGCACCCGGACGTTGGCCATGAGTGACACTGCCAGCGTGCACCGCACCTACCGGCGTAGCCAAAGGAAACCGGGTCAAGTCAACTTAACCCTTTACTGTTCCCGAGACAGACGTCTGCAAGTTGCAGGGTGCGGGTGGTGTGTCCCGTTCACCGCTGAATCTCGGAACGCGCGAGCGGCTCGGCATTCATTTATTTAGAGACGCGTAGTGGCCGTCGTTTTTAAAGACGTGCTCGCCGCAGAGAACCGTAGCGGCACGATCGCCGCACTCTGCGACCGCTGGCGGGCAAACTGCGTCACATGCCCCTACCCGCACGGCCTTCTACTTCCTATGACATAAACGCACGTAATCGGAACGTAATCAGAAGAAAAACTGATCGACACACACGTACGTAGTTTAGTTTGTTGTTCAGACTGTTGTCCTTCACCCCCGCACCTCCGATTAGCACGGATGGCTATGTACGGTGCAAAAGAAGTTCAACATGGATACATAGACTCACACAGAGACCCACAGACTCACATAGAGACTCACAGACTCACACAGAGACCCACAGGCTCACACAGAGACCCACAGACTAACACACAGACTCACAGACTCACACAGAGACTCACAGACAGACTGACACACAGACTCACAGGCTCACACAGAAACCCACAGACTCACACACAGACTCACAGACACAGACTCGCACAGAGACTCACAGACTCACACAGAGACCCACAGACTCACACAGAGACCCGCAGACTCACACAGAGACCCACAGACTGACACGGAGACTCACACAGAGACCCACAGGCTCACACAGAAACCCATACACTCACACAGAGACCCATAAACCCACACAGAGACCCATAGTTTGTTGTCCTTCCCGCGCACCTCGAAATCGCACGGTTGGCTACGTATGGTGCGAAACAAGTTCACCATCAGCAGTCAAGTCCACGTACGTCATCGGAAAGGGTTCCAAACGCCATCGCCGTCACAAACGTCCAACGTCACCGAACGGCTCACCGGCGGCGGGGGACGGCTGCTTGCCGGCGCTGAACATGCTGTCGAGGTCGGCGAGGGCCGCGTACTTGTCCGCGGGCGGCACCTCCCCTCCGGTTCCGGGTCGCGCCGCGGCGCCACCGCCGCCGCCGCCGCCCAGCGCCGAGCCGAAGTCGGCGCTCGACGACTTGGGGAAGTTGTCGAAGTCGGCGAAGTTGGCGAACGCCGAGCCGGAGGTCGCTCCCCCTGCGAGCGGGACGGGGGAACGCGGTCTCGCGTCTCTCCGACCACGTGGCGACGCGTCTTGGTCACTTAGCTGACAATTAACTATTTGTTTTATTTTCAACAGGTTGAGGGCCCACTGAGCTGTGATGAGAGACGCAGACTCCAAATATACAGCAGCAGGCGTCAGGGTCGGGATCAAACCCACGACCTCCTTCATACCAGGCGAGGAGAGTTAACATCTCACCACTGCGGCAACCACAGATCAACCAGGAGGGGGCGGTTCAGAAAGTTGCAACGACAAAGACAAGACGAGGACTTGAAGGGATTTGTGTCATAACAGCTCCCTTTTCCAGACGTTGTTGTTGATGAAAACGCTGAGTTTCAAGTGCCAGTGCTGGCGGGCATCAGGCACGGCGGGGGGGCAGGCAGGTGGACGGGGGTGGGGGGGGGAGAACGGCACTCACCGTGGGCTCTCGGCAAATGGAATGGGCCCGAGAGATCGGCGAAACTTGCGCTGGAGGGGACTGGCCTGGAGGCTACGGGAGCCGGCGAGAGTGAACAAACAAAAGAAATGTAACAGCACAGATGAGTGGAATCATAACGAACGGCAACAAAAAAGAACAAGCGTGCGTGCATGCGTGCGCGGTACGTGCGCACACAGAAGGTCACGGGGCAGACTCAGCAGGTGCCACGGGTCGACTGACTGAGACGACTGGCTGATGCACCGCCTGTGCCCCCTACTGTGCCAACTTGCTTTGTGCTTTAGCCACCCGGCGCACAGACACACACACACGTACACGCATCCACAAGCTCATGTGCAGGCATGTACAAGCACGTGCAGCACTTGCACATGCACGTGTGCATACGCGGAGAGACGGACAAGCGAATGCACACGAGTACAGACGCGTGAGTTGTCACACATGCGCAGCATCACGAACAATCACGCACACGCGCGCACACAGAAGGAAGTCATGAAAAAGATGGGTAGACGTTAAAAAGATGTAAAAAATAAGATTTGTGGTGATGATAATTAGTGACGTCATCATTTACAGCCCCTTTTTCAATTAACTGCTGGATGAAGGACCCCCTAATGCCGTGTTGGTTGCGGGACGTTGTGTGACCATACTTCACCATTCTGGACAGCGCTGGTCGGTGAAGGGAGTCACCCCGGGATCGAAAATCAGATATTACTCGCCACTGATGTCAGCCGTGGACGGGAATCGAACCCGGGTCACCGCTCGCCCCAGCGGTTTAAATGCAATTACCAAGCACAAGTTTGGCTGCATGCGGACCCTAGGCACGAATACGGTGCACGTGTATGGCGAGATCGACGTCAGAGGTCGCAAACGGGTTTTGATTCCTTACCCGTACCCGTACCCGGCCGCACCAGGGTTGCAAATGAGTACCCGTATCCGTACCCGGCCGGGTACGGGTACCCGTACGCTACCCGTATCCATACCCTACCCGAAATGAGTGACAAACGGTTACTCACCAGTGACTCACGGCCTACCCGTACCCGGCCGCACCAGGGTCACAAACGGCTACCCGTACCTGGCCGGGTACGGGTAGCCGGGTATCGGGTAGGGTACGGGTATCGGGTACCCGGTTGCGACCTCTGATCGACATACACACGACCGCGTACGTTCACGCGGTTGCGTTGTACAGCTCTCCCAATGTCCTCTGCGTTGCACCAACGACGCGTCGTTGTTTCCCGTCGTTCCCAAACCGCGTCCACCATTTCTGCTCCGCGTGCTGCCGCGAGCACCTTGGTGAACTGAAGGCCACGCGTGAGAAAATCTCACGAACAGATGATGCTGTTTGTTGTATTGTACGTACATTCAACTTCTATCGCACCATACATGGCCAACCGTGCTAACAGGAGGTGCGTGGAAAGGACAACAAACTACGGGGCTCCGTGTGAGTCTATGGGTCTCTGTGTGAGTCTATGGGTCTTTGTGTGAGTATATGGGCCTCTGTGTGAGTCTATGGGTCTCTGTGTGAGTCTGTGGGTCTCTGTGTGAGTCTGTGGGTCTCTGTGTGAGTCTATGGGTCTCTGTGCGAAGTATACGGGTCTCCGTGTGAGTAGTCTATGTAAGTATGTTGAACTTCTTTCGTGCCGCATGTAGCAAACCGCGCTAATCAGAGGTATTGTATAGTCGACCGTATTAAAGAAACAGAGCGCGTGATAACAGAGATCCCCTGCTGCCACATCTGACGACGCGATGAGCCACAACCACGGACAGATTTTTTTTTGTCACCAAGACCCGCTAGCGATATCCCTCCAACGTTCCGATTCGCGGCATTTCTTAGCAGTACAACAACAAAAGACGTGGTCGTGAAAGATATTCACCACATCGGGGGGGGGGGTCTTATTTAAAATAAAATTTAAATAAAAACTGTGGTAATTTACAAAGTAATATTCAGCATTAGAACGTTCAGAAACTTCACACCCGCTGTGGTTACTGCTCTCACTGGACATAACTCTTTAAATCAATCGAGCCCGCCGTCAACGGATTTCCAGAACTTGCTGAGGATGCACACATTTTACTGCCGCACGTAGCAGGCAGAACAATAAATTATATTTTTTTTACAAAACCGTTCTTTCCGAAAAAGTTCTTTCCGGCGGCTCAAGAGGACGTGAGGCTGCATCGCCGACATGCCCGAATTTTAATCTTGGCGGACGCAATTTCCCAACCACAATTAAGGATCGCGATCGGTCGACCGATTCTTGGAATGGCTGGGTGGCCCACGGGGTCAGGGGGCTGAGCCGGCAACGCCGAGACCCTGGGTTCAAAACCAGACTTGTAATTAAACTGGGTTCTCAAGTGCAAGGAGGTGTTCATGGTCTCGGCATGATAATTATCAAGGCCATTTCACGTACTAAATTTGGCTTCTGACAGCTTTTTTGAAAAATGAAACGTTTTTGCTCGATTTGGCATGTGGAAAACCAACTTTGCAGGGCATTATTACATGTGCATTGTGCTCCCAAGTGTGGGTGCGATAGAAACTATACAAATACGTCCATGACGTCATCTTCCCGGGCTGTTCTGTAACACAGGGTGATGTGCACTTCACGCTGTAAAAGTTCCAACAGCATTTTTGGAATATAATGTCATACTGGTATTTTTTTAAACAAGTTTTGCTGGCTGGCTGCCTGGCTGGTGCGTGGTGGTGACGTCACCGCGGACCTCTGTGCGGTGACGTCACCCGCATCCCACAGTGCTGGGTTTGTGCGTCGCGCTGACGTCACACCCTCCACCCTCCAACACCCCCAACCCCCACCCTCCAACCCCCCCCACCCTCCAACCCCCCAACCCTCCAACCCCCCCCACCCTCCAACCCCCCCCACCCTCCAACCCCTCCCACCCTCCAACCCCCCCACCCTCCAACCCCCCCACCCTCCAACCCCCCAACCCTCCAACCCCCCCACCCCCCAACCCTCCAACCCCCCCCACCCTCCAACCCTCCTACACCCCCACCCTCCAACCCCCCCCACCCTCCAACCCCCCCCCACCCTCCAACCCCCCCCACCCTACAACCCCCCCACCCCCCAACCCTCCAACCCCCCCCACCCTCCAACCCCTCCCACCCTCCAACCCTCCTACACCCCCACCCTCCAACCCTCCACCCTCCAACCCCCCCACCCTCCAACCCCCCCACCCTCCAACCCCTCCCACCCTCCAACCCCCCAACCCTCCAACCCCCCCACCCTCCAACCCCTCCCACCCTCCAACCCCCCCACCCTCCAACCCCCCCACCCTCCAACCCCCCAACCCTCCAACCCCCCCACCCTCCAACCCCTCCCACCCTCCACCCTCCAACCCCCCCACCCTCCAACCCTCCAACCCCCCCACCCTCCAACCCCCCCCACCCCCCAACCCTCCAACCCCCCCATCCTCCAACCCCTCCCACCCTCCACCCTCCAACCCCCCCACCCTCCAACCCCTCCCACCCTCCACCCTCCAACCCCCCCACCCTCCAACCCTCCAACCCCCCCACCCTCCAACCCCCCCCACCCCCCAACCCTCCAACCCCCCCACCCTCCAACCCCTCCCACCCTCCACCCTCCAACCCCCCCACCCTCCAACCCTCCAACCCCCCCACCCTCCAACCCCCCCCCACCCCTCCAACCCCCCCACCCTCCAACCCCTCCCACCCTCCACCCTCCAACCCCCCCCACCCTCCAACCCCTCCAACCCTCCTACACCCCCACCCTCCAACCCCCCCCACCCCCCAACCCTCCAACCCCCCCACCCTCCAACCCCTCCCACCCTCCACCCTCCAACCCCCCTCACCCTCCAACCCCTCCAACCCTCCTACACCCCCACCCTCCAACCCTCCACCCTCCAACCCTCCACCCTCCAACCCCCCCACCCTACAACCCCTCCACCCCCCTCACCCCCGCCCCACCACCCTCCACCCCAGACGTGGATCTCCCCACGCGAACGCGACAGAGGAGAGAAACAGTGGAGAGAGGAGGAGGAGAGAGGAGGAAGAGAGACAGAGGAGAGAGACAGAGGAGAGAGACAGAGGAGAGAGACAGAGGAGAGAGACAGAGGAGAGAGGAGGAGGGGGGAGACAGAGGAGAGAGACAGAGGAGAGAGACAGAGGAGAGAGGAGGAGGGGGGAGACAGAGGAGAAAGACAGAGGAGAGAGACAGAGGACAGAGACAGAGGAGAGAGACAGAGGAGAGAGACAGAGGAGAGAGACAGAGGAGAGAGACAGACAGAGAGAGACAGAGGAGAGAGACAGAGGACAGAGACAGAGGAGAGAGACAGAGGAGAGAGACAGAAGAGAGAGACAGAGGAGAGAGACAGAGGAGAGAGACAGAGAGAGAGAGACAGAGGAGAGAGACAGAGGAGAGAGACAGAGGACAGAGACAGAGGAGAGAGACAGAGGAGAGAGACAGAGGAGAGGGGAGGAGGGGGGAGACAGAGGAGAGAGACAGGAGAGAGGATGAGAGAGGAGGAGAGAGACAGAGGAGAGAGACATAGGAGAGAGACAGAGGAGAGAGACAGAGGAGAGAGACAGAGGAGAGAGAGGAGAGAAGCGGGGGGGGGGGGGGGAGAGCGAAAGGGCTCAACATGAAGAGGAGACAGAGAGCAAAACGGAAAGAGGCGAGCGAGGGAGAGCTACAAGCAGCGGGGAGGGAGGATTCGTGAGAGGCAAGGGAGATTGACATGGGAAAGGGAGAGCGAGGTTGCGAGGTGGGAAGAGAGAAACAGGGAGAGAGAGAGAAAGGGATGGGGGCAGTGGGTGAGGTGCAGCGCAGGGAGGAGTACGGATAGCCACGGAGACAAAGCGGGGCCATCAAGACGACTTGGGATAGACAATTCACGGAAGGAAAGAGAAAGGTGGAAAGAGGCAGGGCTCCGTATACGAATTTGAAAAAAAAAAGTTTTGCTGGCTGGCTGGCTGGCTGGGAAGCGACGAACGGACGGTCACGTCCTAAAGACGCGTGGGTTTGCGAGTACATTTTTTTTTTTTATATGCGGAAAAAGCAATAATGTAAGAGAACAATGAAAATGTTAAATGTGGCGTCCATAGGGTTCACTGGTGGACTGGCGTGGGCACGTGATCAATATCAACAACGATAACGAGAGGAATACTTGACGTGGTGTGCCACGAGACGATTTACTCTCCGCTCCGGACAGACACGGCTGCAACGAAGCCCCTGGACGCTTCAACTGGAGCGGTCGGGGGACACCGTGCGGTTGACAAATGCTCGCTTTGTGATTTTTCACCTGCCACTTGCCGGGGAAGGGTGGGCAGGGAGGCAGAGGGGGGCAGAGGGGGGCAGGGGGGTGGGGGGGAGTTGCAGGGGGGGGGGCAGCCGATCTACACGGGGGGGTGGGGGGGCCGGGGGGCTGGGGGGCACGTGGGGTCCACGGGGGGGGGGGGGGTGGCGTTCACCTGCTTTGTGTGGGGCGGCTGGGGGTGGCGGCACGAGGCGACATCGCCTACTGACTACACGGGGGGGTGGGGGGGGGCTCCGTCGTGTGGGCGCAGAGTTTTTCCCGAACCCAAAAAAACCCCACACGCACAGCGGGGAAATAGGACGGCGACGTTAAAGAAGCTCCCGCGAACGTGGCGACGACGACGACGACAAGAAAACCACGAGAGCAAAAGAGAAGGACAACACACATGTGTACGTTCTGCCTACCGCCCACCCCGTATGTAGTGTATAATGTAGTTATTGTAATATCTGACACTGAAATCAAGCATAGCTACTTTTTTTTGTCACACGCGCACGCAGTCCGGCGATACTCGCCAACACACAACCGGCTAGTGCTGAACTAGTAACTAATTGGCACGGTTTGTTTTTACGTGTCACACCTCAATAATTTGGCTGTGTCGGGTGGTGGTGGCAGGTTTAAACGACACATGGATGATATTGGTCGCGAAAGTCTCTTACCACGTGTTAAACGGACTAATTTTAACGGTGACCCCTTGACCTTTAGGTGGCAGAGTGACGCAGCAGTAACAACTTGCGCTCTGCAGCAAGAAGGAAATGGGTTCGCTTCCTGACCCGGGCATCTTTCTTTCTTGGGTGGCGTTTGTACGTTCTGCCTCCCCTCCCTCCCTCCCTCCCCGCTCTGCAGTCGATTTTTCTCCTGATTCTCCAGTTACGTAAGAATGCCATAGGCGTTGACCAAACAACCCACAATGCTGCAAGGAGGCTCTAGGAAAAGGAGCCATCGGATTCAGCGTGGCTTTTGTGGGCAAAAAATTATTGCATATTTATATATATGTAGTGTGACGCTCAGGTCAGCGCAACAAAGGGGGTTGTGGGAAGAGAGAATGAGCCAGGGGCTCTCTCACCTGTGCTCTGAGCCCGGACCGGGTGTCCGCTTTTGGGAAAAGGTGCGTAGCTGCCCGAAGAACCTGACCCTCCGAACGAATCGAAGTTTGCAAAGTTCGAGCCTCCGGAGCCTGCAAATACAAACATTGAGAGGTGATGCTCTTTGTTTTTTTTCGGTAAAGTCACGTAGGTAATTTTTTATTATTAAATAAATTAAAACAACTAACTCTTAGGTTATTTCGGTAAAGTCACCCTACCCGGGTACGGCCGGGTACGGGTAAGGAATCAAAACCCGTTTGCGACCTCTGCTCTACGGGGAGGGATTCCACATAACTTTGAGATTACACACATAGCTGATTCATAAACAAGTATAACCCGTAAAACTAAGTTTTTCACTATAAATCCTTTATATGCGTGGCGGCTAGAGTCCTCTCGTCCTCTGGCTTGAGATGGCTGCCACCTATGGGTCAGATGATTGCATTGCACCATTAAGCAATTGGTAATTAAATATAATATTTTTGTCCTAAAAAGTGTACAATTTTGGAAAGATGTTTTCACGAACATTAATTGTCACGCACAACGAGTCTGTGTGGAAAATGTCAGCTCGATTGGATCACGGGAAGTGGGTTAAAAAACGACCGAAAGATTTGCATGGTCCTAAGCAAGCAAGCGAACTTAATATAAAGGATTTAAAAAACACATTGCCAAACAACGTGCAGCTTGGCTTGAAAATGTTACCGTACTCACAGATACGGTGGTTTTGAAAGCTCCCCAACCCCCCGCCCCCCACAGGGGCAGGGGAAATAAATGCCCCCCCCCACCCCCGGTGCGACGCCGTCACGCTTTGCAAGAGCTCGCCTTTGCGGCCACGTGCGACAGGCAGACAGAAAAAGGCGCGATGGAAACGGCCGTTGGGGCGTTCGTGCGCAAGCTACGCGTCCGTGTCACTCGTGCGGTCTAAAGCGGCAGAAAGTATCGTGGGGGGCGGGGGGGGTGGGATTTGGGGGGGGGGGAACTAGAATGGCCAGCTCAGTTTTGGGGGTCTCCGGCTCAACGAGCTGGAACACGCTACCGGCTCACGTTTGAGATCCATCCCTGAGTCGGAGCCAGTTCTGCAAGAGACTTAAAACCGGTGGTTCAGAGAGCCTACGTCAATGTGATCAATGTGTGATCGATGTGTGATCGATGTGTGATCGATGTGTGATCGATGTGTGATCAATGTGTGATCGATGTGTGATCGATGTGTGATCGATGTGTGATCAATGTGTGATCGATGTGTGATCAATGTGTAATCAATGTGTGATCGATGCGCACTGGACTGAACTCATTAAGAATTCGTAGTAAAGAATGTTTTACTTACTTTAGACGTTCACAAAAGTTTACTTTGAAAAGCAAACGTCGTGATGGTAATGTTAATTTTAAAAAAATTGTAGACTGTGGGCCAGAGGTCGCAACCAGGTACCCGATACCCGTACCCTACCCGATACCCGGCTACCCGTACCCGGCCGGGTACGGGTAGCCGTTTGCGACCCTGGTGTGGCCGGGTACGGGTAGGCCGTGAGTCACTGGTGAGTAACGGTTTGTCACTCATTTCCCAACGTCTTGTCTCTTCTCACAATTCAAGTTCCTAGAATCAACCCACCCGCGCCTGCAACATGGCTTCATCCCAGAGGTCGCAATCAGGTACGCGATACCCGTACCCTACCCGTACCCGGCTGGGTACGGGTACGGGTACGGCCGGGTACGGCCACGGGTACCCGTTTGCGACCCTGGTGCGGCCGGGTACGGGTACAGGTAAGGAATCAAAACTCGTTTGCGACCTCTGCTGTAGGCAATGCCAAGGGAAAGATAAAAAAGCAATCCAAAGTGTTCTGAAATCATAAAGCAATGCACGTAATAAAATCGTGACACAGTAGCTTCCTTCCTTTAACTGCGAGCCTTTAAATGAACGCTATTAATGTTACAATTTAACAACATCCGCGGTTTATATCTTTTACGCAAATAAGATGACGTCTCTGCTGTGAGCCCAGGGTTCTATCATAAAACAAACAGAAAAAAAGACCAAATCAAATTCCTGTTCCCTGTACTTAAAAAATTATACATTTCGAATAATTTTAATAATTGTACATTTAAATTTAGCCAAAAAAGCCTGAACAATTCAAAGACTATTTTAGTAGGATACCACTGTGCGGTGGTCCAAACTTCAACGTAGAAGCGCCGGTATTACTTCCCCTCTGCAGAAATATCGTAGCATAAGTTTTGGATTCATTATGAAAGTGAAAAATGCCAGTCTAGAGCGATCCCTCGTTTAACGCGCTTGTAGATGCGGCAGAGGTCGCAAACGGGTTTTGATTCCTTACCCGTACCCATACCCGGCCGCACCAGGGTCGCAAATGGGTACCCGTACCCTACCCGTACCCGTACCCTACCCGAAATGAGTGACAAACGGTTACTCACCAGTGACTCACGGCCTACCCGTACCCGTATCCGGCCGCACCAGGGTCGCAAACGGCTACCCGTACCAGTACCCGGCCGGGTACGGGTAGCCGGGTATCGGGTAGGGTACGGGTATCGGGTACCCGATTGCGACCTCTGAGATGCGGTACTGAAAAGTGCCACGTGAAGTTAAAACCGCGTTAAGCGAGGAACTGCCGAATCACATTCGAGTTATAAAAATCGGCCCGCAGTTACCCCATGGCAGGACAAAAAACTGAGATGACGGTACGCCGCCACATTACTATATCATTCCGCGTTACCGTATCATTCAACGTACCATATTTTATGCTTTAGAGGAGTTGTACACCCCTAGCTGCCACTGCAATTCAGTGGCCTAAAATACAATGTTTCGCTCCGGATGATCGCTGCAAAGTATGATCTGTGTTTTGATTTAGTGTGCTGATCTTAAAGGTGCATTGAAAAATGTTGACACTCCGACTGATGCTCCTGCTGTTGTGGAGTGACTCATGCAGCCAGCTATGGCTTCAGAGTTTGGTAATGCATGTTGTTTACGTCGTTTATTGTGAAAATTCGGTCACAGTTCCTATGACCTGCACTGTTTCATTGCTTTTATGGCTTTATTTTGGTGATTTTCGAAAAGTTTTTTGCTTTGGCCATGTTTGTTTGTTGTAGTACAGAGTTAGACTGATGGCCTTAATCTAAGTTGTCTTGTGGTTGTTGTTGTTGTTTGACTTGCATCCCACTGGGATTTTGCACACAGTGTTGGTGTACGGTGTTTTTTCTGCAATATTTTGCTGTCTTTTCTTGGATTTTCTGTTTGCACATAGTCACTATAAGATGTTTTCTTGTTCATTTTTTGTTTTTTTGTTTGTTGCGGTTGCACCCGATTCAAGAGCCGAATGGCTCACAGGGCTACACCTAATAAATGAAACTTGAAACTTGTATCACTGTCAAGCGGAAGGTGGAGCGCCTTCCTCACCGGCAGCCACGGAGGGGAAGCCGGGAAAGGCGCTGCCCGGCGGCGGTGGTGGCGGTGGCGGTGGTTGAGTCGAGGTGCCGAACGGATCCCCTGGCAGGTCCTCCGTCAGCTCAAACGGGGCCGGTCGACGGGAGTGAGCGGGTGGGAGAGCCTGCGGGCGGCTCACTACGGGAGACTGGAGGACGTCGACACAAAAGACAAAGATCCCCCGTGTAGCCTTAACAGACTGTCGGGGCAAGTGCTGTGTCCATCTATTTGAAACACCCTGTATTTCTTCACGTACTTCACACATCTTATCAGCTCTATGGCTGGCATCTCGCCACGCTGCAGTATTTATTTCGCAGTGACGATTGTCCCGTGACCGGTTGTAAATCTGGCGTGCACTCGACATTTTTAATTTGTGGGTGGGGGGTGGGGGTCGCGATTACGCCCAAAGTGCCACCACCACCTGCCCGTTCAGGTCCAAATTGCCGCTGTAGCCAATTACCTGCGCTGCCGTTGAGTCACGTGACCTAAAAAAGTAAGCCGCTCACAGAACAAAGACAGAGATCCCCCGTATAGACTTAACAGACTGTAGGGGCAAGTCCTGTTAGCGAGGAGCGCCTTTGAAGGCCGGCACGGCACACGAGGGGGTGGGTGGCCAGCACCACGCCCGACCGCCTTTGTCTCCCCAGTGGCGATGTTTTTTTATACATCACGCAGGGTACTCATTTGAGGCTGAGTCGAACCTTGGGGAGGCTAAGGACCGGTTCAGATAATCGTCACTGATGTTGGTGGGCCCGAGCAGGAATCAAGCACGGGTTGCCAGGTTTGTAGCGCGGCGCGCTAACCACTGTGCCACCACATGTTGACACAGACACACACACAGAGTGGCAGGGTGGTGAGGTGGTGGGGTGGTGGAGTGGAGGGGTGGTGGAGTGGTGGGGTGGTGGAGTGGTGGGGTGGTGGGGTGGTGGAGTGGTGGAGTGGCAAGGCGGTGGGGTGGTGGAGTGGTGGGGTGGTGGAGTGGTGGGGTGGTGGAGGGATGGAGTGGTGGAGTGGTGGGGTGGTGGAGTGTGGAGTGGTGAGGTAGTGGTGGAGTGGCGGGGTGGCGGGGTGGTGGGGTGGTGGAGTGGTGGGGTAATGGAGTGGTGGAGTGGTGGGGTGGTGGGGTGGTGGAGTGGTGGAGTGGTGGGGTGGTGGAGCGTGGAGTGGAGGGGTGGCGGGGTGGTAGGGTGGTGGAGTGGCAGGGTGGCAGAGTGGCGGGCTGGCCGGCGTGGCAACTGCATCAGCGTCGTTCCCCGCACCTGCGTGGGCGTGTGCCGCAGCCCGTCGAGTGTCGGCGTGCTTGACCCGGCGGGCCCCGCGCATCGGAGCGGCCGCACCTCGGGGGTGCTGCTGCCGCTGCTGGCGGAAGAGCCCGAGAGCGACGCGTGCAGCGCCGCCACGGTGCGCGCCTGCTCGGGCGCCACGAACCTGAGGGGGTGGGGTGGGTGGGGGGGTAACAACAGACAGAGGCGGGGGTGGTCACCTGGCGGGGCGTGTCAGCTACGGGAGCGAGTCTGTACGCGCGTACCGTATGCGAGGAAGAACGTTCCAGACGGCCGCAGAAGCGCGCGGCGCAGTGTGCGACTCCGTGGGTCTCTGTATAATGAGTCTATGGGTCTCTATGTATGTATGTTGAACTTCTTTTGCACCGTATGTAGCAAACCGTTTCTCATCGGGGAAGGACAACAAACTAGACACAAAAAGCAGTTCTAAAGAAATGGGTTTTAAATCTAGATGATTTAAAAGTGCATAGCTCCAGTGGCTTTATGAGCGTAAGTAATAACAAATATTATTGAACCATTATTTGTCGAGTGTTTTTCAGGATGTAAATCGGGATTGGTGGGAGCCGTGCCAAAGGCTTCCAAGTAAATTGTCGTTTATCTCCGTAATTTATCCATATTATTTAAGCGGGAAGTCTGTAAACGGATCGCCGTGCACAGTAAATCTGAAGGCAAAAAATGCGCACGAGTCAATAACGCCGCCTCGATTTGCGTCATTAACGAATGTGTAGAGTTTTTGTTTTATTTGTTAACAGCGCTTGTGCACCAATGCCAATGCAGCAGCCACGCACGTACGCATGTTGAACTTCCTTCGCACCGTACGTAGCCAACCGTGCTCATCTCTACGTGTCTCTAAGGGGCTCTTTCGTGTCTCTATGTGTCTGGGAGTCTGTGTGTCTCTGGGACACAGTTGGCACAGTAGGGGGCACAGGTGGTGCATCAGCCAGTCATCACGGTCGTCTCAGTCAGTCGACTCGTGGCACCTGCTGGGTCTGCCCCGTGACCTCCTGCCAGCGGGCGTTCGACACTTCACGTGGCCTCAAGGTGCACATGGCCTGGCACAAGCGTCGTGGTGACGTCACCGCCACTTAGTGCTTGTTGTTGTCTCTGGGAGTCTATGTGTCTCTATGCGTCTCTGGAAGTATATGTATATCTCGATGGGAATATGTATGTATGTTGAATTTCCTTCGCACCGTACGTAGCCAACCGTGTTAATCAGAGGTTGAGGACTCGGTCGACCAGACTGATTTGACTTCACTGGACATCTGTGAAAAAGAACTTCATAGCTCATCGGATTCCTCCAGTCCAAATAAATATTCAGATTTGTACGTGTCCGGATCTGCGGTAGAGCGAGCGGCTCACAAAATCTGAAGGTCTCAGCCCATCATCCCACCATGGTAGATAAAATAAGTAACAATTTGTGGAGAAGTCAACAGTGGTCGTCATACGGATAGATTCACTCCAATCACAGGTTTGTGTAATTTCCACCACTAATTCAGGGCTGTAAACATTAGATGGGTAGCACGTCAATGGCCGTTTGAGACACAAACCACTTTTTTGAAATAGAGAGGGACGATGCAGTAATACATCAAATAATTTAGATTCTTAACATCGTTTTACACGGCATCGGATTCACGTGCATGTCACGATCAGTGATTTACGATTGGTTTGTGTTGTACGAGAACATCTTTAACCACGTACGGTGGTGCGAAAGAATTTCGATTTAAAGCTTTCGTGACTGCAGGGATTCATCTTCTTGGTTCTTTCGGTAAAGTCACGTAGAAGGGAAGTAATAAAATAATAAAAATAAAACATAATAAAATAATTCTCACGACGTTTCGGCCACAACGCAAGCAGCCGTCCTCAGGTGAAAACCAGGTCTGTCGAGGCGACAGCGTCTGAATGAAACAGCACCATGCTTGGAGCGTATATTCTTTTGTCAAGGCGCCCTTTCCCCCCCTTCCTACCCAGCTTAAATATATGCTCCAAGCATGGTGCTGTTTCATTCAGACGCTGTCGCCTCGACAGACCTGATTTTCACCTGAAGACGGCTGCTTGCGTTGTGGCCGAAACGTCGTGAGAATTATTTTATTATGTTTTATTTTTTATTATTTTATTACTTCCCTTCTACGTGACTTTACCGAAAGAACCAAGAAGGTGCGAAAGAAGTTCAACCTACATACAACCTCGAAGAAGGCGCCGAATCCACATCTTTGCCTTTTTCGGGGGCTCTCAAGCAAGAATGGCACCGAGGAATAAACACACACACGTACAGAACGCGGCTGTCGACTCAGGGTGCCGAATTCCACGTGAAGCAGCAATGATTGGCGACAGAGCATCGCAACAGCGACGCATCTTCCGCACTCACCACTTCTTCTTCTCGTATTTTTCCTGCAGGAACTCCTTGGCTTTCTGCGGGTCCTTGAAGTCGGGCGCAAGAGACGACCGCTCGTCGTACAGACCCAGCCAGATGATCCTGCACACCTGTACGTGACAATGGGCGGCAGACTAGCGATGAACCACCATCAGCACCATCAGCATCAGCATCAGCGGCGGCACCAACATAATACATACCAGCATGAGAACCACCAACATTTTCAACACCACCACCATCATCATCATTACAAACATCAGCATAATTATCATAATCACCAGCACCATCATTACCACGATTACGACCATCATCATCATCAGTATCAATCATCATCAGCACAGGCATCAATCATCATCCGCATTATCACCACTGACAGTATTATCAGCATCGTCACCAGCACCACCATCATAATCACCACAATCGGGCATATTTGCGGAATACACCACGCCGCCGTTGACCCTGGCCATTGACCGAGCAACTCAACGTTCCTTCCAGCTCCCTCCAAATGAATGCGTTTATCCACCTGCTCCCGACGAATCACGTTCCCTTTAAGGGGAGGGGAGGGCTTGCCATTATACAGGGTGCTTCAAGAAAAATGTTAACACTCATATGGGACTATCGCTTTTAATAAAAAAAGAACGGATGATACACTGCAACATGATAACAAATGTAATGTTAATAGCTTAAAAAAGTCAAACAGTCTCCCCCACTTGTTCGCCATCGTTGTCAACGCACGCCTGGAATCTTCTCCAGGTGGCCTCCAGAGCCCGGAGGCACACTTTCTTGTGGCATTGTTGCAAATTCTCAGAAGTGTAAAAAAAACACTTTGAAGCATCCTGTGTTAGCATGTACTGAAATTGCTGTGGGGCGATGAAGTTTGAGCTGCTCGGAGATGGCCGTGTTGGCGAGCCGGCGAATCCGGCAGCTTAGAGGCCCGTGGACGTGTCCGGCAACCCACTGCCGGATGAGGGCCTCCCCCCCATGCCGTGCGGGCCGCGGGGGTTATTCCACCGCACTTCACGAGTGCGAGTTGTCTTCTTGGTTTTTTCGGTAAAGTCACGTAGAAGGGAAGTAACAAAATAACAAAAATAAAACATAATAAAATAATTCTCACGACGTTTCGGCCACAACGCAAGCAGCCGTCCTCAGGTGGAGAACAGGTCCGTCAAGTAAACAGACATTCAGACTCTGTCTACTCTGTCTACTTGACGGACCTGTTCTCCACCTGAGGACGGCTGCTTGCGTTGTGGCCGAAACGTCGTGATAATTATTTTATTATGTTTTATTTTTGTTATTTTATTACTTCCCTTCTACGTGACTTTACCGAAAGAACCAAGAAGATGAATCGCTGCAGTCACGAAAGCTTTAAATCGAAATATAGTTTACTTTAGTTTTGATGAATCGATGCCTCGTTATAAAACTAACGGCATTGGTGTCCCAAATCCGCGGCCATGGTGCTGCTATCGAATACAGTACAATGTCAAATATCTTACAGTGCACCGAGTGAGGTATAACACTGGTCAACACACTTTTTCTGGCATAAGGTATTCCAAAGGTTTTAAGGTAATTTTGGGGTGCTGATTCTAAATCTGGCATCAGTTTTTGTCTATCACATCAGGTTTTTGAGATAGCAAATATTGCATTTTCAATAAAGACTGCAGAAGAAAAATATTAAATAAATGTGGATATCTACAGAAAATTATATTATAAACACACTATTCTAAAAATACAGCACCATATTTTAACACCAAAGCAGTCACTGACTCGCAACAACTTGCAATCACAAGTGACAGAGTTAATTTCGGGTAAAATCAATGAAAATGGGGTATGCCGATAGCATAAAAATGAGATGTGATAGAGCAAATCTGAGATCAGATTTGTAATCGGCACCCTGAAATTAGTCTAAAACCGCTGCAAAAGTCCAGGCCAGAAAATTTTTACTTTTTTTTGTTGACCAGTGTAATAGGTGGATATGCGAGAATCTCGGATATGCGATCACATACAGGGCATGACAGTTGCACACCGAGCCCAAACGAGACAAAAATAAATCGCAAACCGCATTAAACACGGGGAAATGCTCGACTGTACTTTGGAGGCGAGCGGGGACACGCGCGCGCGATTAATAATGCATTGCCGAGTGTGGAACAGTCAAATTTGTGAACGTCTTACAGCAAACGACTGAACTTCCATCGAACCGTGCATAGCCGACCGTGCTCATCGGAGGTGCGGGGGAAGGACGATATAACTAATTCTAGATTTGAAGCTTTCGTGACTGCAAGGATTCATATTCTTAGGTTTTTTCGGTAAAGTCACGTAGGTAAAATATTACAATTTTAATTAATAAAAGTAAAAAATAATAATAATAAAATTCACGACGTTTCGGAGGCAACACAAGCTTCCGTCTTCAGGAGGAACCATCACAGCACGATTGCTGTCATTTACTTGATACAGCAATCGTGCTGTGACGGTTTCACCTGAAGACGGAAGCTTGTGTTGCCTCCGAAACGTGATTTTATTTTTATTTTTTATTTTACTTTTATTAATTTTAATTTTAATTTTTTACCTACGTGACTTTACCGAAAAAACCTAAGAATACGATATAACTAGACACAAAAAGCAGTTCTAAGGAAGGGAGTTTTCAATCTAGATTTCAAAGTGCATAGATTGGAGAAACGCATTTCTTTAGAATTGCTTTTTGCGATTAGTTTGTTGTCACTCTCCCGCACCTATCGATAAAAAACTACCCTGGGTGTGGGCTGCTAACGGATGAGAGCAGATACTGCGATAGTCAGATATTCGGATACCAAGCCGGATATGCGACGGTCACTTATTCAACGTTATAGCAGTCTCTTCATAGCTACTGCACATTCTCAGATCAACATTATCCATTGTATATTGATTAAATGCGACTAACCTAACCAATAATAGGTACTGCACATTCTCAGATCAACATAATCCATTGTATGTTGATTAAATGCGACTAACCTAACCAATAATAGGTACTGCACATTCTCAGATCAACATCATACATTGCAATTTATCTGACTTCATTAACCCACCTGTGATCTTCGCATCTGATACGCTCACAGTGATTACATCACCTTCGCCCTATTTAAGACCCCCAAACAGGAAGTCTTCTTCACAATTCTGGCAAACCACCTGATGAAGCTGATTGCAAAATCACCGGCGAAATGTCGTGCCCAAATTGTGAATGTTCACCCTCCAACACTCCGCGGTGTGCCGGAGTAGCAACTAATTGGCGCTTCTTCTTGGTTCTTTCGGTATTATGTTTTATTTTTATTATTTTCTTATTTCCCTTCTACGTGACTTTACCGAAAGAACCAAGAAGATGAATCCCTGCAGTCACGAAAGCTTTAAATCGAAATTGGCGCTTTTTGTTTATGTGACAAACCTTATTAACCCAAAAAGAAACCCTTCATTACGAGTAACAGTACCTACACACTGTCACTGCGGCCATGGGACAACTGTGCACCGATGAGCATGTGACCTTGCCGAGCACCCACCTCGACATAGACAACAACCCACCTCGTTGCCGTGCTTGTGAAGGAAATCCAGCTCCTGGTCGGTGAACGTCGTCATCGTGATGGACTTGACGCGATGCGGCGGGTTTAATCCGCGGCTGCGTGAAGAAACAAAACGAATTGGGACATCGCGTCGCGGATGCGTTTGACGTTATTCTGTTTGACACGTTCGCGCGTGTGCGTGTGTGGCTGTGGGGAGCGGTGGTGTAGTGGTTAGCGCGTTGCGCTATGAACCCGGCGAGCCGAGTTCAATTTCCGCTCACGGCCAACACCAGTGACGATGATCTAAACCGGTCTGGGCCTCCCCTAGGTCGACTCGGCTTCAAATGACTACCTAGTGTGCGATGTAAATATCACCTGCAGAACTTGAAAAACCAGTGGCATCTACATCTGCATGTGAGACGAGGCTCTAAGGAAAGCTGTCTCGGGTGTGGACCAATCAACTTCAAGGACAGTGCATACATTATCAGAGTTGTGTTTTTTGTTTGCATTCCGACTGCAGGTATTGTGGTCAATGCAAAAATGACTCCTTGTAAAAAAAGGTGTCAGTTCTGTTGCCAGATAAAAGGGTAAAAAAAACTATTATTCATATTTTGTTACTGGCAAATGAGGTACCAATGGTGTAAATGCTTACCCCGAGCTCTCATACTCTGATGGTGCATTGTCCTTGAGTTGTGCGCCTTTTGGCGTCATCTGGTCCAACACCATGTGAGACTAGGCTCTAATGAAAGCTGTCTCGGGTGTGGACCAATCAACTTCAAGGACAGTGCATATATTATCAGAGTTATGCTTTTTTTGCATTACGACTGGAGGTATTGTGGTCAATGCAAACATGACTTCCTTGTAAAAAAAAATGTGTCAGTTTTGTTGCCAGATAAAAGGGTAAAAAAACGTATTCATATTTTGTTACTGGCAAATGAGGTTCCAATCGTGTAAATGCTTACCCCGAGCTCTCATACTCTGATGGTTCATTGTCCTTGAGGTGTGCGCCTTTTGGCATCGTCTGGTCCAACACCATGTGAGACTAGGCTCTAAAGAAAGCTGTCTCGGGTGTGGAACAATCAACTTCAAGGACAGTGCATACATTATCAGAGTTATGTTTTTTTGTTTGCATTACGACTGCATGTATTGTGGTCAATGCAAACATGACTTCCTTGTAAAAAAAAGGTGTCAGTTTTGTTGCCAGATAAAAGGGTAAAAAAAACAATTATCAATGCTAATGGTACCTGTACATATAGCAGCAGCAACAGCAGCAAGTGTCGTGGTGAATTAACACCGCAATTAATATGAACACCGCAAGGGCGTACGTTTTATTCAGGCATCAAGGTCAGGCAAGCAATTCGGTGGAATGACAAAGCTGCCTCGGCACTCGGGTGTCGGAAAATCTTAACCGGAGGCACCATGTCCTCTCCCCCGTGCCTCTTCACTTGTGCTGCTGTGTGCACGTGTACTGATGTGTGTGTGTGTGTACACAGCACTAATGCGTGTGTACGTGTACTGTTGTGTGTGCTGCCTAATGCGTGTGTGTGCGTGCTCTGATGTGTGTTTGTATGCAGCACGAATGCGTGTGTACGTGTAGTGTTGTGTGTGTGTGTATGCAGCACTAATGCGTGTGTGCTGCCGTGTGTACGTGTACTGATGTGTGTGTGTGTGTACAGCACTAATGCGTGTGTGCTGCTGTGTGTACGTGTACTGATGTGTGTGTGTATGCAGCACTAATGCGTGTGTGCTGCCGTGTGTACGTGTACTGATGTGTGTGTGTGTGTACAGCACTAATGCGTGTGTGCTGCTGTGTGTACGTGTACTGATGTGTGTGTGTGTACAGCACGAATGCGTGTGTGCTGCTGTGTGTACGTGTACTGATGTGTGTGTGTGTGTACAGCACGAATGCGTGTGTGCTGCCGTGTGTACGTGTACTGATGTGTGTGTGTGTATGCAGCACTAATGCGTGTGTGCTGCTGTGTGTACGTGTACTGATGTGTGTGTGTGTACAGCACGAATGCGTGTGTGCTGCTGTGTGTACGTGTACTGATGTGTGTGTGTATGCAGCACTAATGCGTGTGTGCTGCTGTGTGTACGTGTACTGATGTGTGTGTGTATGCAGCACTAATGCGTGTGTGCTGCCGTGTGTACGTGTACTGATGTGTGTGTGTATGCAGCACTAATGCGTGTGTGCTGCCGTGTGTACGTGTACTGATGTGTGTGTGTGTATGCAGCACTAATGTGTGTGTACGTGTACTGTTGTGTGTGTGTGTGTGTACAGCACTAATGCGTGTGTACGTGTACTGTTGTGTGTGTGTGTGTACAGCTCTAATGCGTGTGTACTTATACTGATGTGTGTATGCAGCACGAATGCGTGTGTACGTGTACTGTTGTGAGTGTACAGCACTAATGTGTGTGTGCTGCTGTGTGTACGTGTACTGATGTATGTGTGTGTATGCAGCACTAATGTGTGTGCTGCTGTGTGTACGTGTAATGATGTGTGTGTGTATGCAGCACTAATGTGTGTGTGCTGCCGTGTGTACGTGCTCTGTGTGTGTGTATACAGCACTAATGCGTGTGTACGTGTACTGTTGTGTGTGTGTACATCACTAATGCGTGTGTGCTGTGTGTACGTGTACTGATGTGTGTGTGTACAGCACTAATGCGTGTGTGCTGCTGTGTGCACGTGTACTGTTGGTGTGTGTGTACAGCACTAATGCGTGTGTACGTGTACTGTTGTGTGTGTGTACATCACTAATGCGTGTGTGCTGTGTGCACGTGTACTGTTGGTGTGTGTGTACAGCACTAATGCGTGTGTACGTGTACTGTTGTGTGTGTGTGTTTACATCACTAATGCGTGTGTGCTGCTGTGTGTACTGATGTGTGTGTGTATGCACACACACACATCAGTACACACACACACACATAAGTAGTGGGGAGCGGTGGTGCAGTGGTTAGCGCTACGCTGCTGTGCTACGAACCTGGGGACACGAGTTCGATTCCCGCTCACGACCAACACCACCCGGTGACGATTATCTGAACCGGTCCAGGGCCTCCCCTAGGTCGACTCAGCCTCAAATGAGTACCTGGTGCGGTGTGTAGGAAACATCGCCACTGGGGGAGACAAAGGCGGCCGGGCGTGGTGCTGTCCACCCACCCCCTCGTGTGCCGGGCCGGAACCTTAATAGGTGCTCGCTAACAGCACTTGCCCCTACAGTCTGTGAAGGCTACACGGGGATTATTTGTATGTATATAGTGTGGGGCATGGTGTGTATAGTACCAGAGGTGGGACAAAGTCATTGTTATGCAAGTCCAAGTCGAGTCTGAAGTCATCAAATTCATGACTCGAGTCTGACTCGAGTCCAAGTCACATGACTCGAGTCCACACCTCTGGTGTATACTGTGTGTGCTGTATAGTGGTGTACATTGCACACTTTATGTGCTATTTGCAGTGTGTTAAATCCCTGATTAAAGACCAATTCAGACCTTAGTGGTCACCACGTGCGTTTATAAATCTCGACGTTCATCCTACAAAGTTCCCAGAAACACAAATAGACAACACTTTTTATTTGTGTCAATATTTAAACGGATGTAACGCTGTATATGGACCTTTGTGTACACAATACATGGGCAGTGTGTGTACACAATATGTGTACACAATACATGGGCAGTGTGTGTACACAATACATGGGCAGTGTGTGTACACAATACATGGGGCAGTGTGTGTACACAATACATGGGGCAGTGTGTACACAATACATGAGCAAATTGTGTACACAATACATGGGCAGTGTATACACAATACATGGGTACAGTGTGTACACAATACATGGGCAGTGTGTGTACACAATACATGGGCAGTGTGTGTACACAATACATGGGCACAGTGTGTACACAATACATGGGCAAAGTGTGTGTACACAATACATGGGCAGTGTGTGTACACAATACATGGGCAAAGTGTGTGTACACAATACATGGGCAGTGTGTGTACACAATACATGGGCAGTGTGTGTACACAATACATGGGCAGTGTGTACACAATACATGGGCAGTGTGTGTACACAATACATGGGCAAAGTGTGTGTACACAATACATGGGCACTATGTGTACACAATACATGGGCAGTGTGTACACAATACATGGGCAGTGTGTACACAATACATGGGGCACAGTGTGTGTACACAATACATGGGCAAATTGTGTACAGAATACATGGGTACAGTGTGTACACAATACATGGGCAGTGTGTATACACAATACATGGGCAAAGTGTGTGTACACAATACATGGGCAGTGTGTGTAATGTACACACACGTGTGTGTGTGTGTTGTGTATACGCTTTGTGTGTTGATTGTGCAAGGCGGATCGCGGTGTTGTGGGTGTTGTGTACATGCAGTGCACACGTGGTCGTTACAGTGTGTGCAGTACACGTGCAGTACACGTGCAGTATGTTACACAGGCGATGCACTGTTAGTGTATAGACTGTACCCACGCAGTACACATCGTCCTGTATTATTGCATTACTGCATTAGAATGACACCATACACACAGTGCACTGTGTGTATGTCGCAGTGTGTGTGTGTACACCCGACAGTACACATGCAGTCGTACCCAGTGTACTGCGTTGCTATTAGTCGTAGTACTGTAGTATTATTAGTATTATTGATATCACACACCGCTTGGAATGAGTACAGCACTCACATGAGTCCGGTAAACACGGTGCAATGTGTGTCTGTGTGTACACCCCACAGTACACACACACACACAGACACACACACACGGCGAGTGTTAATGAATATCACACAGACACACACACAGACAGACACACACGGTGCAGTGTGTGTGTCTGTGTGTACACCCTACAGTACACACACAGACTAACACACACACAGACTAACACACACAGACTAACACACACACACAATATCACACAGACACACACACAGACAGACAGACACACACGGTGCAGTGTGTGTCTGTCTGTGTGTACACCCTACAGTACACACACAGACTAACACACACACAGACTAACACACACACACACAATATCCCACAGACACACACACAGACAAACACACACGGTGCAGTGTGTGTCTGTCTGTGTGTACACCCTACAGTACACACACACAGACTAACACACACACAGACTAACACACACACACAATATCACACAGACACACACACAGACAGACACACACGGTGCAGTGTGTCTGTCTGTGTGTACACCCTACAGTACACACACAGACTAACACACACACAGACTAACACACACACACAATATCACACAGACACACACACAGACAGACACACACGGTGCAGTGTGTGTCTGTCTGTGTGTACACCCTACAGTACACACACAGACTAACACACACAGACTAACACACACACACACAATATCACACAGACACACACACAGACAGACACACACGGTGCAGTGTGTGTCTGTGTGTACACCCTACAGTACACACACAGACTAACACACACAGACTAACACACACACACAATATCACACAGACACACACACAGACAGACACACACGATGCAGTGTGTGTGTGTCTGTGTGTACACCCTACAGTACACACACAGACTAACACACACACAGACTAACACACACACACAATATCACACAGACACACACACAGACAGACACACACGGTGTAGTGTGTGTGTGTCTGTGTGTACACCCTACAGTACACACACAGACTAACACACACACAGACTAACACACACACAATATCACACAGACACACACACAGACAGACACACACGGTGCAGTGTGTCTGTCTGTGTGTACACCCTACAGTACACACACAGACTAACACACACACAGACTAACACACACAGACACACACACAGACACGGAAAGTGTTGATGAATATCACAGACACACGGTGCAGTGTGTCTGTGTGTGTCTGTCTGTGTGTGGGTGTCTGTGGGTGTCTGTGTGTGTCTGTGTGTATCTGTCTGTCTGTCTATGTGTATCTGTCTGTCTGTGTGTGTGTGTCTGTGTACTGTGTGTGTCAGTGTGTGTGTGTCAGTGTGTGTGTGTGTCAGTGTGTGTGTGTCTGTGTGTGTATCTGTGTGTGTGTATCTGTGTGTGTGTCTGTGTGTGTGTCTGTGTGAGTGTCTGTGTGTCTGTGTGTGTGTCTGTGTGTCTGTGTGTGTGTGTCTGTGTGTGTGTGTCTGTGTGTGTGTCTGTGTGTGTGTCTGTGTGTCTGTGTCTGTGTGTCTGTGTGTGTGTGTCTGTGTGTGTGTCTGTGTGTGTGTCTGTGTGAGTGTCTGTGTGTCTGTGTGTGTGTCTGTGTGTGTGTGTCTGTGTGTGTGTGTCTGTGTGTGTGTCTGTGTGTGTGTCTGTGTGTGTGTGTCTGTGTGAGTGTCTGTGTGTCTGTGTGTGTGTATGTGTGTGTGTCTGTGTGAGTGTCTGTGTGTCTGTGTGTGTGTCTGTGTGTGTGTGTCTGTGTGTGTGTGTCTGTGTGTCTGTGTGTGTGTCTGTGTGTGTGTCTGTGTGTGTGTGTCTGTGTGTGTGTGTGTGTGTCTGTGTGTCTGTGTGTGTGTCTGTGTGTGTGAGTGTCTGTGTGAGTGTCTGTGTGTCTGTGTGTGTGTCTGTGTGTGTGTGTCTGTGTGTGTGTCTGTGTGTGTGTGTCTGTGTGTGTGTCTGTGTGAGTGTCTGTGTGTCTGTGTGTGTGTCTGTGTGTGTGTGTCTGTGTGAGTGTCTGTGTGTCTGTGTGTGTGTATGTGTGTGTCTGTCTGTGTGTGGGTGTCTGTGTGTCTGTGTGTATCTGTCTGTTTGTCTATGTGTATCTGTCTGTCTGTGTGTGTCTGTGTACTGTGTGTGTCAGTGTGTGTGTGCTACTCACAGCAGCCCGCTGCACGCCGTGCACACGAACGTGCCGAGGCTCACGTCCACGTACGTGGGGCCCCGCTGGGCGCACTCGAAACACCGCCGGTTGTGCAACAGGGACGACATCTCCCGCAGCAGCCGCAGATGTTCATCCTCCTTCTTCTCCTCCTCCTCCTTCTTCTTGTTGGTGTTCTTGTTGTTGTTACTGATGCTGCTGCCCGTCGCCATGTCTCCCGTGCGCTTTGCCACTGCTCTCTCTCTCTCTCTCTCGCTCTCTCCTTCACCCACCCACCACTAATACTGCTACCACCACTACTACCCCCCACCACTACCAGCACTACCCCCACCACTACTACCCCCCACTAACACTACCACCACCACTACTACCCCCCACCACTACCAGCACTACCCCCACCACTACTACCCCCCACTAACACTACCACCACCACTACTACCCCCCACCACTACCAGCACTACCCCCACCACCACCACTACCACCCCCACCACCACTAATACCACCACCACTACCACTCCCACCACCACTACCACTACTACCCACCACGACTACCCCCACCACCACTACCACCACTACTACTACCACCACTACCCCCACCACCACTACTACCCCCCACCACTACCACCACCACTACCACCCCCACCACTACTACCCCCACCACCACTACCACTCACCACTACTACCCCCACCACCACTACCCCCACCACTACCACTACTATCCCCTACCACTACCCCCACCACCACTACCCCCCACCACTACCACTACTACCCCCACCACTACCACCACTACTACTACCACCACTACCCCCACCACCACTACCACTCACCACTACTACCCCCACCACCACTACCCCCACCACTACCACTACTATCCCCTACCACTACCCCCACCACCACTACCCCCCACCACTACCACTACTACCCCCACCACTACCACCACTACTACTACCACCACTACCCCCACCACCACTACTACCCCCCACCACCACTACCACTACCCCCCACCACCACCTCCTCCTCTCCCCTGCCGTCTGGACGTGACCCTCTCCGGCTATAACGGGTCGGAGAGGGGTGGGTGGTGGTGGTTGGTGGTGGTGGTGGCATTCGTGTTGTGGTGGTGTCGTTCTTCTTGTGATGTCATTCATCTTGTGGTGTCATTCATCTTGTGGTGTCATTCATCTTGTGGTGTCGTTCATCTTGTGGTGTCATTCATCTTGTGGTGTCATTCATCTTGTGGTGTCATTCATCTTGTGGTGTCATTCATCTTGTGGTGTCATTCATCTTGTGGTGTCGTTCATCTTGTGGTGTCATTCATCTTGTGGTGTCATTCATCGTGATGTCATTCATCTTGTGGTGTCGTTCATCTTGTGGTGTCATTCATCTTGTGGTGTCATTCATCTTTGTAATGTCATTCATCTTGTGGCGGTGTCATTCATCTTGTGGTGTCATTCATCTTGTGATGTCATTCATCTTGTGGTGTCGTTCATCTTGTGGCGGTGTCATTAATGTACGGGCGGGGAAAACTCGGAGATTTCTACTTAAAACACATTGTCCTGCGGAGGGAGCTGGTAGGAACGTTGGGTTGCTCGGTCAATGGCCTGCAGGGTCAACGGCGGCGTGGTGTATTCCGCAAATATGCCCGACTGTGAGGGCGGGCACAAGCCGGCGTGAGTAGGTTAAACGTTGAGTTTTATAAGGGCACCACGGGGTGACCAGCCCCTCCCCACCCAGCCCAACCCCTCCCACTCCCCACCCAGCCCCACCCTCCCCACCCAGCCCCACCCCTCCCACCCAGCCCCTCCCCACCTCCCCTCCCCACCCAGCCCCACCCTCCCACCCAGCCCCACCCCTGCCACCCAGCCCCTCCCCACCCTCCCCACCCAGCCCCACCCTCCCCACCCATCCCCTCCCCACCCTCCCCACCCAGCCCCACCCTCCCCACCCATCCCCTCCCCACCCAGCCCCTTCCCACCCTCCCCACCCACCCAGCCCCTCCCCACCCTCTCCACCCAGCCCCATCCCTCCCATTTTTGGATGCACGACGGACGGACACAATAATCCCCTGTGGGCTGGTGTAACCAGGAGGTTCCTACCAGTAAAATAGGTGTTTACCATTCCTGGCAATCTTTTTAATAAATGTTTTCCCCTACAACATCAGAGTGCAGCGCCACATTAAATACGCACTACAATGACAATAGTTTAAAGCGATTTGAAGCATGTTTTTATTTTTTTTGGGGGGGGGGGGGCAGAGCTTTGTGACGTCATATTTGAGAGGGGGGGGGTCTGACTTTTTGTGACGCCGTGTGACGAGGGGGGGAGAGGGTCAAAAATCGTCCAAAATCACGTGACGTCATTTATGGACGGCCCTTTACGTGACAAACCTTTACTAATTGGCCGTGTCGGGTGGTGGTGGCGGCGGATTTAACGACACAACATTAATATTTAAGCGATCTAACCCCAAAAAAAACACCTATTATGGATATTGGTCGCGAAAGCCTACTGCTACTCTACTGCTGCCTGTTACTCAGAAACCCACCGCATCCAAGGTTGCTGGACCACAGGAGTGCATAGCCACCAATTCATTAATTCGGCCGGTCACCTTTGAGACTTATTTTGGAGCGGTTGTGTGTGCTAAAGGGTTAGGAAGACACCCAATTGCACAGGCTCACCCAGTGATTCCATTCCATAGGTAAGTATAACGGCTTTAGAATTGATATTCAAGAGGGGGCAGAGCAGCATTACTTTAGCAGCACCACGTGACCATCATCCCTGCAAGTTTTGTCTCACTACATAACCCCTTAAGGCTGGGGGAGGGGGGGTAATGTATAGTGCTTGTCAAGGCCGTAATTATAATATATTGGGGGGGGGGGACACACATCCCCCCCCCCCCCCAAAATATTCAAATATGCTCAAAATGTCCCCCCCCAATATATTGCTATAAAAATTAACCCGTAAAAACAAAGTTTTTCACTATAAATCATTTATATGCGTGGCGGCTAGAGTCCTCTCGTCCTCTGGCTTGAGATGGCTGCCACCTATGGGTCAGATGATTGTCTGCCACCATTAAGCAATTGGTAATTAAATATTTTAACAAAAATTCCCTAAACAGTGTAAAATTTGGGAATTTTTTTTTCACGAAAATAAATTGTCACGCACAACGAGTCTGTGTGCAAAATGTCAGCTCGATTGGATCACGGGAAGTGGGTTAAAAAACGACCGAAAGATTTGCATGGTCGTAAGCAAGCAAGCACGCAAGCACGCAAGCAAGTAAACTTAATATAAAGGATTTAAAAATAATTGCTATGTTATGTAAATAAAAACAACAATTTGCTGAACCTTGGCCACACTATCTGGACTTGTCTTCATGCAGACTTTTCAATACGTGCAAAATAATTTTTCGTCTATTTGTTTGTGTTTCTCCCTTGTGATGGGACTTTGTGGGATGAACGTTGAGATTTCTAAGGGCACGGGGGGTGATCAATAAGGTCTGAATTGGTCTGTAATAAGGTAGGGCACTGATAAGGGGTTGACAGATACGCAATACATGTGACGTGAAGAACAGCCACTGATGCATTTTTCACTTCACCAAAACAGGGCGGGTAAGCAATTATACAAACAGCAGCAGCCGGGTATGATCTTTCACCAATACTTCAAGTTCATTGGAAGAATAGTTTTTATTTAACAGTATGCACATTTACACAGCACAGTGCCTGTTGACTAAACAAGGGTCATGTACCGCGTGGTATGAATATGAACGGATGCACTTGCGGACAAGACAAAAACGATGCTCAGTTTCAAGTCTCGAAGAAAGCACGCGCACAACACGGACATTGAAAATCTGCGCATTCAGAGCACCGCACGTTCAGCCAGAATAATAAATCACAATAATAATCAAAGCAGGAACTTGATAATATCCGCCACGCTGCAGCAATCTCAAAGAAGCCGACCAAAAGGGTCCACTTATCATGGTGCCAGACGTGGGAACAGGTAACTTGTTTTTTGTAAATCTCAATTCTACACCAACAGACACTTGCCCTGCAAAGAAAAAAATAATAATTCATTTCTATTCGAGGTGATGTCAATGTTGCTACGTTTCCGCGACCATTGGAAAGCAGACGCAAGCCACGCTTGGCTCTTCCAGGTAAGGCTCAACACTTCAAGTCTCCATCTCTGTGGATGCAGACCCTACCATAATGTCCCACCCTAAATTTTTTTATTTATTTACTAGGCAAAGCCCACTGACCCAACCCAGAGTAAGACCCAACTCCATTCCCTCTGCAGCTAAAGGGACGCACTCACTTTGCTTTTTAACAAGGTTTCACTTACGCCGGCTTGAGCTAGGTTATACGATCCAAAACAAAATGTTTTATATTGTTCAGCGTATTATTTTTTTCGCAAACACGGTGCTACATTTCATAATCAGAAGTGCATTTGCCGATTAAAGCACACTGAGCTGAGTAGCTCTTTTTCAAGGGCGACTCGTTGCAGATGAGATGTTACTCTCTAACCTGTGGCGGCCCAGGTTAGAGAGTAACATCTCCCTTGGGAATGCAGACCACGTGGCGTAGTTGCTGCTGGCTTGGCCGAATGCTCCCATGGGAATTGGGACCGGGCCCACTTTCTAGGTGCAGAAACTGGGCCGATTTGCTGCGCCAATGGGCACGGGTAGGCAGTGTGTTGAAAATTGGGATTCACCAGATCGCTGGGTGGAATTTCCACTTCATGTTTAGGGATCACCAAGTGCACTGCCCAAAAACTTCCGGCAGTGTCTAGTGCTCAGACCAAAATATTATAACTAGAAAGGTAAGTATAAGAGGCTGGATTAATGCCTTTGAAAGTGGAATCATGTGTCCCCCGGACAACACAATTCTATTTTACGAGTATGATTAAAACAAAGGAATTGTATTCATGTTTGTACAGATGAATGTAAATTGTGTTAAATATTGTACAACATCCGCAAGACGGTTCCCCAATTATTTACCTTTAATACAGCGGCACCAAATAATAAATGCCCTGTATTGAGAGTTGGAACAAAATACCAATCGTATGTTTGATTGAAAAATGTAATCTCACGTGGTATTTTCCATCGTATCAATAAACCTTTGGGAATGATTGTACTATTCTTATTATTATTGCCAAATCTCATTAAATTTGGGGGCATTGTTGCTGGAATTAAATGCTATTATTTCATCAAAAAGGTGATAACACTTTCCAAGTGCCTATTTCAACAACACATACACTGCAAGGTGGTCAGATATATTCAGGTTCGAACACTACTTGGTAATAATGGAAGAATGCCTTCGAAAGAGATTATTTCAGCGTCAACCACGAAGGCGGAGCGGTAGATTGCGCCCGTGCGCACCGTGCGCAGGCGTTCGACGGATTGTTGCAACGCAAGACCGAGAGATATCGACGGTTTGGGGAGGCCTTCACTCAGCAGTGGATAGATCATGGCTGATGATGAGGACGATGACAGCAGCGCAAATAATCGACGTAACTTTCGATTTAAAGCTTTCGTGACTGCAGGGATTCATCTTCTTGGTTCTTTCGGTAAAGTCACGTAGAAGGGAAATAATAAAATAATAAAAATTCAATTTTTTTTTTATGTTTTATTTTTATTATTTATTATTTCCCTTCTACGTGACTTTACCGAAAGAACCAAGAAGATGAATCGACGTAACGTTTACGCGTGGTGGTTTACGTTCGGCATCTACTACCAGGGCAGTCAGTGGGATCCAACGTTCCCCTTTGGCGACAATGCCCTCTATGATAACACTGGTCGACAAAAAAAAACATTTTTTTCTGGCCTGGACTTTTGCAGCTGTTTTAAACTAATTTCAGGGTGCTGATTCCAAATCTGATTCTCAGATTTGCTCCATCACATCTCATTTTTATGCTATCGGCATACCCCATTTTCATTGATTTTACCCGAAATTAACTCTGTCACTTATGATTGCAAGTTGTTGCGAGTCAGTGACTGCTTTAGTGTTAAAATATGGTGCTGTATTTTTAGGATAGTGTGTTTATAATATAATTTTATGTAGATATCCACATTTATTTAATATTTTTCTTCTGCAATTTTTATTGAAAATGCAGTATTTGATATCTCAAAAACCTCATGTGATAGACAAAAACTGATGCCAAATTTGGAATCAGCACCCCAAAATTACCTTAAAACCGTTGGAACACCTTATGCCAGAAAAAGTGTGTTGACCAGTGTAATACATTGTACGGCAAAAGCCAACCAGAAGCCAAAGAGCATACTTTGCATATCGCGGTGGTGGCATCACCATTTCCACAAAATTTGCGCACGTGGCCGACACTCGCCACACCATCTCAACAGAGATGAAATTGCAGTCCATTTAAATTGTAAGTATTTAGTAGAAGAGGAATGACAACTGTAGACCGTCTTCTTGGTTCTTTCAGTAAAGTCACGTAGAAGGGAAATAATAAAATAATACAAATAAAACATAATAAAATACAATTCTCACGACGTTTCGGCCACAACGCAAACGTCGTGAGAATTGTATTTTATTATGTTTTATTATTTCCCTTCTACGTGACTACCGAAAGAACCAAGAAGATGATTCCCTGCAGTCACGAAAGCTTTAAATCGAAACTGTAGACCGGTTTAAGCCTAATTAGGAGTCATCAGTACAGTTACAGCCCCCGCCATTGCTTACTGCTGCCGTTTGTGAGTGTCTCTCTTTGAAACCGCGGGGACACATTTGGCACAAGTCCAAAAGCGACAAGAAAAACAGATTCCAATCATTCTCTGCAGATGTTTCCCCATCTCAATTTCACGATTAAACTACGGCATTAAAAACTGACCCACAGATAAAGTGTAAACCAAGCACACATTCGTTGTAATCTAGCCACTGCAAAACAAAACGACAACCGACCCTCGAAAAAACGAGATGCGATTAGACGAATTGTCAAGATTCGAGGTCATGGTTGGATTGAAGCGGCAATTAATTTCGGCAAACATTTTTTTTGCAGCTGTACCATCTCGTTTGCATCGACGCTTGCTCGCTCCATGAGCCTAAGTGTATCGTCGGTATACATCTCTGTGGTTCGCTTGCACGGGTTCCTTCGACTGCTCCATCGTGCTTCAGGAGAGGCGCCAACCCTTGCTACCGCTTGCTGATGCCACTGGCAGCAGAAGGGCCGACGCAGAAGCAAACTCTTTCGATGCTGACCAGATGTGCGTAACCCAGAGGTCGCAACCGGGTACCCGATACCCGTACCCTACCCGATACCCGGCTACCCGTACCCGGCCGGGTACGGGTACGGGTAGCCGTTTGCGACCCTGGTGCGGCCGGGTACGGGTAGGCCGTGAGTCACTGGTGAGTAACCGTTTGTCACTCATTTCTGGTAGGGTACGGGTACGGGTAGGGAACGAGTAACCGTACCCGGCCGGGTACGGGTACCGGGTACCCATTTGCGACCCTGGTGCAGCCGAGTACGGGTAAGGAATCAAAACCCGTTTGCGACCTCTGGCGTAACCGAATCGAATGTGCACGCTTTGATGGAGCATCAGGAGTGTAAGGAATTGTATTCATGAGTAATTAAATGAATCATAATCAGACACTCCGGGATCCCTTACAAAACAGGTAATGAATCCGAGTGTAGATTGTCAAATGGTTAAATTATTTCAGATACATTTGAATCATGTATATATTAATGCGGTATAAGTATAATATTCGCGGCAATTAATGAAAGGACTGATGCCAATTTATTCATCGTAATATTACACCTCTACACACGCGGCAGAGCCCGGAAGCCGAGTCACTCAACCTATTCAGGATGGGATGGTCATGCCCGTGACCAAAAAATCTCTCGCAGTGCACCGCATCTTGTCAAATTTCTCAAGCCGAGCATCGTCAAAGCCTGGTACGAGTGCTTGCCTGGGCGACCGCCACGCACAGACAAGGGCATCATAGGTGGCTGCATGGGCAAAGTCCATTGTTTTACTATACATGCCGTCTCTGTCAGCGGTGGGCAACCCAGACGAGTTAGTGGGCCACTATGAGCGGCACTCCTTCACCTGGGCGGGCCGCGAGTTCGGCACCGTGCTTGTGCACTAATCGTGACCCCCACGCACCTATGCATCATCCTGGACACACGTGTGACCGGGCCGCCATGAGTGGCTCCACGGGACAACATGCGGCCTTCTCTGCCACATCTATGCTCCGCCCACCTTCACCGACCCGCACTGACAACGTGGAGGGAGCATGGTTGGTTAGATTACCCCCACAACCCACGCACAGCGAGGGAAGCCCTCATCCAGCAGTGGATTAGCAAAGATATTGTGCTTGTACATGATATAATAAAGTTTAATGACAAAATAACTTCGTATGGATTTGTTTCGAACGCTTGCTATATGGTACGCCAAAATGTCTTCAGTTTTTATTTGTCTGGGAGGAAATTGGAGTTAAGTGGAGAAATCCACAGATTCCATATGGCAGCCTAACACTGACAAGCCCTCAAACATGGGTGAGAGAAACCTGCTTCCTTTACTGCCCTTCAGCCCCATCGGTGGGAACCTCACAACTCTACGTGATCCATCACCCCTGCAGTCAGGATGCTAGAACACAGCTGCGATCCGAATCGCACGTGGCGGCCAAGTAAAGTTCACCGGCAACGACAAGTTGCGATGGGCGGAACACAAGCACATAGCGGAGGGGGAACGGTTTACCGAGACAGGCATTGAAGTGAAATCCAGACGTCTGCGCCCAAGAAAAAGACCCTAGAGCCAGGTGGGCGTGGAGACTCAAGAGCAGAGCTTGAGGTCGGGTGTCGATTGTACAGCAGATGTGGGATCTGACAGAAAGGGGAAAGAGATGGCGTGATGCAGTGGGCGTCAACGGAATTTTCCGTGACGTCTTGGATGTACGTGTGTTGAACTTCTTTCGCACCGTACGTAGCCAACCGTGCTAATCTGAGGTGCGGGTGGGGGGGAAGGACAACAAACTAAACACTAAAAGCCCACCTTATTACAGGCCAATTCAGTACGTGTCTGCACGGAGATTTGTATATTTGCAACGGAACGTTGTGGCTTAGTAAATATCTGAATGGGTGATGATTGTAAAATTATATTTGCAGACGTGGATATAAAAAAAAAACTTGTCGGCTGTGGTCCATACGGACTGCAGATCAATAAGAATGCATTGTAAAATAAAAACGAGGTACAATCAACTGCCTTTACCAATTGCGGTGGTCCCCAATTGTGCGATTAGATTCGGTGACGAGTGGGCAGGGAGTACTCGTTCTAAACATCTCACAACAGAACGCAACTGGAAAGAAAGTAGCCTTCGCAGCTCGGGGAGATGCACGCAGAAAAGATGCGAGGAACCTTAATCCTGACTCGGGACCAAATAGGAATTTTAAATATATATTTGGCATGCCACATATTAACACGCACCTTAGTGTTATCCAATAATAATGTGAAAAGAGATGACGGCTCACCTTTACAGGTGATTGTGCGTGCTCGACATTGACACGGTGTCAAAAATATTCCTCTAGTACCCAAAAAGTCCGGCTACGATGCTTGCAGTGGATAAATGTCTTGCAGGCCATTTCGAAGTGGTAAACCTCGTGTGGCTCGGGAAGAGGGGGGTGACGGCGCACATTAAATTATGTCACGGGCCACATTGGACCAATGGGCCATAAGTTCGGCACCCCTGCCCTTGGGTGAAGAGTGTTTAGTTTATACACGGCGATACGGGCAACGGGCACAATGATGTGCACACGTCACCAACAGTCCAACACGTCCCGCTGGTGGTAAACGACCGAGAGCTCGAATTCCTATCTGGTGTTCGTCCTCCGGTGTCGGCAACAAGCGTGCCACTTAGTGGGAAGTCAACAGTGAATCTCCTAATCGTCCTCCTGATGACGATCGCTTGTGTTGCGATCGAAACGTCGTCGTTTTTTTGTTATTTTCTTTTAACCTATCTACGTGACTTTACCGAAAGACCCAACGAATATGAATTCCTGCAGTCACGAAAGCTTTAGGTGAAAATCCTACGGATATACTGGCCCTGCCATAGGATCGTGGAGTTTCGACCGCGGGCTTAGGGACTCTCGCAAAAGCTGAGCAACCACCCCTGGAAAAAGTCAGATTTTTTTTAAATAAAAATAAAGGGGATTTCATTTGTGAATTTCACACCGGTCAAACTGGGCGGCCGCAGCTTCTCACTCATTGGGGGAAGCATCAGTGCAGCGCAGCCTCGTGCCACCTGCATCACCGTCGCAGCCAGAGCCACCCGTTCATGAGGAAGACGAGCCCGGTGAGTGAGAAGAGCAGAACCTCTCGGCGTTGGCGAGCGTGAGCGGCGCGTTCCACCGCCTGCAACCGGCCCGCCAGCCGCGAAACCTGCACGGCAACACGGCACCACATTGACACAACACTCGGGGCGGATGTGCCATCACACAAGGACTGCTCGGCCATCACCAACAGTCGTTTTTCCATTCTAGATTTGAAGCTTTCGTGACTGCAAGGTTATACTCTTAGGTTTTTTCGGTAAAGTCACCTCTACGGGGAGGAATTTGTATTTTTTACCTACGTGACTTTACCGAAAAAACCTAAGAATATGACCTTGCAGTCACGAAAGCTTCAAATCTAGAGTTAATACCCTCTACGGGGAGAAATTTTTATTTTTTACCTACGTGACTTACCGAAAAAAACCTAAGAATATGACCTTGCAGTCACGAAAGCTTCAAATCTAGAGTTAATACCCTCTACGGGGAGGAATTTTTATTTTTTACCTATGTGACTTTACCGAAAAAACCTAAGAGTATAGTCGTTTTTCCAGTATAGTAATAAGTTTTTACCCTTTCAACTGGTACAAAAACTGACACCTTTATACAAGGGATCATGTTTGCAATGACCACAACACAAGCAGTAAAAATGCAAACAAAAAGAAACAACTCTGATAATGATGATATGCACTGTCCTTGAAGTTGATTGGTCCACACCCGAGACAGCTTTTCTTAGAGCCTAGTCACCATTGGTGTTGGACCAGATGACGCCAAAAGGCGTACAACTTTTTCCGTCCGTCCGTGCGTCGTTGGTCCATCCATCATTGCAGTGCTCTGATGACATCGCTGTGACATCACTGTTCTCCTCAATCAGTTTCCACATGGTGGCCAATCATCGTCATCGCTTTCCCAAGTCCACCATTTTGATGCTGCCTCCGGTGTAATGGTTAGCACACTGGAATTGCAAATCAGGTCGCCCGTTAAATTCCATCTCCCGGCACACGGCAGTGAAAACAATGGGGCAAGTTTCTTAAATCCTCCCGCTATGTCCGCCATAGCAGTGTGAATGGGTACACCACAGTCGACCGGCAGGTCGCGGGTTGGCGGAATCACGTGTGGGTACCCACCCGCTTTCTCCAAGACATCTGGCCAGCATTGAAAAGACGGTCAAAATACCCATGTCGAACATAGATATAGTTTCAACGCTCTGGGAGAGATCCGAATTGACCCTTCATCTCACGGCATGACGCCGACGGCACAATCGCGATTGAACGTGGGAAACGGAGAATTGGAATTTGAATAACAAGCAGAGGTCGCAACCGGGTACCCGATACCCGTACCCTACCCGATACCCGGCTACCCCTACCCGGCCGGGTACGGGTACCCGTTTGCGACCCTGGTGCGGCCGGGTACGGGTAGGCCGTGAGTCACTGGTGAGTAACTGTTTGTCACTCATTTCCCAACGTCTTGTCTCTTCTCACAATTCAAGTTCCTAGAATCAACCCACCCGCGCCTGCAACATGGCTTCATCCCAGAGGTCACAATCAGGTACCCGATACCCATACCCTACCCGTACCCGGTCGGGTACGGGTAGGGTATGGGTACCCGTTTGCGACCCTGGTGCGGCCGGGTACGGGTACGGGTAAGGAATCAAAACCCGTTTGCGACCTCTGATAACAAGTAACAATAACCCACGTTACCTGACTGTTCACTACTGCAAGATCCAGCTCCAGACCGTCTGCGTACTGATCCTCCCCCACGTCATCCACGAGCACCAGTTCTTGCCTGCCGAGGAGGAAATCATACGCGGGGCCCATGAGTGGCTCTCTCCCAATACTCTTTGGTTCTTTCGGTAAAGTCACGTAGGTATAAAATAAAATAAATCACGACGTTTCGGGCGCTTGTGTTGCGTCCGAAACGTCGTGATTTCTTTTATTTTATACCTACGTGACTTTACCGAAAGAACCAAAGAGTATGGATTCCTGCAGTCACGAAAGCTTCAAATCAAGATTCTCTCCCAATATGCTTCTCTGTTCAGAGACAAGTCATCACACATTTACTGGCACCTGCTTAATAAACATGTAGATCCATACAGAATCAGAATATTGATTTATACTGGAGGAATCCGATGAGCTAGAAATATATTTTTCACATAAAACAAATTAAGTTTGGTAAATGGCGGTATTGCACATGTGTTCCTTTGAAAGGCGAGGTCTCAGTTGATGAAAACTATTAAAATAATTAGAAGTTTATTCCCATTTAGCTGCTCGGGGCATTCACTTACACAGGACAATCTCACCGAGTCTCAAGACTCTTATCACGAGGGTCCTGCTTAGGATGTTGGGCCGATGCACTCTAGCACGCACGAGGAAACGTGAGCCCTTTGAAAAGATCCTCGCGTAGAGCGGACAGAGTGTGGTAGTAGTGGAGATGCACACGTGTGAACAGGCTCTAACGTTAGCATTCTCGTGGGACGCAAGAGCCCTTATCGCGTCGTACGTGCAGGATCCACAACAAGCAAGAGACACGTTAACAGCATCTTTTGGCAAAGCTCCAGAGCTGGGGTATAATAACAATTATAATTGTGTCAATCGTCATGAAACGCAGTCGCAAAGTAATTGCAACGTTGGCTAACAATGGCTGGTGCCGTTCTGATCACAACTGACCCCCAGATCTGCCAAAAAATGACATTGACGTTTGCTGTGACAAGAGCAGAAGGGGCTGAGATTACCTGAGCGGATTGAGGGAAGGGCTGGATTTGGAAGGACTGAGAAGGGATCTTGGGCTAGAAAGGGCAGGCAGTGGAAAAAGATCAAAATAAAGGGAAAATGACAGCCAAGAAGGTAAGAACGGAGGAGTGTTCTTTCTCAGTTTTTAGGCTGCGAGGCAGTGGCGTAGCGCGGTTGGCATGGGCCCCGATTCACGGGATGTAATGGGTCCCGTGTCCCATGTCACACAGAGGTCGCAAATGGGTTTTGATTCCTTACCCGTACCCGTACCCGGCCGCACCAGGGTCGCAAACGGGTACCCGTACCCGGCCGGGTACAGGTAGGGTACGGGTATCGGGTACCTGATTGCGACCTCTGGGATGAAGCCATGTTGCAGGCGCGGGTGGGTTGATTCTAGGAACTTGAATTGTGAGAAGAGACACAAGACGTTGGGAAATGAGTGACAAACGGTGACTCACCAGTGACTCACGGTCTACCCGTACCCATACCCGGCCGCACCAGTGTCGCAAACGGGTACGGGTACGGGTATCGGGTACCCAGTTGCGACCTCTGATGTCACATCATCGAGCCGGAGGGCCCATGGGCTCTGGTGCAGCTACACCGCCTGCACCCTCGGTAACTATGCCACCGCCTCGAGGGTCAACCACGGAGCTTGAGGAAGGTAAAGGAGCCATTCGAACACATGCAAAGCGATGGCACACAAATTGTACAGGAATGAATGACAGCCTATAACAAGCTCCAGTTAAAAAATTAGCAAAACATTATTTTATCACAATTGAAGGGATGATAGCCATTAAAAAATGAGCCGTGTTAAAATTTAGCTTCGAGCATTCTAACTCCTATATTCTGTATTTAACATATTTTATTTTACCAGGTAAGTCCCACTGAGCTATGGAGTTCTTTTCAAGCTGCGACCTGACCACAAATGATAGTTCAACGAAGCGGCTCATCATGTGGAAATTCATAGCAGCCATATATTTGGTGTGCATAAGCAGTCGCGTGATTCGGAAGAGCCAATCGCACAAGAAAGCCCCCTGCCAGTGAGGCTTTGGCACCGCGCGAGTTGTCGTGAAGAACAAGCAATGACGCGACACCACATTTTTAGTCAAATTGGGGAAGCCGCCCTCCAGAGCCGAGTTCAATTCCCGGTCACGGCTAACATCGGTGGCAATATCTCATCCGGATCTGGTCTCCCACCCTTCAAGCAACCAATTCCACAAAGTGTTTATAACGGGACCGCGTAGAGCAACGGGAATGCCGCCACAGATGCGAAAGCGCCATCGCTGCCACTGACACTTGCACGTGACGGACAGGCCCGAGGTTGACGCCGTGGGAAACGCTGCGTCGCGCTGACTCACGCATGCTGCCGTTGAGCGGGCGTGCCCAGCCGAGGTCCTCGCTCACTCAGCGACCGCTCCCTGTACGGCCGAGCACCTGGGTTCTTTCTCTAAAGGATGAGAGAAAACTCCTCAATGTGGTGAAAACGACAGGAGAATTCGCGTTGTAAGTGAAATGTGATCATGCCACCGCCACCGCTAAGCGTGCACGTTAATGTGAGCTACGAACTGCAATGTGAATTTCTCCCTTATTAATTGTTCATGAGCATGATATATCGAGCTATGGAGTGCAAAATAAATTTTGCGATAATTAAACCAAAAGAGTAGGCACACCCGATAGGATCATCACTGCGGCGATGGAGCTCCGAGGTTAGTTCATGCGCAGTAGCGAAATGGCTTGCACTATCACGGGACTATGAATCGTTATCAGCATACCATCTCGAGCTGCGGACTGAACTGGGGAACATCACCCCCCTAATAAGACTTGGCAGAACGGCAAAGTAATAACACGGGACATCTGGCCACGTCCGACACTTATCGGTACATTGTACAAGTCGGCCGCAGCCGGTGCCAGAGTTGAGTCTCTCGCACGCGCGTTTCGTTGCATACCCGCTGCACCGGCGGTCTCGATGGCGTCTCGGCCGCCACGGAGGGCGACGATGCCGGTGGCACGAGGCTGATGTAGTCCAGCGGCTGCTCCTCCAGCGTGAGCACGCGCGGCGGAGTCTGCAGGTGGAACATCTCTCGCGGGAGCTCCACGGAGAACCGTGGACCTTGCATGGACGAGCGGCTGGGGTCCTGCCCGGAGTCTACAGGACAAAAATGGTACGCCCCGTTTCCGTGACTGACCTTCGGACAGCTGACCCGCGCCGTGCTAGGTTTGTTCCAAGAAGCGAACAGATCACCTTACTTTTCGATTTAAAGCTTTCGTGACTGCAGGGAGTCATCTTCATTCAGACGCTGTCTTTCCGACAGACCTGTTCTTCACCTGAGGACGGCTGCTTGCGTTGTGGACGAAACGTCGTGAGAATTGTATTTTATTATGTTGTATTTTTATTATTTTATTATTTCCCTTCTACGTGACTTTACCGAAAGAACCAAGAAGAGGTCACCTTACGACTGCGTCGGGTTTTCTAAGTTGTGCTGTACAGTTTGCCGATGTGGTTTTTGGGTTGTACGATGCCGTTGATCGGAATGGTGTCGGATGCTTCGCTCCTGAAAAAAGCTCCCAGCAAGTGGAGAAAAACGTTGGGACACCATGCCAAGCCAACACGTGGTACAACCCACAAAAAAACACATCAAAGAACAAGTTGCCTGATTTTAAGCTTTCGTGACTGCAGGAATTACTCTTTGGTTCTTTCGGTAAAGTCACGTCGATAGAAAATAAATGTAATAACAGAATACGACGTTTCGATTGCAACACAAGCAGTCGTCATCAGGTAGAACTAAATTTGAGAGAGAGACAAAACACAGACACGGAGACACACAGACAGACACACAGACAGACACATAAACGGACGTGAACAAGAGGTCTCGTTGGAAGACAGAGACAGAGAGAGAGAGTGCTGCTTACCGGCGACCATGATTCTCTCCGGCACCTCCATCACCATCGCCGGGTGATGATAGTGTGAGTTTTGCGTTTGGGGCCACGGGGACTCCTGCCCGGCGTCAGCCTCGGTGGATGCCACCTGCGGTGACAGAATAAGTGAAACGGGCGCAGCAAGAGGCTGAGCCACAAGAGAGCGGGGCGAGCAAGGCAACTGGGCCAGCACAACAAACGTTTGTGCCTCGTGCATCAGGAGACGTAGCAAACGCTCACACATCAGCCAATTCAATTTCGATTTAAAGCTTTCGTGACTGCAGGGATTCATCTTCTTGGTTCTTTCGGTAAAGTCAATTAGAATGGAAATAAGAAAATATTTTTATTATTTTATTATTTCCATTCTACGTGACTTTACTGAAAGAACCAAGAAGATCAGCCAATTCGCCATAAAAATAATAAAACTTTCATTTTACACGGCGTCATTCGTGCCGACAGCTTCCCACAACGCTGTACATGAATTATATATCAGGAGCAAATCCCATACTGGGTACGCATGGCGCGAATGAAGCAAAGCTGGGGCTTGCTACGTGTAAACTTTGCAAACGACGGTGTCAGCGGTCGACGTGCATGCCTTCAGGGTGTTGGGGATTCTCATCTTCTCGCTGATGTCCTGCGTGAAGTCGGGGTCATACTGCCTGGGCGCCGAATCGTCGAGCAGGCTGGCGGAGGGATTGAACGCAGCACACATGCCTCTCTCTCTCCTTCCTGGTTGTGCGTGTGTGCGTGTGGGGGGGGCTTTGGGCCAGCATAAGAGGGGAAACAACTCAAGTCAATTCCTCACATTTGTTAAGTACAGGCCAGGTCAGAATCAGACTCTTTATTTAGGAATCCGATGAACTATGAAGCTCTTTTTCACAGAGGTTAGAGAAACCATCTTCTTGGTTCTTTCGGTAAAGTCATGTAGAAGGGAAGTAATAAAATAATAAAAATAAAACATAATAAAATAAAATAATTCTCACGACCTTTCGGCTACAACGCAAGCAGCCGTCTTCAGGTGAAGAATGAGACACTGACAAGCTAGGAGCTTATATATAAGCTGGGTTGGAGGTGGAAGAAGAGCGCCTTAACAAAAAGAATCGAAATTTAGAGAAACTACTTTTTGTGTTTAGTTTCTTGTCCTTCACCTTCTATTAGCACGGTTGGCTAGGTGTGGTGCGAAAGAAGTTCAACATACATACGTGCATACATCTAAGCTCTCAGCCCTGAAATTCTGGGTTCGAATCCAGGTTTCAGCCACCTGTGATTAGACCCGTTTCTCAAGTGGGGCATATTGGTCCTGAGGTCACCAAAAACTATCACAATTCAATTTGGTCCTGCACTCAATTACACTTATTTGCATGTCAGAAATGTTGAAAATACCGTTTGAAGGTCATGCAAAAAACATTACTCTGTACACTCAGCTGCAGAAATTACACATTCACATGGCAGGGAAGAAAGTACAGCTTGCACTTGCCCTCTTGTTTTGCCGGATGAATAGGTTTTCCACTTTTTTCTGGCAACAAAACAGATGTTAAAACACCAAACTGAAACATTTTACAAGGAATCATGTCTGCATTAACCACAATACTTGTGGTCAGAATGCAAACAAAAAACACACTGATAATAAATGCATTGTCTTTTAAACTGATTGGTCCAACACCATGTGAGACTAGGCTCTAAGAAAGCTGTCTCGGGTGTGGACCAATCAACTTCAAGGACAGTGCATACATTATCAGAGTTGTGTTTTTTGTTTGCATTCCGACCGCAAATATTGTGGTCAATGCAAACATGACTCCTTGTAAAAAAAGTTGTCAGTTTTGTTGGCAGATAAAAGGGTAAATAAGTACAACCCGTAAAAACAGAGTTTTTCACTATAAATCCTTATTATGCGTGGCGGCTAGAGTCCTCTCGTCCTCTGGCTTGAGATGGCTGCCACCTATGGGTCAGATGATTGCATTGCACCATTAAGCAATTGGTAATTAAATATATTTTTGTCCTAAAAAGTGTAAAATTTTGGAAAAAAAATTTCACGAACATTAATTGTCACGCACAACGAGTCTGTGTGGAAAATGTCAGCTCGATTGGATCACGGGAAGTGGGTTAAAAAACGACCGAAAGATTTGCACGGTCTTAAGTAAGCAAGCAAGCAAGGGAGCTTAATATAAAGGATTTAAAAAACAATTATCATAGTAATAGGTTCATACCCTTTCAACTGGTACAAAAACTGACACCTTTATACAAGGCATCATGTTTGCAATAACCACAACACAAGCAGTCAAAATGCAAACAAAAAGAAACAACTCTGATGATGATAATGATATGCACTGTCCCTTGAAGTTGATTAGTCCACACCCGAGACAGCTTTTCTTAGAGCCTAGTCTCCATTAGTGTTGGACCAGATGACGCCAAAAGGTGTACAACTCAAAAACAATGCACTATCAAAGTATTGAGAGCTCGGGGTAAGCATTTACACTATGAGACATTTCCTTTACCAGTGGCAAAATATAGCAATAGGTTTTGTACCAGTTGAAAGGGTAAAAACCTAATACTGTATCTTGCCACTGGTAAAGGAGATGTCTCATAGTGTAAAAAAACCAATTATCATATTTTGCTACTGGCAAAGGAGGTTCCAATGGGGTCAACGAGTACTTGTTGGAATGAAGTTTGACCTACATGCACAACTAGACGATTACAAAAAAAAAAAACACATTGCCTAGTCCCGTATTCTATAATAAAAACCACTTTAACAAACAATTCATGACACATTATTAGAAGCTGCGTATCGAACTCGAGATTCTAGAGTTTCCGCGTTTCAGACGAAGTGTCCTTGAATTGCCAAGATGATTGCACTGTACCCACTGTACTAAGACAAAGACAAAGTCGCGTGTAGCCTGCGAGACTGTCAGGGGCAAGTGCTGTTAGCGAGGGCCCCCCACGGCACACGAGGGGGGGGGGGGGCAGAAAACCACGCCCGGCCGCCTTTGTCTCTCTTTACGGGGAGCGGTGGTGCAGCGGTTTCGTCGCTGCGTTACGAACCCCATTGGCAGGAACCGGGGGGAGTTCGATTCCCGTTCACGGTAAATATCGACGACGACGATCTGGCCACCCCCTGGGTCGACTCAGCCTCAAAACGAGTTCACCTGTACCCCACCCCTCACCTCCTCCTCACCTCCTCACCCCCCCTCTCCTCACCTGCTAAGAACGACGACTTGTCGGCTGGGTTGGTTGATGACTTACTCTCGATTGCCAAAACGGCGCAGCAGCAGCAGCAACAACAACCACAACAACAACCACCACCACCACCACAACAACAACCACCACCACCACTTTAAACACTCGGGAGTCTAGCGGCGCGCGACCCGTGGGTTGAGGGCGTGTTGGCGATTTGGGCGCGAGAAAGCTTCCTGGATCCCGTGGGGGTCACGCGTGAAGACAGCGGCCATCTTACGTAGGGAGAAGGGGGCGGTGACTCCTCGACTTACGGACGCTCGACTTACGGACTCTCGGCTTACGGACGCTCGACTTACGGACTCTCGACTTAGGGACTCTCGACTTACGGACGCTCGACTTAGGGACTCTCGACTTAGGGACTCTCGACTTAGGGACGCTCGACTTATGGACTCTCGGCTTACGGACGCTCGGCTTACGGACTCTCGACTTACGGACTCTCGACTTACGAACTCTCGACTTACGGACTCTCGACTTACGAACTCTCGACTTACGGGCTCTCTACTTACGAACTCTCGACTTACGAACTCTCAGAGATACGAACAAAAGCTGTCCGCGTGTCTAATTATAAAAGAAAATATAAGAATAGGTGTTTAGCCTTTCTGGCAATAAAACAGGAGGTGGTACGATGTTCGCCGAATAGAAAATCTTTTGCAAGGAATTAAGTGCGCATTAACCACACACAGTGCTTGTCAAGAGTTTTCAGAGTTTCATTTATTTGGTATAGCCATGTGAGCCATGCGGCTCTTAAGTCGGGTGCAACCGCAACAAACAAAATACGTGAGACATTTCAAAGACTGTAGCCATATAATGGAACCATATTTGTGACGCTAAATGTTTGTGTTGAGCATCACCTGAACAATGTTATATTACACCGTTGTCCGCAAAATTGTATGCATTCATCGCGAACACACACACATGCTACATCACGGCGGTTTTTTTCATCACTGAACATGCAAACACACACGTGGCTCTGATAATGTATTGGCATTGTCTTTAAAACTGATTGGCCTACACCAGAGGCAGCAGACTTTTTTTTAAATTCCTTTATATTAAGTTCACTTGCTTGCTTGCTTGCGCGCTTACGACCGTGCAAACCTTTCGGTCGTTTTTTAACCCACTTCCCGTGATCCAATCGAGCTGACATTTTGCACACAGACTCGTTGTGCGTGACAATTAATGTTCGTGAAAAATGTTTTCCAACATTTTACACTTTTTAGGACAAAAATATTATATTTAATTACCAATTGCTTAATGGTGCCATGCAATCATCTGACCCATAGGTGGCAGCCATCTCAAGCCAGAGGACGAGAGGACTCTAGCCGCCACGCATATAAAGGATTTATAGTGAAAAATTTTGTTTTACGGGTTATACTTGTATGGCATAGTATCACCAGTGTCAGACCTGAGAACGCCAAAAGGCGAATATTAAATGGCCGAAAACACCTTTAAAAAATATTCTTAGGTTTTTTCGGTAAAGTCACGTAGGTAAAACATCAAAATTAATAAAAATAAATGAAATAAAACAAAAATCACGACGTTTCGGAGGCAACACAACGTCGTGATTTTGTTTTGTTTTTTAATTTTTATTAATTTTGATGTTTTACCTACGTGACTTTACCGAAAAAACCTAAGAATATGAATCCTTGCAGTCACGAAAGCTTCAAATCTACCTTTAAAAAATACCGAAATGCCTCTACTTACAAAAATTCGACTTACGAACTTTCAGAAATACGAACAAACCTCTTCTTAAGTCCAGTTGCCTGTTCTGACCGAGAGTCATAAGTTCAACCGCTGTGTGGATTTCACACCTGACGATGATTGCTTGTGTTGCAGTCGAAACGTCGTGAGAATTTTATTGTTTTATATTTTTATTATTTTATTATTTCCCTTCTACGTGACTTTACCGAAAGAAACAATAATATGAATCCCTGCAGTCGCGAAAGCTTTAAATCAAAATGAATTAAATTGTTTTTGAACTGTCATACATTATTTTATGTCTTCCTTAACATTTCAAAAAATTGCCATGCTGACTTTATTGCTGTTGCGTTGAGTTGCGTTCATAATTGCAATTGTGAATTGTTATTATGCCACATTTTGGCCAGCAGGTAAAACATCAAAATTAATAAAAAATAAAATAAAGATCACGACGTTTCGTAGGCAACACAAGTCTCCGTCATCAGGTGGGACCGTCACAGCCAGATTAGTTGCATCAAGTGAGGCAATGATTCAAGATGTAATCCCAGCTAATCTGGCTGTGACGGTCCCACCTGATGACGGAGACTTGTGTTGCCTCCGAAACGTCGTGATCTTTATTTTATTTAATTTTTATTAATTTTGATGTTTTACTTACGTGACTTTACCGAAAAAACCTAAGATTATGAATCCTTGCAGTCACGAAAGCTTCAAATCTAGAATTTGGCCAGCAGATGGCACTGCAGCACAATGCCTTGTAAAGTTCTGTACGTGTATACATGAGCCTGTTCACATATCATCAGACTGGTTGCCATTAGCGAGTAAACTCGTGTTGTTATGTAATGTTGCAGCGCAACCGTCGACCTCCCGTAGCAACATGGCCGACTACGCCTCGTGAAGCCACGCGGCCTCCTCGTCGTTCGCTCATCGCGGCACGTGGATTGGTTGAAGCGGCACCCCCCCCCCCCCCGTGTCTGCTAGCGACCAATCAGACGCGCCAACGGGCTGAGTGACCCGCCCCTGTTAGCTCGCGACCAATCAAACGCGCCAGCGGGCTGAGTGACCCGCCCCTTGTTAGCTCGCGACCAATCAGACGCGCCAGCGGGCTGAGTGACCCCCCCACCCCCCGTGTAAGCTCGCGACCAATCAGACGCGCCAGCGGGCTGAGTGACCTCCCCCCCTGTTAGCTCGCGACCAATCAGACGCGCCAGCGGGCTGAGTGACCCGCCCCCTGTTAGCTCGCGACCAATCCGACACGCCAGCGGGCTGAGTGACCCCCCCCCCCTGTAAGCTCGCGACCAATCAGACGCGCCAGCAGGCTGAGTGACCCGCCCCTATTATCTCGCGACCAATCAGACGCGCCAGCGGGCTGAGTGACCCCCCCCCCCACCCCCCCGTGTAAGCTCGCGACCAATCAGACGCGCCAGCGGGCTGAGTGACCCCCCCCGTGTCTGCTAGCGACCAATCAGACGCGCCAGCGGGCTGAGTGACCCGCCCCCTGTTAGCTAGCGACCAATCAGACGCGCCAGCGGGCTGAGTAACCCCTCCCTGTTAGCTCGTGACCAATCAGACGCGCCAGCGGGCTGAGTGACCCCCCCACCCCCCCGTGTTTGCTATCGACCAATCAAACGCGCCAGCGGGCTGAGAGACCCGCCCCCTGTTAGCTCGTGACCAATCAGACGCGTCAGCTGGCTGAGTGACCCGCCCCCTGTTAGCTCGTGACCAATCAGACGCGCCAACAGGCTGAGTGACCCCCCCCCTGACCCCCCCTGACCCCACCCCCCGGGGCCGCCGAGTGTTCACGCAAAGCCACACAACGCGATTTCATTTTAATCGATAGATTTAATCGATCTTAATTTGTAAAGTACCGTAAATGCTTCTCTTTACAAGCAATTTTTTGTTATAATCTTCGGTAAGTCGACGTCCACCTCGACTCCTCTAACGGCTCGCAGACGTAAGCGGCAGGCGTTTGTCCCACACTCGTGATAAATATTACAAAGTGTTATTGTTAGAGAATAAGAAGCGCCAATGTTTGTTAAATGCATCCTTCCACCCTCGACAACAACTTCCTCGTGTGCTACCGACCAATTGTCGAACTTATAAAAAAAACCTTTGATATCGATAGTTTCATATAATTAGTTCTTTCGGTAAAGTCACGTAAATGTGTTGCGATAGAAACGTGTTTTTTTTGCTTTTATTTTGAATTTATTTTCTAATTTTATTTTCTACCTCCGTGACTTTACCGAAAGAACCAACGATATTAATTTCTGCGGTCACGAAAGTTTTCAATAAAAATCGATAATTTCTTTAGCCTCGATATCGTTAATAACGAACGCGGGGGAGAGTATTAAAGCTTTTGAATCGAATGAATGAAGATATATTGCAATCAATCACTCCCGTGCCATTTATTGTGAAAATTCCGTCACAGTTCCTATGATCACTGACTGTTTCATTGATTTCATGGCTTTATTTTGGTGATTTCGAAAAGTGTATTGGTTTAGCCAATGTTTGTTTTGTTGTAGTACAGAGTTAGACTGATGGCCTTAATCTAAGTTGTCTTGTGGTTGTTGTTGTTTGTGTTGTTGTAGTACAGAGTTAGACTGATGGCCTTAATCTAAGTTGTCTTGTTGTTGTTTGACTTTCATGGCTTTATTTTGGTGATTTTCAAAAAGTGCATTGTTTTAGCCATGTTTGTTTGTTGTAGTACAGAGTTAGACGGATGGCCTTAATCTAAGTTGTCTTGTTGTTGTTTGACTTTCATGGCTTTATTTTGGTGATTTTCAAAAAGTGTATTGGTTTAGCCATGTTTGTTTGTTGTAGTACAGAGTTAGACTGATGGCCTTAATCTAAGTTGTCTTGTGGTTGTTGTTGTTTGACTTTCATGGCTTTATTTTGGTGATTTTCGAAAAGTGTATTGGTTTAGCCGTGTCTGTTTGTTGTAGTACAGAGTTAGACTGATGGCCTTAATCTAAGTTGTCTTGCGGTTGTTGTTGTTTGTGTTGTTGTAGTACAGAGTTAGACTGATGGCCTTAATCTAAGTTGTCTTATTGTTGTTGTTTGACTTTCATGGCTTTATTTTGGTGATTTTCAAAAAGTGCATTGTTTTAGCCATGTTTGTTTGTTGTAGTACAGAGTTAGACTGATGGCCTTAATCTAAGTTGCCTTGTGGTTGTTGTTGTTGGTTGTTTGACTTGCATCCCACTGGGATTTTTGCACACAGCGTTGGTGTACGGTGTTTTTTCTGCAATATTTGGCTGTCTTTTCTTGGATTTTCTGTTTGCACTCAGACACATAGTCACTTTAAGATGTTTTCTTGTTCATGTTTTTGTTTGTTGAGGTTGCACCCGATTCAAGAGCCGAATGGCTCACAGGGCTATACCTAATCAATGAACTTGAACTTAATTTGCGAACTCTCAAAATGCCCCTTTGTGTCATTTTGTGAACTGATCACAATGGGCGGACGTTTGACGGTTCGATATCTCGGGCGATGGATACCAATTCGACGTTTCGCGACGACGACCCACGGATCCATTCATTTCGATTGTTGAGCTCACGATGTTAAGATCCTGTGTGGATCGTGCAACCGCAGTAACTTACCAGTCAACTCCCTTATCAGTGTCCTACCTTATCATTGATCAATTCAGACTTGATTGGTCACCCCCGTGTCCCTTATACATCTCAACGTTCATCGCCTACTAAGTTCCATCACGAGGAGAAACACACTCACCACTAGTACACTCACCACTACACTCACCACTAGTACACTCACCACTACACTCACCACTAGTACACTCACCACTACACTCACCACTAGTACACTCACCACTACACTCACCACTAGTACACTCACCACTACAACACCCACTAATACACTCACCACTACACTCACCACTACACTCACCACTACACTCACCACTACTACACCCACTAGTACACTCACCACTAGTACACTCACCACTAGTACACTCACCACTTGTACACTCACTAGTACACTCACCACTAGTACACTCACCACTAGTACACTCACTAGTACACTCACCACTAGTACACTCACTACTAGTACACTCACCACCACTACACTCACCACTTGTATACTCACTACTACACTCACCACTAGTACACTCATTACTACACTCACCACTAGTACACTCACCACTTCACTCACCACTAGTACACTCACTACTAGTACACTCACCACTAGTACACTCACTACTAGTACACTCACCACTACACTCACCACTAGTACACTCACCACTAGTACACTCACCACTACACTCACCACTAGTACACTCACCACTAGTACACTCACCACTAGTACACTCACCACTACAAACCTGTCAAGTCCTTATCAGTGCCCTATCTGATTACAAATCAATTCACACCTTATCGGTCACCGCGTGCCACTTATAAATCTCAACGTTCATCTCCTACAAAGTCCCATCACAAGGGAGAAACAAACAAATAGACACAATATATTTAGTTTGCCCGTATTGAAACTGCTGTAACGCCGTATGGACCTGAAAACTCGATTTCCCTGCACAAGAACACGGGGTATAAACCGTGATGGGTTGACAGCGATGCTACTATACACTACTATACACTACACTATACACTACACTATCACCTTTGCCCGTATTGAAATGGCTGTAACGCCGTATGGACCTGAAAACTCAATTTCTCTGCACAAGAACACGGGGTATAAACCGTGTGGCTTGACAGCTTTGCAATCGACAGTTTTCTACTTTCGTTTCGTCCAGGGTTTGTGTGTAATCTGCAATGTGTTTGCGCTATCTTACTATGTTTTTTTTTATTTTACCATGTCAGCACCACTGAGCTATCTAGACTCTTTTTCAGAAGCCACCTGGCCCTCACAAATGGTAGCTTAAAGAAGTGGCTTATTGTCGTGTGAAAATTTATAACAGCCAAATACTCGAAGCGCGTGTTGATTCTAAATGTGGAGGAAAAAACCGAAAGACCACGGGGAGAGAGACACACAAACTCCAAATATACAGCAGGCGTCAGGGTCGGGATCGAACCCACGATCTCCTGCATACAAGGCGAGGTAGTTAACATCTTCTAGCCACCGTGATGATGATGAGAGAGACACGCAAACTCCAAATATACAGCAGCAGGCGTCAGGGTCGGGATCGAACCCACGATCTCCTGCATACCAGGCGAGGTAGTTAACATCTCACTACTGTGGCTCCCCCATATACATAGCTATAGATTGTTTTCCAGTATCATGAGTATCTTGTTTAACCAGGTAAGAGCTCAAGAGACCAGGATTAGTCCGATTTTCAAGTGTGACGTTGATCACTAAGATGGCATAGAAGACGCTGACAGACTCATAGAGATGTAATGAGATAACATGAGATACATGGTTTCCCAGTGTAATGTTCATTTAGTCTAATCAGGTGGGGAATTTAAGAGACCCAGGATAGTCTCATTTGCAAGAGTGACCAAAATGACAAACGCTAAGTAAGATCACGTACAGCAATAACGCGAATAGTAATCCTAGCAAAACACGACTCTACTGTCGCAAGAGAAACCTAAAATATTTGCACAATCACACGGTAACGTATTACTGCAGCAGTTAATGAGTTGTGAAATGCTATGTGAGGCATGCTCAAGGGTCGTTAACCAAAAAAAATTTAACCCGTAAAAACAAAGTTTTTCACTATAAATCCTTTATATGCGTGGCGGCTAGAGTCCTCTCGTCCTCTGGCTTGAGATGGCTGCCACCTATGGGTCAGATGATTGCCTGCCACCATTAAGCAATTGGTAATTAAATATAAAAAAAAATCCTAAAAAGTGTAAAGCTATGGAAAAAAATTTTCACGAAAATAAATTGTCACGCACAACGAGTCTGTGTGCAAAATGTCAGCTCGATTGGATCACGGGAAGTGGCTTAAAAAACGACCGAAAGATTTGCACGGTCGTAAGCGCACAAGCAAGCAAGCAAGTGAACTTAATATAAAGGATTTAAAAACAAGAAGATCACAGTTTTTTTCGAATTCGGTACGGAAAAAATCTAAATATTTCAAGAGCCGTGAATACGAGATGACCACGAAGCTCTAGTCCTAGATTTGAAGCTTTCGTGACTGCAAGGATTCATATTCTTAGGTTTTTTTTTTTTCGGTAAAGTCACGTAGGTAAAAATTTTAAATTAATAAAAGTAAAATAAAATAAAAATCACGACGTTTCGGAGGCAACACAAGCTTCCGTCTTCAGGTGGAACCGTCACAGCACGATTGCTGTATCAAGTAAAATACAGCGATCAAGTAAGATACAGCAATCAAGTAAGATACAGCAATCGTGCTGTGACGGTTCCACCTGAAGACGGAAGCTTGTGTTGCCTCCGAAACGTCGTGATTTTTATTAAATTTTTATTTTACTTTTATTAATTTAATTTTTTTTACCTACGTGACTTTACCGAAAAAAAAAAACCTAAGAATATGAAGCTCTAGTCTTTCAAGAGCCGCACAAGCGCATCAGGAGCTCCAGGTTGCTGACTCACGGACATGCTGGTCAGTCATGGGAGTTGTTTTCGTCTGGCACGCCGATCTCTGATTCCAAAGAACACAGGATGAGATGTTACTATCCTTTGTGCAAGCACTTCCAAGAGTTCATGAACAGTGAGCCTGGTGAAATTTGGGGAGCGCATCGTCAGTAGTGAACCTTTGGTTCCTAGGGTGTTTCGGCCTTTCATACTACACACCCTCCCCAAAGGCGGCCAGCGACAGGGTGATCAATCCTACACTTGCGTCCCATTCCCAATTAGTCATAGGAGTCTGGATGGGCTGTGACAAGTTGAGTGAATATTCGCCCAGGAGTGGTTGTGGGGGTGGGATGTACGTGGGTCTGAGTCTCTCGCTGTGTGTGTGTGTGCTAAACATCGCCACTAGGGAGATAAAGGCGGCCGGGTGCGGTGCTGGCCATCCGTCCTCTCGTATGTCACAGTGCCAGCCTTCATAGGTAGGTGCTCGCTAACAACACTTGCCCCAACAGTCTGTTGAGGTCTTCTTGGTTCTTTCGGTAAAGTCACGTAGAAGGGAAGTAATAAAATAATAAAAATAAAACATAAAATCAAATAATTCTCACGACGTTTCGGCTACAACGCAAGCAGCCGTCTTCAGGTGAAGAATGAGACACCTGAAGACGGCTGCTTGCGTTGTAGCCGAAACGTCGTGAGAATTATTTGATTTTATTATGTTTTATTTTTATTATTTTATTACTTCCCTTCTACGTGACTTTACCGAAAGAACCAAGAAGATGAATCCCTGCTGTCACGAAACCTTTAAATCGAAGTCTGTTGAGGCTATACGGGGGGGGATCTTTGTCTTTGTGTGTGCGAAGTGTGGAGTGATGGTGCCACGCTATGAACCAGGCTACCACGGCTCGATTGAGCAATGCTCGTTCTTCACGTGCTATGAAGAAGGGAACCATCACCCGAAACGTCGCCGACTCATTGATGAACAGCGTCGTTTTTGCACCACTGCCAACTCAGCATCACCGAGTAAATAGTGGGTTGCCGTGGTTACAAAGGACAGCCCCCAAAAATAAAACACATTTATTTTCAGCTATTGCATAGGTGTGGCAGGGACACACAGAGTGAACACGTGTCTGTGTGTGCGTGTGTCTTTGTGTTCTCTTGCTAGGTTAGGGGAGCGGTAGTGTAGTGGTTAGCACGCTGCACTACGAACCTGGCGACCCGGGTTCGATTCCCGCTCACGGCAAACACCAGTGACGATTATCTGAACCGGTCCTGGGCCTCCCCTGGGTCGACTCAGCCTCAAATGAGTACCTGGTGCGGTGTGTAAACATCGCCGCTTGGGAGACAAAGGCGGTCGGGCGTGGTGCTGGCCACCCACCCCCTCGTGTGCCTTTCCAGCCTTCATAGGTGCTCGCTAACAGCTCTTGCCCCAACGGTCTGTTCAGGCTATACGGGGGATCTTTGCCTTTGTTCGCATGCTCAAGCCTCCGCAAGTCCTCACAGCTACTCCACCTCCGCAGGCTTGCTACAGGTAAGCAGTGGCTACACCACCTTGGCAATACGTGAACGCTCTCACACACTAAGGCTGCACAGTTGTAGTTTTGCTGGAATAAGTGCGTTTCTCTTTTTCACAGCACTTTGTCAATCCCCTGCCGGGCGATGTCGGCCCCTTGCCATTCAAGTCAAAATGGGGTGTACAAAATGTATTGGGTGGACACAAAAACAATCTTTTAAAATTATGTTCTGCTCAATAACAAATGTACTGTATTTTTACACGTCCATATTTTTTAATGAATAAAAAAAACGTGCTAATCGGGGGTGCAGGGGAAAGACAAGAAAAGATGGGTCTCTGTGTGAGCCTATGTATGTATATTGAACTTCTTTCGCACCGTACGTAGCCAACCGTGCTAATCGGAGGTGTGTGGGAAGAACAACAAACTATGGGTCTCTGCGTGAGTCTATGCGAGAAAAGGAGAAAAAACTAAAACACTAAAAAGCAGTTTGACAGAAATGAGTTTTCAATCTAGATCAGGGGTGGGAAACCTTTTTTTCTGCCAAGATCCATTTGGACATTAATAACATCGTTCGCGGGCCATACAAAAGTATAAACTTAAAGATTAGCCTGTTATTTTTGGTCAAACATTTAATTAACTCACCCCTAATGTGATGGCTGGAACTGCCAAATTATTTCGCGAGCCTTATACGGCTCACGGGCCGGACGTTCCCCACCCCTGATCTAGATGATGTTTAGAAGTGCATAGCTCCAGTGGCTTCCTAGTAGCGGACGGAAGAGCGTTCCAGACGGCCGCAGAAGCGCATCAGAAAGCGCCCCGCGATGCGGCGGCCACCGTCTTTGTCCGATGGCCGGCCGCAAGCCATGTGTTGTTTGGCACGATGTCCCGACGTTTTGCTCCATGTGCTGGGAGTTTTGTCGGCAGCTGAATAGTCAAGAGGAGAGGGCTAATGCCTATGGCGTTTTTCCTGCACCCTCCGATTAGCACGGTTGACTACGTACGGTGCAAAAGAAGTCCATCATACAAACGTACGCACGTACGTATGACATGACTTATAATTTGAAGCCCAGTGATTGGCTTACTGGAATAATTGCTGTGATGAAGTACATATTATAAGTTGAGACCATTGCACTGACCTACCACACACACATGCGTTAGACCAACGCACTTGTGCAGTACACCAACATATCTTTACATCAATCAGCCTACAGTGAAAATGTATTTTCCTACCCATTTCAGAACATTGTGGTGTCTAATTAAGACTGCTTGCTAAATGTCTTATAGGAATCCAGCCTATATTTATGAGCCCAAACGGTGGCATTCAAGACGATATTAACTAGTTTTTTGTAACGGGCAAACCACAGATTGTTGGCAATGTCTCTGTTGTAAAAATAAATTCAGACAGGAAGGATCGCAGACTGGTGCGCTGCACTTCCGCATAGCCAAAGAAAGGGCAAATCTGCTTGCAGACAAAAACAAAATAAATTACAACAAATATCTAGGTCAGCAGGTAGCTGATTCACTCTGTGGCGATATCTGAGTCTATGGGTCTGAACATCGGTGAAAAAGAGCTTCATTGCTCATTGGATTCCTCCATGATACATAAACATTCTGAGTCTATGGGTCTCTGCGTGAGTCTATGGGTCTTTGTGTGAGTATATGAGTCTCTGTTAGAGCCTATGGGTCTCTGTGTGAGTCTATGGGTTTCTGTGTGAGTCCTTAGGTTTCTGTGGGTGTCTGTGTAAGTCTATTGGTTTCTGTGTGAGTCTATGGGTCTCTGTGTGAGTCTGTGGGTCTCTGTGAGTCTATGGGTCTGTGTGGGTCTGTGGGTCTCTGTGTGAGTCTATGGGTCTCTGTGTGAGTCTGTGGTTAATTCACTTCCAAAAATAAACGTTTTCGCCCGAAGTTTCGCATCGCACGCACCGCTGACGGTCGCCCCTTCTTCTTGTGTCTCCCCTTGACAGATGGGCCGTCCATGTCGCGCCCTCGCGAGCGTCGCGAGAGATCTGGAATAGAGCGGCGAAAACCTCCGGGTGGAACGAATCGCCGCGAGGCACAATGACCAACGGATAAGGGTAATCACAATTACTTAATTACAATAATTATTATAATCACCTCCTTCAATAAATTATTATCTGCTTGACCAGCTGTGCATATCCACCCACGACAGTATGCGGTGGGGAATATCCACATTTATTTATAAAATACTCATGATAAATATTGTCCTTGCATCACCCAGGAAAAGCCCCCGATGGAGTTGCAAGACTCATTTTTAATGGAGTCCTGCGTTGAGATCTTTTTATAACGTGTGAAAGAATCTTCTTGGTTCTTTCAGTAAAGTCGCGTAGAAGGAAAATAATAAAATAATAAAAATAAAACATAATAAAATAATTCTCACGACGTTTCGGCCACAACGCAAGCAGCCGTCCTCAGGTGGAGAACAGGTCTGTCGAGAAGGCAGAGTCTGAATGGCACGACCCAGGCTTGGAGCGACTATTTATGCTGGGATGGATGAATCCCTGCAGTCACGAAAGCTTTGAGAGAGACAAGGAGAGAGAGGGAGAGAGACTGGAGGACGCCAGGGGAAACACACAACGTAACGCAAGGCGGGTTAGCGCTGGCTGCCCTCGCGAGCGAACCCACTCGCTGTCCTGACCAACTCTTGTCCGGCTCACAGGGAGTTTCTCGGAGCTCGCCGTGACTCACCAATGCTTTGCCCCCAAAGCCCTCGGCTCCAGGTTGTGCGGCAACGCGCCTCGCAGGGCGTTCGAGGTCTCCCCGCTGCCCAGGGAGCCGATAGTCCGGCGGGCATTGGTGCCACGGGATGGTGGCGCAGCGGTGGCGCTCCTGCGTCATGGCGAGAAGGGCCTGAGATCGGTCCCTGACTAGGGGTGGCCTTTCTCTCTGGCGATTGTGTGTGTCCACCCCCCCCCTCTGGGCTGCACGGATTTCTACCTGGGTTCTCCACAGTTTCCTCCCATAGCAAAAAAGAAAGGAAAAAACCCCCATGTGACCGATATTGACCAATCACATCTGGCTGCAAAGTAAAGGTTTCCCTTGCGTTATGCGTAAGGAGATGCATTCCAAAAAAGGGGGCGCACAAAGTGAAACCGCACGAGGAGACGGATGCCTGCCGAGTAGCACGTATGGTAAAACAATCAGTACACAATCAGTACACACACCGTACAAGGTACACAGACCGTGCATGCAGTACACACGCAGTACACACACAGTACACACATAGCCGTTGTCCCACGTCCGACCGCATGGCCACCGCAGCTGAGTGAATTCAAATTGCGTATGGCAAATCTTTGGTAGAAATGCGTTGCCTGCATATACAGCGAGAAATCCCACAAACGGAGCTTGCGTAAAGCTAGGGAACCCTGTCCTCATTTAAGACTACTGATAGCAACATCGTCCCCTGCTGCGAAAAGCTTGGCAGGAGCCTCCCGAATAAGAGTCTTGAGACTCGGTGAGATATTCCTGCATAAACAAGCGTGTAACAAAATGAAGCTTACGATTGAGAAGGGAAATGCGTATATAGGTTGCACTTCTTTCGCACCGTACGTAGCCAACCGTGCTAATCAGAGCCAGCCGTGCCAGTACACCATTGTACAGCTTCTAGATTTGAAGCTTTCGTGACTGCGAGGATTCATACTCTTAGTTTTTTTGGTAAAGTCATGTAGGTAAAAAAATGAAAAAAAAATTTTAACAAAAAAAATGTTCTTTTATTTTTAAAAATTTTAATTTCATTTTAATAAAAATAATTTTATTATTATTTTATTTTTATTAATTTTAATTTCATTTTTTTACCTATGTGACTTTACCGAAAAACTAAGAGTTTAATTGTACAGCTGTTATTATGATGTTAGAGATACGTGCCAAGGACTTGTGAGCAGATAAAACGACGATTTTGGCGATAGCGGCAGCAACCTTCATCGGGTCACGCCATAAGGGTTCGCTTTTTGTTGTTGCTGGCCCTTAAGATGACGTACAGAATCCACGAAGGCATATTTTTCACGCTTTGCCTATGACCGCGTGAGCGTAGGAATGCGCCCGGTCTCGTCAGACCTCGAAAACCATGTGGGGTGAGGCCGTGGGATAGTGCCTGGATGGAGGGAGGGGGGCCCTACCGTTCATAAAATTGGTGGCACCGGCGCGGCCGCTGGGCCACGTCACCCTCGGAGATGAGTTAATGGGGAGCCATTCCTTGCCCTCGACTGTCGCCCCTCCCCAGCGTCGAATCAAATTCATATTTATAGAATGCCTTGAGTGAAACCGCCTTCGCTCAAGGCGCACACTACGGGCGCGGCTTAGAAAACGATGACAGAGCGGGACAACGGCGATGGATGGGGAGAATGGGGGGGTGAGGGGGGTGCTGCAAGGGTTGAGGAATGAGTGACGTCGGCCATAGAGGGGCTACTCAGGGGATCGCGAAAGGGCTATAGGGGAGGGACGGGAAGGAGAGTGGAGGGGGCGAGGTGAGAGAGAGAATGGGGCAATAGAGAAGGCGCGAGGGTTTAAGAGAGGAACGGAAGGAGGTTAAGGAGGGGGGACTGTTTCGATTTAAAGCTTTCGTGACTGCGGGGATTTATCTCCTTGGTTCTTTCGGTAAAGTCACGTAGAATGGAAATAATAAAAATGTATTATTTTTATTTATTATTTCCATTCTACGTGACTTTACCGAAAGAACCAAGAAGAGGGGGGACTGCTTCATGTACAGGGGGAGTTGATTCCTTCCCGCCATCGGCACCCTTATAATGGCTGGCCACGTTTCGGCGCGATGGACAATTGTCAGTCACCACTGTCCTGCATGGTGACGTGTGGTTAATTCACGCCCATGACCTACGTCGTGTGAGAAAGCCCTCGTCCAGGAGTGGAGCGTACAAACGTGCACATGTATGTACGTTGAACTTCTTTCGCACCGTACGTAGCCAACCGCTCTACGTGCGGAGGTGTGGGGGCAGGACAGCAAACTAAATACAAAAATCGCATCTAAAGAAATTCGTTTTCAATGTGGTAGAGTGGTGTAGAGTATAGTAGTGTATAGTGTAGGGTATAGTAGTGTATAGTAATGGAGAGTGTAGTGTATAGTAATGTATAGTGTAATGTATAGCGTATTGTATAGTGTTGTATGTGTAGTATATAGTGCAATATTTATGTATGTTGAACTTCTTTCGCACCGTACGTAGCCAACCGTGCTACGTACGGAGGTGCGGGGGAAGCACAGCAAACATGTTTTACTCATCCTACCCACCATTTGTATCTTCACCCATGATCACCTTGCGTTTTAAGAATAACTGGGCCAATCTTGATACCCAATATAGTTGCAATAGAGAATTGTTAGTGGACTGCTCAATACAATTCAACGTGGATTGTTTTCACCTGTGAAAAGCCAGCGCATCGCAGACCGTTACGCGAAAATATTTGTATAAATACCAATGTCGATGTGCAACCCTCGTGTCAGCCTACTGCTCGATGTAACACGCTTTGAGTCGACATTTAAGCTTGCCAACAAATCCAAGTCCTCCCGGCGCAGAACTATTCGCGGGTCACTAAAGGTGGTCAAGTGGGAGCTGCTGTGGTCTGTGGCATATCGTCGAGCGCCGTAAAGGTGAAAATCCAGGAGTCGCCTTTGTCGCTTTTTAAATCCTTTATATTAAGTTCACTTGCTTGCTTGCGTGCTTGCGTGCTTGCTTGCTTGCTTACGACCGTGCAAATCTTTCGGTCGTTTTTTAACCCACTTCCCGTGATCCAATCGAGCTGACATTTTGCACACAGACTCGTTGTGCGTGACAATTAATTTTCGTGAAAAATTTTTTCCAAAATTTTACACTGTTTAGGGAAATTTTTTTAAATATTTAATTACCAATTGCTTAATGGTGGCAGACAATCATCTAACCCATAGGTGGCAGCCATCTCAAGCCAGAGGACGAGAGGACTCTAGCCGCCACGCATATAAAGGATTTATAGTGAAAAACTTTGTTTTTACGGGTTAATTTTTATCTTCTGGCGCAGCAGTTCAGTCAACGGTGCGGGTTTCTTAAATCCCCCCCCCACCTACATTTCGATTTAAAGCTTTCGTGACTGCAGGGATTCATCTTCTTGGTTCTTTCGGTAAAGTCACGTAGAAGGGAAGTAATAAAATAATAAAATTAAACATAATAAAATAATTCTCACGACGTTTCGGCCACAACGCAAGCAGCCATCCTCAGGTGAAGAACAGCCGTCCTCAGGTGAAGAACAGCCGTCCTCAGGTGAAGAGCAGCCGTCCTCAGGTGAAGAACAGGTTCTTCACCTGAGGACGGCTGCTTGCGTTGTGGCCGAAACGTCGTGAGAATTATTTTATTATGTTTTATTTTTATTATTTTATTACTTCCCTTCTACGTGACTTTACCAAAAGAACCAAGAAGACCCTCCCTCCACCTGTTCTGTCCGCCCAGCGGTATAAATGTGCCGCATTCCGCGCCGGCGCAGTCACGCAGACCGCCGCTGCAGTCGTTTCCTTTCGCTCTCGGCAGCAAATAAAAACGCCGGCGGTGGCCGACGGCTACGGCCCTCGGACGGCACGGCGCCGCGGACATGGCCGGCGCCGGCTGGACCTCTCAGCGGTTCCTCAAGAGCCAGCGCGAGCGGCTGCCTCGCGCGATGGCGCCCTGCGTCTCCAGCGTCCTCGACTCGATGGTGGCGTGGGGCTTCATCAACCATGAGGAGCACGAGGACGTGGATTACCGGCGGCCCACCGAGGCTGCCCGCCGTCTGCTCACGATCGCTGAGGGCAAGGGCGAGGAGGTGGAGCAGGCGCTGCTGCTGGCGCTGTGGGCGCGCGGCTGCGTCGACCCGCCCGCCGAGATGCGTGCGCCGCTGGTGGCGCTGCGGGACGAGCTGGACGCCCGGTGCGCTTCTTGCGTGGGAGAAGATCCGGAGGCGAGGCTCAGGAGGATCCGTCTGGCGCTGGTGGAGAGCTTCGACGACGTGGCGAAGGTGGTGGAGGAGCTGGTGCAGCAGGGGGCGCTCGGCGCGGAGGACCGGGAGAAGATCTTGCTGCCCTCCTACACGAGGCCCGAGCAGGTGGAGGTTTTTATTTACTTTTTTCAATTCTGTGATTGAGCGTTATTCCTCAAATTTGTACAGTGTATGCGTACATGTTATAGGTGTTGAGGAGTTCCCACAGACGCACTTGGAGACGCAGGTAAGTTGAGAGGCTTCCGTCAAAGGTTTATCAAGGATATAACAACAACACACCAGGGTATACAACTTCCCAGGGGTTAGGGGTCCTACACTGAGTCCTGCCACACGACCCTGCTCTGGTCCCAGCCCGGCTAGCTCCGGTCTCTCTCTCTCTCGTGTCGGATCGGGGACTCTGCCGACTCCACCGATCGGAGAGAGAAGCACCTCTACGGCTACCACCGGCTTCTCTTCAGACTCACCTCTTGATCCCTCTCTCTACCCCTGGTTCCCTCTCTACCCTTCTACCATCACCCGTTCCTACAGTGACCCCGCTCTCGTCACGGGGTCTCCCTTAAGTACTCTAGGAGACGTGACGTCATCGCACTGAACGGCACACCTGACGTCACGTCCTATTTCACTCCTCTACATATGTATGTTGTACTTCTTTCGCATCGTACGTAGCCAACCGTGCTCATCGGAGGGTGCAGGGAAAATGTCACAGGCATTAGCAATATTCAATTGTGGATGGAATTCCCAGCACGTGGAGCAAAACGTCGGAACATCGTGCCAAACAACACTCGGCTTTTCGCTAGTCATCGAACAAAGACGGTCACTGCATCACACGTTTTTATATGCGCTTCTGCGGCCGTCTGGAAAGCTTCGTTCTGATATTAAGAAGCCACTGCAGCTATGCACTTTTAAATCATCTAGATTGAAAATTCATTTCTTTCAAACTGCTGGGTGAATGAGTAGGTGAGTGAGTGGGTGAGAGTGGATGGGTGAGTGAGTGAGTAGGTGAGTGGGTGAGTGAGTTTGTGGGTGGGTGAGTTATCAAGTCGGTGGGTGAGTAGGTGAATGAGTGGGAGGGTGGGTGAGTGAGTGGGTAAGTGGGTGAGTGAGCGGGTGGGTGGGTGAGTGAGTGGGTGAGTGAGCGGGTGGGTGGGTGGGTGGGTGGGTGGGTGGGTGGGTGGGTGGGTGGGTGAGTGAGTGAGTGAGTGAGTGGATGGGTGAGTGAGTGGGTGGGTGGGTGAGTGAGTGGGTGGGTGGGTGAGTGAGTGGGTGAGTGGGTGAGTGGGTGAGTGAGTGGGTGAGTAGAGTGAGTGAGTGGGTGAGTGAGTGAGTGGGTGAGTGAGTGAGTAAGTGGGTGAGTGGATGAGTGAGTGAGTGAGTGAGTGGGTGAGTGAGTGATTGGGTGAGTGGGTGAGTGAGTGGGTGTGTTATTGTGAGCTGCAGTGTGGTGGTTGACCACCGTGTGAATGTGACACAGCAGTCAATCTGCGAGACCGAGTCCTCGACACGGTGTGCACGTATCTACAGCAAAACTCGCATTCGCTGTGTAATAATTCCGTGAGCGCCTTTCATTTCATCCATCTCTTGGCGCTGCCGTGTGTGTCGTCCCCCCCTCCCGCAAGGTCCGAACCCTGCTCAATTTACTTGACGCCAAGGGCCCGCAAAGCGCGACGGCCTTCCTGGACTTGGTCGACGTGAAGAAGATCACCGAGCAGGGACCGCTGAAGCCCCCAGGTGTCGTAGGGCGCTCGGCGTCGCAACGGGCACGCCCGCGGGCTACGGCGGCCACAACAATTTACGACGAGTTATTTAAACTAAAACTATAAAGACTTTTTTTTTTTGTAACGTACAAAGGTAAGGCCCACACCAGTGACCACGTCACTCCTATTCTTTCCTCCCTGCACTGGCCCCTTGTAAAAAGAGTGTTTGGCTACTGCTGTAAATGTCCACGCGATAAGCCACTTCGTCGGGCTGTCACTTGCGATGGCCAGGAGGTCGCGTCTGAAAAAGAGGCTACGTAGCTCAGTGGGCCTTACCTGAGAACAAACATATCAATGAATAAATAGACCGGCGATAACACAAGCGGATCGTAAACCCAACCGGCTCGGCCGCTCGCCAACCCCCACGCGTTTCCCCCCCGCCCGCCCCCCCCCACGACCCTTCGGTGCAGTCCACGCGTTCCAGCGCAAGCTGCAGGACCACCACGAGTCGAGCTCGCGCCACCTGCTAGCCTACAGCCGTCGCGAGCACGCCCTCCTGGACGACGTCTACGTGGAGGTGCGGCTGCAGGCGCTGGCGCAGCCGGGCCGCCCGTCCGAGTGCGTCACCCTCGACTCGCTGGCTCGAGGCGAGTGGCTGAGCGACCGGGAGCGGAAGGACGTGCTGCTGGTGACGGGAGACGCCGGCAGCGGCAAGACCACGCTGCTGCAGAGGCTGACGGGCGAGTGGTCCCGCGGCAGGCTCCTGAGCTGCTTCGAGCTGGTGTTCGCCTTCGGCTGCGGACAGCTGAACGTCGTAAAAAAGGAGCTCTCGCTCCGGGAGCTGCTCTTCAACCACTGCTGCAGCCCCGGCGACGACGACGACGGCGGCGGCGGCGGCGGCGGAGGCCTCGACGTGGTCGTGCGCTACGTCGCCGGCCACCCCGAGAAGGTCCTCTTCTGCTTCGACGCCATCGACGAGTTCCGCGAAGACTTCCTGGGCGAGGGCCGCGTCTGCTCGTCGACGGAGGAGCCCGTCCCGATGGCCGACCTCCTCAAGAACCTCCTGCAGGGCAACGTGTTGAGGGGCTCCAAGAAGATCGTGACGGCCCGGACGGGCGCGTCCCTGCAGCCGCTGGACGTGCACGTGTGCAGGAGGGTGGCGATCGCGGCTTCTCCGACGACGCCGTCCTGCGGTACCAGCAGAAGTTCCACAGTGACGAGGGCGCCAGGAGGAACGCGTGCGAGCTCATCCGGACCAACGCGGACATCCGGAGCCTCTGCCAGGTGCCGCTCTACTGCTGGATCGTCTCCAAGTGCTACGACAGGATCGGCGGCCGCGGCGGCGGCGCCGGCGGCGGCGTGTCGACCGTCACCGAGATCTACCTGTCGATGCTCGAGGTGTTCCTGACCCGCGGCGAGTCGAAGGCGACGCCGACCAGCCGGACGACGCTTTTCAGCGCCAACGGGGACGCGCTGCTGCGGATCGGGAAGCTAGCGCACGTCGGCCTGCTCGCCGCGCGGACGTCATTCACCGCGCCCGACCTCGACGCCTGCGGCGTGACGCCGCGGGACCTGGCCCTCGGCGCGACGGTGCACACCCGGCGGTACGCGGGCTTCGGCGAGGGCGACGTGTACGGCTTCGTGCACTTCACGGTGCAGGCGCTCTTCGCGGCGCTGTACGCGGTGGCGAGCGCCGAGCTGGGACCCGAAGCGCTGCTCGCCCACTTCCCGAACGCCGTGCGGCCCAAGGCGGTCAGGCGGGTGGTCGGCGCGCTCGGCTCGTGCGTCGCCGCGGCGGCGGCGGAGGAGGAGGCACCGCCAGGGTCTCGACGGCCCCTCGCGGGCAGCGGCGGGGCCAACCGCCGCGCCGTGTGCCAGTTTGCGAGCGGCCTGCTTTCCAAGAGGCACGGCGAGCTGCTGGCGCGCCTGTCGGACGAGGCCTCGGTGCGGCGCAAGCGGGCCGCCGTGAGGAAGCAGCTGAGGCGCAGCGTCAAGGACCACGTCCGCGGGCTGAACGACCGCGACGGGCACCTGACGCCGGATTTCGTGTGGGTGCTACGCTGGCTGTTCGAGTTCCAGGAGGAGAAGGTGGCGCGCAAGGCGGCGCGCGACTTTGCCGGCGGGCACGTGAAGCTGAACTACACGTCGCTGGGCCCGGCGGACTGCACCTGCCTGTCCTACTTGCTGCGCCACCTGCCTCGGCCCGTCGTCGCGGAACTCGACAACAACTTCATCGGAGACCTCGGCCTGCAGCAGCTGCTGCCCTGCATCGGAAAATTCTCCGATCTCAGGTTTGGTTGTTCCTCTTCGTATCTTCGTCCGCCTCCCTCCCTCCTTTCTTGTGCGTGGGTTGCTGCGAAACTTCTCTTAAGACGAGCTGATTGAGGGCGAACTCGTCACATCGGGAGTTGTGAGGAAGCCACCGGAGCTGTGCACTTTTAAATCTCGAGTGAACACTCATTCTTGAGAACCGCTTTTTGTGTTTAGTTTGTTGTCCTAACCCACCGCAGCTCCCATTATCAAGAATGGCTACGTTCGGTGCGAAAGAAGTTCAACATACACACATGCATAGACTCACACGAAGACCTATAGACTCACACAGAGACCCATAGACTCACACAGAAACCCATAGACTTATACAAAGACTCATAGACTCACACAAAGACCCATAGACTCACACAGAGACCCATAGACTCACACAGAAACCCATAGACTCACACAAAGACTCATAGACTCACAAAAACCCATAGACTCACACAGAGATATCCATAGACTCACACAGAGACCCATAGACTCACACAGAGACCCATAGACTCACACAGAGACCCATAGACTCTCACAGAGACCCATAGACGCGTAGTAAGTTTGTCATTCCTCCGCACCTCCGATTAGCACGGTTGGCTACGTACGGTGCAAGATAAGTTCAACATACTTAGGGGTGGGTGGTAGAGGGGGGGAGTGGTGGAGGGGACTGGGGATTATTGTTGAATGGCTCGCGACTGTTTTTACATTAAGTACATGTGATCCCATCGATCACGTTAGGCTTTTAAAAGTCGTATTGTCGATATTGTGTTCTTGGACAGAGTTTACAGAGTGATCCTGGCCCTGAAAGCAGGTGATGTTATTTGCTTTTCATCTGATTATATATTTTTTTTAATGCGGAGATTGCTCCAATGTGTATGGTCCATCTGTCCATGAACCCTTACTCCTCTTCGTAATAAATCAGGAGGCAAGATACCAGGATTTCATAGCGCTAAGCATTTCACAGCTTTGTACTTGTATAGCCATTTTACCAATCCACTGCTGGATGAAGGCCTCCCCGTAACACTTTGTCGGTCGTTTGACCATACTTCACCACGCTGGTCAGCACGGGTTGGTGAAATTGGGGACCCAGGTCCGACCGATACCACTCGCCGCTGACGCTATTTGTGGCTGGGAATCGGACTCGACCTATCATACTCTTAGGTTTTTTCGGTAAAGTCACGTACGTAAAAATAAGTAAATAATAAACATTGATTATAAAATCATAGAAATACTAATAGAAATAAAATCATAACTCACCGGCCTGTCATGTCCGTCGTGCAGTGCGCTCTCCGCTGCGCTTTCGCTTCATTGTTATATCCGGTAGACGTCCTCGCCGATTAATCGGCGGCATTATCTTTTTTATTTTTTAATCTTGCGCGGTTTTGTCTTGCAGACTCAGCATCAACAGGATAACGGACAGAGGCGTCGACATCCTGATTCCTGAACTGATAAAGCACAACATCGTCACCTTCCTGGGGTAAATGACGGCACGGACGATGCATCTCGGTGGGAATTGTTAGACAGCTTGTTTAAAAAAAATCACGTTTTCCACAAACCAATTTGTACATTCCCCTGGCACCTAAGCCGTTGACCCTACGCAACTCGTTTGCATGGAACCGAGTTGCTTGTCTGTGGACCTTTCCTGCAAGCGGTTGCGAGCAATCACACAACTCCGTGGTTCACGGTAGAGGCGGGCTCGGATCTAAAGCATCGCTCTGCCCGGCGATTCGCAGCAGCGATGCGTTGCATCGCCGCGTGACACGTTTGCGAACTGTTGATCGGTCGCCACAGTCCCGACGAATATGCGCCGTTCAATTTTCACGTTTATTGCGCAACTGCCCCCTTGTCTGCGGGCCGCGATTACGTTGCGCGCGATTTCCAGAGTGACCCCGGTCGCGCGGCCGATGCTCGTGCGAGTCTTCACAGTCGGTGTGACCCCGCGCACCCGGCGATCGGACAAAGCGCGCGCTCAAGAACGCGTAAAAGAGCGCAAGAGGCGGGGGGGCGCTTCAAACAGGCGTCCCCGCAACGCGCAGCGTAACGACGTACACACACCGTACTAACGGCGCCTCCGTTGCTTCCGTTGTTTTCTGCCGGGTTGTCGTCCCCCCCCCCCCCATTCACGCAGGCTCTTTAAAAACCAACTCACGGACGAGTCGACCCCGTTGCTTGCCGAGCTCGTCACCAAGAGCAGCCACCTCAAGTCGCTCGCGTGAGCCATCGCGGGGCAGGGCGGCGGCGCAGCGGTTATAACGATCGTGCCTCGCAGCAAGAAGGTTCCGAGTTCGATGCTCGAACTCTGGAGCCTTGCTGCTGTGTGATGTTTGTCCGTTCTCCGCGGGGTTCTTCGGTTTTTCGCCAACAGCTGAAAGTAAACCCCCGATGCACAATCGGTGACGGAGGGAAAGCGTCCCGGTGCTGCAAGGTTGCCTGCGAATTGCTTGATGTGTCAACGCGGATTACACGTGGCAACCGCGAAAACTTGGGCAGGACCCTCCTGTGAATAATCGTGATACTCGGCGAGGCTTGCGAGGATCAACAAGAGGGGCAGTAAATTGAATGTTACTGCCGTCGCAGTCTTCATCGCCAAACCACCAGCCCGGACACGTATTCACATAACGCTTTATAGCATGGATTTGTCCTTGTAAACAACGAGTGATTGTTAAGGTCGCCTTGTAAAAGGTTTGCCGGTTGAACATCTCAACACCTCAAACTTGATTTGAAGCTTTCGTGACTGCAGGAATTGCTCTTTGGTTATTTCGGTAAAGTCATGTAGGTATAAAATAAACATTTCCTTGCTGTGGTTTTCCCACCTGATGATGATTGCTTATGTTGCGCCCGAAACGTCGTGATTTAATTTATTTTATTTCATACCTACGTGACTTTACCGAAAGAACCAAAGACAACGCGTCAAATATTATCAGAGGATGTTTTATGTGCATGTTCACCACAAGCACTGTGTGGTCAATGCAGCAACTTGATGCCTCACAAAATTTATATATTTGGTGTCCGACCATCTTGACACCACCTACGGTTATTCTTCATAAAGGTTGCGCTCACACCGGACGGGCAGGAAACATTTGATCCGCGTGACACTGGGGAGTGCCCCCTTCACTAATTTGGGCAGTTTTCAATATGGCAAGCCCCTAACAGCGACGTGATCTTATCCTAAAGTTTTACGATTTGTGTTTTACCGTCTTTCCCGCGAGTTATTTCGCCCGATAGCGTCGCGGGCAGAAGGACGGACGAATGGGACGGAGCTAACACGCGCGGACGTTTTCAGGATCGGAATATTTAATCTGTACCGGAGGAATCCGATGAGCCATTAAGCTTTCTCACACACGTCCATCGTCGTCAAACGGCCGCGTGAATGCGTCGCGCGCCGTTAATCTCGCGTTGAACAAACCACCGCTTCACCGGAACTGTTGGTGATCGACTATTTCTATGCCTTGTTCTTCGTCTTGTTTTGCGGCTCCGCCAGGCTGGGAGAAAACCGCATCACCGGTGACGGCATGGTCCCCCTCGCCAACGCCATCAAGCACAGCAAGTCGCTCAAAGTGATCCTGTAAGTCTTGCGCCGGGCACTAGGTCCTTGGGTAAACCATTGGCTCGATGGATTGCTGGGCAGGTCAACGGGGGAAGTTTGTGTGCAGGTTATTGAATCGGATGGGAATCGCCTATACGCTACACTATACACTACTATACACTACACTATACACTACTATACACCACACTATACACTACACTATACACTACACTATACACTACTATACATTACACTACTTATACACTACACTATCCACTACATTATACATTACTATATACTACACTATACACTACACTACTATACACTACACTACTATACACTACACTGTACACTACTATACACTATTATACACTACACTATACACTACACTATACACTACACTATACACTACTATATACTACACTATATACTACACTATACACTACTATACACGACTATATACTACACTATACACTACACAATACACTACACTATACACTACACTATCCACTACATTGTACATTACTATATACTACACTACACTATACACTACTATACGCTACACTATACACTACACTATACACTACACTACACCACTATACACTACACTCGGAGTCTGCAGCATGACATGCACACACTCGTCATCACTTCACTGGGCGTTGGTACCAGTCGTTGGGTGGTCGTGGATACGAGTTTTGGTCGTTACTGTGGCGGTCCTACTGACTAAGAAATGTCTTTAAAGCTGGGGGTTGCAAGGCGAGCCATTATCAATCGGGGGTCGCCCATATGTACGCTGAACTTCTTTCGCACCGCACGTAGCCAGCAGTGCTAATGGGAGATGTGTTGTCCTTACGCCCGCACCTCCGATGAGTACGGTTGGCTACGTACGGCGCGAAAGAAGTTCAACATACATCTATATACCCACATTCCTGCCCTCGCTAGCCATTTAAAATCTTCGGGAAATGCAGTGGGGAAGACTGTCAAGTGAAGGAACACAAAGGCAGTGGCAACCTGGTTGATTGGGAAGATAACACTGGTCAACACACTTTTTCTGGCATAAGGTATTCCAACGGTGTTAAGGTAATTTTGGGGTGCTGATTCTAAATGTGGCATCAGTTTTTGTCTATCACATCAGGTTTTTGAGATATCAAATATTGCATTTTCAATCAAAACTGCAGAAGAAAAATCTTAAATAAATGTGGATATCTACATAAAATGATATTATAAACACACTATCCTAAAAATACAGCACCATATTTTAACACTAAAGCAGTCACTGACTCGCAACAACTTGCAATCATAAGTGACAGAGTTAATTTCAGGTAAAATCAATGAAAATGGGGTATGCCGATAGCATAAAAATGAGATGTGATAGAGCAAATCTGAGATCAGATTTGGAATCGGCACCCTGAAATTAGTCTAAAACAGCTGCAAAAGTCCAAGCCAGAAAAAAATGTTTTTTTTTGTTGACCAGTGTAATCATGGCTATGCAGAGGTCGCAACCGGGTACCCGATACCCGTACCCTACCCGATACCCGGCTACCCGTACCCGGCCGGGTACGGGTAGCCGTTTGCGACCCTGGTGCGGCAGGGTACGGGTACGGGTAGGCCGTGAGTCACTGGTGAGTAACCATTTGTCACTCATTTCGAGTAGGGTACGGGTACGGGTAGGGAACGGCTACCCGTACCCGGCTGGGCACGGGTACCCATTTGCGACCCTGGTGCGGCCGGGTACGGGTATGGGTAAGGAATCAAAACCCGTTTGCGACCTCTGTGGCTATGTCTGAGCGGCGAGACGGAAAGTGTGGGTGTGACTGCGGGCCCACGCTTAAACTTGCGTGCGGTGAGTTGCGCAAGAGTGAATGTTCTTCCTGCTTGTACCGCTGCTTCAATGTCAAACGAAGGGAAATTTGCGCTCGGGTGATTTTTTTTTTTTTTAGCAAATCGGCCGGAGGTTCGTGAAGGGTGGCGGCTGCGATCTCAACAATAAAACCTCATTTACGCGCCATTGCGGAACGTTGCGGGTAACATTTAGAAGAAAATAAGGAAGGAAAAATTAACCCGTAATAACAAAGTTTTTCACTATAAATCCTTTATATGCGTGGCATCGGTTTTATTTTTTTATTCATTTCAGTTTTTCTTGAGTAAGAGTTTCATTTTCATCACATTGATATTTTACATTTTTTTTTCCTAAAACACAACGAGTCTGTGTGCAAAATGTCAGCTCGATTGGATCACGGGAAGTGGGTTAAAAAACGACCGAAAGATTTGCACGGTCGTAAGCGTGCAAGCAAGCAAGCAAGTGAACTTAATATAAAGGATTTAAAAATCGTGCCTATGAATGGATAAACCAAATGCCTTTTTTCTTCACGAGTGTTTCGCGATAATTCCATCCTCGCACCGGCGGCTTTTGGCTCAGCCACCGCATCGCCGGGGGGATTTCAGACGCGCTTCTGCGGCCGTCTGGAACGCTCTCTTCCTTCCGCTGTTAGGAAGTCACTGGAGCTATGCACTTTTAAATTGTCTAGATTGGCGAACTAATTTCTTTAGGACTTCCTTTGTGTTTAGTTTGTTGTCCTTCCCCCGCACCTCTGATTAACATGATTGGCTACGTACGGTGCGAAAGTAATTCAACAAATCTTGAGCCGCACTTTAAGACGACGTCACACGGCGCGCCTTGGAGAACAACCCGTGCCGGAGATGTCACAGAATTGCTTCTGAAATTCCTTCATTATCTCGCACGCCCAGCTGAAATTGTTCATCGCGTTGCAGTCGGAATGTATATATATTTATTTATATTTCCAAAATTTAAGTGCAAACCCGGTTTGATCGCAGGCAGCTTAATATCCCGATTCAAACCCAGCTCTCAACAGTGGGTCACTCAATGCTCTGACCCCTGAGTCGGTTTGCCACCTAAGAGGTGGGATTATAATCACCCATCTGTCTCCGTCTCCCACTTTGTCACCCCATCTCTCACTCTGTCTCCCGCCCTCTCTCCTTCCCTCCCCGACTGTCTCCCCGTCTCCCGCTCTGTCTCCCCGTCTCCCTCCCTGCCTCGGCGCAGCCTTTGGGGAAATGCAGTTGGGGACAGAGGAGCCGAGTGCCTGGCGGACGCACTGGAGGTGAACGCCACACTCGAATTCATCAGGTGCGAGTCGTCACGCGACAGCGACGAAAATGAACCCCCCCCCCCCCCATTATTAAATTAAGGAATTAACTGATGAATGAATGAATGTGACGACTGAAGAGGCGCAAGCGTGTCAGTATCAGCGCGGGAGAGACAGAGGTGGCTGAATGTGGCTATAGCCACAGCACACCCTTGTTGTGCCGTGCCCCACATAATAGATGCTCTACGTACGTACGCTGAACTTATTTCGCACTGTATGTATCATAAGCCAAATAGGTGGGGGCCTTTAAATGCAGGTGTAGAGTCTGTGGGTCTCTGTGTGAGTCTATGGGTCTCTGTGTGAGTCTATGGGTCTCTGTGTGAGTCTATGGGTCTCTGTGTGAGTCTATGGGTCTCTGTGTGAGTGTCTATGGGTCTCTGTGTGAGTCTATAGGTCTCTGTGTGAGTCTATGGGTCTCTGTGTGAGTCTATAGGTCTCTGTGTGAGTCTATGTATGTATGTTGAACTTCATTTGCACTGTACGTGGCCAACCGTGCTAATCGGAGGTGCGGGTGAAGGACAACAAACTAAACACAAAAAGCAGTTCTAAAGAAGTTAGTTTAAAATCCCGATTTGCAAGTGAACAGATTCCGGCGGCTTCCTAACATCGGACTGAAGAGCGTTCCAGACGGCCGCAGAAGCGCGTCTGAAAGCGCCGCGCGATGCCGTGACCACCGTCGTCTTTGTTTGACGGCCGAGCCAACAGGCCGCCGCCGCGAGGGTGGTCGGAGTTCGCGTGACAACGGTCTACGCTCCTTGACGATGCTGTGAGACCCTTGCTTGCACTGTCGTTCACGGGAGGTCTTTGTGTGCGGTTCGGTGGCGCAGCTTGGTGAGCAACAAAGTGGGTCACGCCGGGGTCGCGCGTTTGGCCGATGTCTTGCACAGGAACAGCACTTTAAAGACCCTATGGTATGTACTGGTGTTTTGTGCAAAGCGCTGCGAGGCTTTGTGTGAATTTGCGCCGTGTAAAACGGCTATGGGTCTCTGTGTGAGTCTGTGTCTCTATGTGAGTCTATCGGTCTCTGTGTGAGTCTATGGGTCTCTTTGTGAGACTATGGGTCTCTTTGTGAGACTATGGGTCTCTGTGTGAGTCTATTGGTCTCTGTGTGAGTCTACGGGTCTCTGTGTGAGTCTACGGGTCTCTGTGTGAGTCTATGGGTCTTTGTGTGAGTCTATTGGTCTCTGTGAGTCTACGGGTCTCTGTGTGAGTCTACGGGTCTCTGTGTGAGTCTATAGGTCTCTGTGTGAGGCCTATAGACCACCGCTACCACCGCTACCGCCGCTACCGCCGCTACCGCCACTACCGCCACTACCCACCGCTACCGCCACTACCCACCACTGCTGCCGCCGCTGCTGCTGCTGCCGTTGAACAGGTTAGGTGAGAACGATCTAGCCGATGAAGAAGCTTTCCTGTTGGCCGATTGTCTCAAGTCCAACAAAGGTCTCAAAGAACTCTGGTAATTCAACTTTTTTTCTCTCTTCTCTCATTGTCGTCGGCTGACGGTGAGATGGAAGCCTCAAAAGTTATTTGTGATGCGTTTCAACAACAATAACAACAACAAAAACGCCCCACTATGTTTGATCTGTCCCACATACAATTCCAGTATTTAAGACCGACGGAGATGAGATATTGGCACTCTAAATGCATTGCTGCTAATGGACGGTCGACTGTTAATCTAAAATCGTGTTCTTCACTTGTTTATTTTTGCTAAAAGGCCCAATCATACGTCGTGATACATAACACTCCACCCCCCCCCCCCCCGATTGTCTCTTGTCTCGTGGTGAAAGGCTGAACAAGAACAAGATCACGATGTCGGGGGCACGCGCTCTGCTGGACGCGTTGCAGGACAACGCGACCGTCGAGAAAGTGGTGTGAGTGTCGTGGACTGCGGCTGAGCGCGAGAGTTGTCGGACACGCATTGTGTTTCTTTGTATCGACGTCGATCACTCTGGTTCGTCTTCTTGGTTCTTTCGGTAAAGTCACGTAGAAGGGAAATAATAAAATAATAAAAATAAAACATAATAAAATAATTCTCACGACGTTTCGGCCACAACGCAAGCGGCCGTCCTCAGGTGAAGAACAGGTCTGTCGGAAAGACAGCGTCTGAATGAAACACCACCAGGCTTGGAGCGTATATTTAAGCTGGGTTGGAGGGGGGTTCGGCTACGTCTTGGGCACACGTGGAGGTGGGGGGCTCGCCATTGCGCAGCCCCCCCCCTGACCTATCGAGTTGGCCGTCCCCGCTTGCACATTCCTGCAGCATTGCATTTCGCATCTACGATTGGCACGGTTGGCTACGTACGGTTTGCGAAAGAAGTTCAACGCTTACACATAGACTCACTCGGAGACCCACAGACTCGCATGTGAGACACACAGAATCACACAGAGACCCATAGACTCACACGGAGACCCATAGACTCACATGGAGACCCACAGACTCACAAAGAGACCCATAGACGCACACAAAGACTCATAGACTCGCACAGAGACCCATAGACTCACACAGAGACCCATAGACTCACATGGAGACCCACAGACTCACAAAGAGACCCACAGACTCACATAGACTCACACAGAGACTCATAGACTCGCACAGAGACCCATAGACTCACACAGAGACCCATAGACTCACACAGAGACCCATAGATTCACACAGAGACCCACAGACTCACACAGAGACCCATAGACTCACAGAGACCCACAGACTCACACAGAGACCCATAGACGCTCACACAGAGACCCGTAGACTCTACACCTATTTGGCTTATGGTACATTGATTTAATTGTACATGTGAGAAATCGATTATTCCATTTGAATACAGTGGTGGGGGGGAGGGGGTGCAGCATCTGCTCATAAATGGGATTAGTTGCCAGGTCGATGAACTGAATCGTCGTAACGCTGTGGACGGTTGTGCCGATAAACGAAAAAAAAATCGATTGATCGTGAATCGGCGCGTGTGTTCGTTGCGCCGCGCGTCACACCAACCCCCCCCATCCCCCCGCGCAGCTCACCGTGTCTGTTTTTTTGTGTCGCGCAGATTGCGTCAAAATGCCCTCTCGGAAGAGGAGTACAAAGAAGTGCTCGCGAAGGAGCATCGGATGGACTGAACCTCCTCGTCTTATCTCGAAGGAATTTTACACGGCGCATTAACCAAGGCGCCTTACACACAGAATTAACGACGGTACAACAACGTGTGTGAATGTAACGGTGGAGATGAAGCGAATGAAATGGATGAGAGGAAGCAATGTGATGATGATGATCATGCGCGACTTCGGTGAAGGCGAAATTGATGGCAGTAAATGACATTGAATGGATTGAACGGGTTTAATGAGTGATAGCCGCGTAATGAGAATACGAAGAGGGAACGGTGACGGTGGTGTTGTATGAGGGGGAGATTAAGGGGGGGTCGTGGGTCGAGCTAGGGAACAATGCGTGTGAGTTGTGAGCGAGGAGCGGAAGCTTAGTGAACGAAGCTTGTTCCGGTGAAGGGGGGCTGGGGGAGAGAAGAGAGAGCGGGCGACAGCGTGGCTTGAGCACGAGGAGGAGGAGGAGAGAGACGGCAAAGATTGAGAACGTAACTTACGGAGGAAACAAAAAACCCGATATTAGGAAGCCTCTGAACTATGCACTTTTAAATCGACGAGATTGAAAACTCACTTCCTTAGGACTGCTTTTTCGCGTTTAGCTTGTTGTCCTTCCCCGCGCACCTCCGATTAGCGCGGTTGGCTACGTACGGCGCGAAAGAAGTTCAGCACGCGTACGTACGTACGCACGGATCATGCGAAACTGCGTGCAACTTATGCAATAAAAATGTTATTGTTGTTTCCCGACACCAGGGGTCGGCAGCCAAAATACGAAGAAGAAGGGCCATCTTTGTTCGAATTCGCTAAAATAAAACTCAAGCGCCGCAATGCACCGTGACGAATACGAGACAGTCCTTAATGAACGTCGTCACGGGAAGCGGTCCTTAAAGAGCAGCCGCGTGCGGCTCCGGTACCGCCGGTTGCCCGACCCCCTGGTCTAGACAGTGTAGGGTTAGGGTGGCAATCAGACTTTTTGAAGGCTGTTCTTTTCAAGGTTGACGGCCGCCTTGATTTTCATTCGTTCGCCTGTTAAAAATTAAGCGCAAAGGTGTCTCCCAGGGCGCGGGGTGGGGGGGGCGGGACCAGGGCTGGATTCAGGTTGGGGGGGGGGGGAAACGTGGCGTTTGTTTAGGGCCTAAAACTCAAGGTGGGGGGGACCCACGATACAAAAACATTAAATTTTTATTCCGAAAAGTAAGAACTGTTTAATCACATCTATTTTTTTGTTTTACCAATTCGCGCCGCCCATCATGGTGCAGTGCGCGGGTCAAGCCACCTCGGTGATGTGACATTGTGTAGGAAGGAGGCGCTCATCCAGCAGTGAATTACACAAATGGGCTGTCAATTTATGTCGATGGGATCTTTTTGCCAGTATCAAAATGATTAAAAAAATAAGAGTAGGTTTTACCCTTTCCGGCAATAAAAAAAGCAGGTGTTAAGATGTTAAAACACCAAATAGAAACCTTTTTCAAGGAATCAAGTCTGCATTAATCACACACAGCGCTTTTGGTGAACATGCAAACAAACATGCTCTGATCAAATTTGCATCATCTTTGAAACCGATTGGCCTAGACAAGAGAGAGCCTTCTTTAATTTAAATCATCATTATTTCCCGACGAGGGGAGTAATTGCACGAACGAGCTGTATCAGCTCTCCTCACCAAGACGCGGGAGACGGGTAAAAGTGGATTCCAGTCCGTTTGTTCCACCGTAAACAAACGGGCTCCCTCCTTGATCCACCGCTATTCTCCTGCCTCCACCGTACCCCCTCTCCCATGGCTTCCCCTCATTCCCGTCACCTCATTCCTGGCCGCCGATGGCACATGTCGTCGCGTCTCGGTACCGTGTCTCTCATGTCCCAGCCGCCAATCGTAGATGGCCGTACCCACGGGGCTGGTCCCGGTCAGGTAGGCGCAGGGATCGGCCTCATGGAGGACCATTAGGTGGAGAGCAAACGCCCGTTTGACGGGCGTTAACACCGCGCGTTTTCGCTTCAGCGCGGTCTTTCGCGGAACGTTTTCGCTTAACGCGCGACCCTGGCGCGTGACGGACTACTTTTCTGAGCGGCGTGGGTGTTGTTGATGCCGGTACTACAGTACTCCAGTATTGTATCGTAGTACTGGTACTGTCGTACTGATGCTCGGTATGATACACGGCGTGCATTATCCTTCCTCAGCCTTTGTTTTCCAGCATCTTTTGTCTACAGAGCGTCATCTCACTCACTTGATCGCCTTCCGCTCGGCATATCTCTCGCAGACTTATATTTAAACGAATTACTTTGACAAGTAGCATATTTATAGAAATACGATATAAACAACGCGTTTAAATATAAACATGTACATGTAAAACGGTGTACTGTGAAGTAATAATTACGGGGCTGGAACGGTACCCCCCATCTTCACTGTTATTCCGAATGGGAGAATTACTCCCGCTGAATGCGAATTCGCTTTACACGGCTACGCGTTCAGCGGGGACTTTCCAAGGAAATCCACCGCCCCCTGCTGTTTTTTAAATCCTTTATATTAAGTTCACTTGCTTGCGCGCTTACGACCGTGCAAATCTTTCGGTCGTTTTTTAACCCACTTCCCGTGATCCAATCGAGCTGACATTTTGCACACAGACTCGTTGTGCGTGACAATTAATTTTTTCGCTTCAGCGCGGTCTTTCGCGGAACGTTTTCGCTTAACGCGCGACCCTGGCGCGTGACGGACTACTTTTCTGAGCGGCGTGGGTGTTGTTGATGCCGGTACTACAGTACTCCAGTATTGTATCGTAGTACTGGTACTGTCGTACTGATGCTCGGTATGATACACGGCGTGCATTATCCTTCCTCAGCCTTTGTTTTCCAGCATCTTTTGTCTACAGAGCGTCATCTCACTCACTTGATCGCCTTCCGCTCGGCATATCTCTCGCAGACTTATATTTAAACGAATTACTTTGACAAGTAGCATATTTATAGAAATACGATATAAACAACGCGTTTAAATATAAACATGTACATGTAAAACGGTGTACTGTGAAGTAATAATTACGGGGCTGGAACGGTACCCCCATCTTCACTGTTATTCCGAATGGGAGAATTACTCCCGCTGAATGCGAATTCGCTTTACACGGCTACGCGTTCAGCGGGGACTTTCCAAGGAAATCCACCGCCCCCTGCTGTTTTTTAAATCCTTTATATTAAGTTCACTTGCTTGCGCGCTTACGACCGTGCAAATCTTTCGGTCGTTTTTTAACCCACTTCCCGTGATCCAATCGAGCTGACATTTTGCACACAGACTCGTTGTGCGTGACAATTAATTTTTGTGAAAACATTTTTCCAAAATTTTCCACTTTTTAGGAAAATTTTTTTTTCATATTTCATATAAAATACCAATGTGATAAAAATGAAACTCTTACTCAAGAAAAACAGAAATGAATAATAAAATAAAACCGATGCCACGCATATAAAGGATTTATAGTGAAAAACTTTGTTTTTACGGGTTAATTTTTTAACCCTTGCGTGCGGCTGCCGTGCCTTTCCACACCGGTGTGTTTATATTTTCTCCTGACGACGGGAAGGTCGAACAGAAGTGCTTTGTAAATTGTGAACTTCACAATGGGAAGACCAACCATGCCAGCGTGCCCAGAGAAAGACGTATTTTTGTAATCGGTGTGTAATGTTTACCTGCTGCCGTAACACGTGTGACAATCACGAAAACATGCGCATTAACATTCAGTAGACTTTTGACAATCCACTCTCTGATGGGGACCTTTAAACTATAATAGAAGGGCATTCTAGTATCCGATGGAGTTTCTAGATCAGCTGTTCATTTATCCTGTGGTCTGCTGACCGCCTGGTGTTTCCGCGAGGCTACGGCTACTACGACAGTGGAAGTCCGCGGAAAAGACGACAAATTAATAACCTATCATGAGACCTTTGCCAGTACCAACATATGAGAAAGGTTTTTTCCCCTTTTTTCTGGCAACAAAAAAACACCTTTTACAAGGAATCATGTCTGCATTAACCACAATACTTGTGGTCAGAATGCAAACAAAAAACATACTCTGATAATATATGCATTGTCTTTGAAACTGATTGGTTCACACCAGACACGGCTTTCTTTTTTTTCTTTTGTACACTTTTTGGCGTCCTCTGGTCTAACACCGTTTGAGACTTGGCTCAAAAGAAAGCTGTCTCTGGTGTGGACCAATCAGTTTCAAGGACAATGCATATATTATCAGAGTATGTTTTTTGTTTGCATTCTGACCACATGTATTGTGGTTAATGCAGACATGATTCCTTGTAAAAGGTGTTTTTTTTTGTTGCCAGAAAAAAGGGGAAAAACCTATTCTCAAATTAACAACATCCTCGCCAAATCACGAGGAAGTGCTGTAGCGTGTGGCGGTCCGAGACATGTTTGAAAGTTCAAAACAGGGATTCGCCACAAACTCAACGCGAAGTTGGGAACTGCTGCTGGACAATGAGAACATCGGTCGACTTGTCTGATGGGGTCCCTTGAAAATGCTCCACTGACAGATTTTGTTATCCCATCGGGGACCGGTGGAATGCCAGTAGGTGTCAATATCCTGCTGGTTCTGCTACAAGTTCACCCGTTTTTTTGTCCTGCCTTTTAAATTGTCCTGCGCTAACCAATGCGCCACAGTTGTCCTTCCCCCGCACCTCCGATCAGCACAATTGGCAACGTATGGTGCGAAAGAAGTTCAACGCATGTTGGTCATAAGATGTTAATTTGGGGTGGGGGGGGGGGCTCGGAAGCGAGTGGTGTGATATAGAGGCCGACCGAAACTGAATTTCTGGTTTCGGCCGAAACCGAAAGTAAACCAAAAGTAAAAAATTTACTTTCGGCCAAAATCGAAAGTAAAATATTGACTTTCGGCCAAAACCGAAACTATGCCGAAATATTTTTATTTCGATTTAAAGCTTTCGTGACTGCAGGGATTCATCTTCTTGGTTCTTTTGGTAAAGTCACGTAGAATGGAAATAATAAAAATAAAACATAATAAAATAATTCTCACGACGTTTCAGCCACAACGCAAGCAGCCGTCCTCAGGTGAAGAACAGGTCTGTCGGGGAGACATTTGCCAACTTTCGGCCTCTAGTGTGATACCATCACGTGTCTTAAGAAACATATGCTCCCTGGGAAGATGGCATGGTGGGCTGCTTTCTCCGGCAGGAGGGAGATGCGTTGGACACATCTTTCGTGTGGCCTGCATGGCGCGTGTTTTCGGCGTCTAGCAATGAAAACAGAATGTGTTATTCGTAGAGGTTGTCGTGCTTGCCAAATTGATAAGTGACCAAGCAAATTGAATGTGTTTTTGTTAAATACAATTATTGGTGCCTTTACATAGATCGGCCAACCCACTTCACTTAAAAAAAAAAATACTCAGTTTAGTCGAATGTTTTACACTCTTGCTTAACTTAAAAATGTTTTACAAATACACGCTCGCACTTGTGTGCACATTTTTTTTTGCATACCTGCGTGTGCATGCATTTTTACACGTGTATTAAAGTCTTCACGTGCTCGCCTGCGTGTGGATATGTGTAAACTTGCGTGACATGCGGACATCTGCGTGAATGTATGGCACGTGGTTGTCTCTGCGTGTATGTGTGTGAATGTCTGGCCGTGCGGTACGTGTGCAAGGCTAAGTCTGCATGTCTGAATATCTTCACGTGTGTGCGTGAATGCCACTGGTTGTGTGTGTTAGTGCAGCGGTTAGCGCGCTACGCTACGAAGCCAGCGACACGAGTTCGAATCCCGCTCGCAGTCAACACCGACGACGATTATCTGAACCGCTCCTAGGTCGACTCGGCCTCAAATGAGTACCTGGTGCGGTGTAAAGAAAAAATCGCCACTGGGGAGACAAAGGGGGTCGGGCGTGATGCTGGCCACCCACCGCCTCTTCCGCCGTGCCGGCCTTCATAGGTGCTATTCAGGCAGTACTTGTCCCCGACAGTCTTATTAAGGCTATAGGGCAGCGGTCGGGAACCTATGGCTCGCGAGCCATATATGGCTCTTCCAGTGACGGCATATGGCTCCCAGACAATTTTGAGTTGAAAAAATAATTTAAAAAAAAGA